TTTTGGAAAAAGAGTTAATTAACTCATCATCAAAATTTTATTTATAATTGCTGTTATTTATGCTATAAAATGCAAAATTCTTATCAAATAAAAAACAATTATCTAAACAGTTGCTGATTGTAATTTTTCAAACTAAAATAGCAATTTTTGTATGTTAAGGAGTTTCTATATATTTCTACTTCACTGTTATTAATATCTTTCAGAGGTCTGTAGTTAGATTAGACTATAATATGAACATAATGATTCGGTCCATTGTGAAAGTTTTTTTTCCCAATATAATTTAAAAAGTAATATTACTGATATATTTGCTATAAATCACATAACAGTATTTATAAAAGGAATGAAATATTAATTTATATTCTCAGTAGTTTTAATTTGCTAAACCAGGTAGTTTTTCAAGTAATAATTGTCTCTTATGTGAACTGAGGAAAAATATAATTTCCAGCTTTATTTTTTCAATTGGTATTTTTTTTTCTCACTAAATGTTAAGTATCAATGTAATCGTTTTTATAATAATAGATTAGTACACAATTGTATGTCAACACATTATTTATTACCTTAAACTGTCTGGAATTTATTATTAAAGGGTTGCGCTTGCGTAAAATTTACTATCGTGGAAATTCAGCTTTTTTGCGTTTTGGCTAATCTCATCCCTGGCCATCGTAAATATAAAAACATTATGATTGAACAATGAAAATAAAACATTCAAAGAGTCACTACTGCTTTTTTATACTACTACTATTAATGTTTTAAGAAGATATATTCTCTCCTCCAATATGAGAAAATGTCTCCTTTAATATGTTTGAAAAGTTGGAAGAAAGAAATGTTACTGAAAATCAAGTGATCATCAATCTTTTGGCTTTTTTTTAAATTTATATCATTCTTGTACTATTTAACTTTATTTTAGTTATTTTCTCATATTCTTGTATTAATGTGATCTGTGCAATAAAAATATAACAAAAACAAATTTTAAATTGCTAATTTTTAACAAAATAAATGTTCAGTCCTAAGCCTACAAAAGTGTTAAAAAAAGTTTTCCAAATCGTTTTTTAACTCAAATTCTTTTCGATGTACTCTACTTAAGGACAAATTTTAGCAATCATTTCAAGGCGTTTAAACAAAAAGCCAACCAAAACCAGTCTTAACCAAAATTTGACTGAATTTGTTCCACACAAATATCTTTTAGGTTAGTTTATGTTTTTTTTTCCTTCATTCCTTTTGCGTTATCTATTTTCCTTTTTTTTATCCTATGCACTTTGACTATATCTATCTTGTGCTGTGTGAATAATTAGATAAATTTATCTAACTTTTTACTGTATCAACATTTTAATGTGTTTTATTATTTTAAAGCATGTGATGTAAAACATATTTCTAAAAGTATGTTTTGTCTGCAGAGTAATATATATGTATACAGTCGAACTCGTTTATAACGAGCTCGGATTTAGCGAGAACTCGGATTTACCGAGGGAAACGAGAGCTTTTGGATGGATCAATGTTAAGTCTATGGAACAGAAATTGCTTTTAACGAACAATACCCGGTTTTAGCGAGCAATATTTTTCTGTCTTGCAATCTTTTTTCTCATCTTTCTGTCATATCTTTTTTTTAAAATGATAAGAAATGTGCGCGAAATAAAAAAAAAAACCGCGAAATGAAACTTAATTGCCCTATAAGACTGTAGAGCTACTAGAAATGTTTTGCTAGTTGGGGGGGGGGACTAGTTGTCATTAAAAAAAGAAAAGTATTTAATTAAATTAATTAATGTATATAAAGTAAGTAAGTATTAATTAAATTTTAAGTAAACTCAATCATTTGACCCCTTTTCTGGTTGCACGCCTGCCTTAAGGATCCATTTATTACGAGCACTCGGATTTAACGAGTACAATGTTACGGTCCCTTTGTGCTCGTTATAAACGAGTGCGACTGTATATATATATACAGGCAGAGTTATTCATAATTCCCTCCAGGGTTTTGTAGCGTTATAGTAAAAAAACGAAGACGAATATGGCTAAAAAGAATATATGAAATTATTCCGAAAGTATTCAAGTTTTAATTTAAGCAGTTGCCGGTCGATGGTATTAACGTGTACCACTGAAGCCATTTGTAGTAAACAGAGGGAATTATGAATGACCCTGTATATATACATGTATGAAACGAAGTAAAATTTTGAAAATATTAAGAAATGTTTTAAGAAGCCATTATAGTCCTATAGTCCAAAAGACATGCACTGCAAAAGTTGCTGATATAAATAGCAAAAATATAATAAAAATTGTTGTAACTCATCAGTACCCAACAACAAAAATACATACCTCTGAGCGAAACAAGTATAGGGTTTTGTTATAACAGCAAAAGCTGTAAGCCATATTGCTATACATATATATATCAATTTTAAAATTTCTATACTTCTGTAAATAACATAAAAACTTTGATTTCTTTTGATTTAAGAATATTTTTCTGGATAAAATTACTTAAGATTAATTTAGAGCAATGATAACAATGAAATAAAATTTTTGAACAGACATGGGTTTTTGCAGTATGTTTTAAGAGAAAAAGTTTATATTAAAAAAGAAACCTCCTTAGAGCTGGAAAAGTTGTTTGCACACCCATCAATACCTTAAGTTGAAATAATACATTTCCGCAACAGCTAGTTGTTGGCCATGATTGGAGACAAAGTTTTCACTACTTCATGACCGTCATTATGATGGTGGCAATGGGGTCATCATTGACTAGCTGTCTTTACTTGCCAGACACCCATCTCTTTGAAACTTGATTGACTTCAAGGCACTGCTTGTGAGTTAAACCTATTCCTTTACACTAACAATTAAGTGTCTCAACCGCTGTACCATCATAGCTCATATCTTAAGATATATGCCGGTAAATTGACGGCACCCAGCTAATTAAGTAATTTTTTTAAAATTCTGATCTTATGTGTCTACATAAAGTCTTTTGATATAATTGTACTCTTGCATATAGACATATTTCATCTATTTTATTAACTAACAAATTGCATCGTCACTTTTTGCTATTATAGTTCAGAGCTCATGCAGAATATGCAGTGCATGGTTTTGACAGAAACAGGGACTCTTCTGATGGGAGGTCACCACAACAATCTCATCGAATTGGACTTGAACACGATAGATGAGATCAATGTCATTCAGGTTGATGGGGACAACTGTGCCATTTTACGCAAACACGCACGCTTCATATGCTCTGGGGACATCAGTGGCAAAGTAATTACGCAGAACAATTGGCTGTCATTTTCATTTCCTCTTCAGAGAGCTGATTCATCCTTTCTTCTCCTCTTTTCAGGTTTGCTTACACGATCCTCACACACTGAGGGTCGAACGCGTCATTGACTGTCACTCGGGTATGCTGTCAGATTTTGATGTGCATGGAAATCAGTTAGTGACTTGTGGCTTCTCATCCAGGTACTTCTCATATTCAGTCAGGAATATTTTGACTAAGCAATTCTTCATGATTAGAATTCCCACTGAAATCAGGTCATAAATATGTACTACACATAAAGTGAATTCTTGATTATTTGTGATTGGATTATTCTTTTTGCAGTACATCCAGACTTGGTTTCTAAGACCAAATTTTACCAAAACAAAATGCTACTATAATTACAATTTTCAAATATTACTAACTTTTTATCTAGAAGAAGATTTTGATTTGTGATACTTTGCCCTTTGTGGTCTCATGTGGGACTGTATCTGATGTAGAATTGTTCTATTAATTTGTTTTACCAAATTAGTTTATTAGCGATTCATTTCTGTTTTAGTTAAAGTTGACCACTCGGTAGCAGAATTTGTGCCTCGTGCCGACAGGTACCTCAGATTTACTATGCTCTTATAAACAAAAATTTTTTTTTTATTTTTTATTTCCAATTGCAGACATGAAAGACAAATTTGTAGCTGAGAACAATATAAAGAAAGAACAAAAAACGGAAACAAGAGCTACAAAAATAAAGAGTCTATAGGTCTGTAATAATGCATCTCACCTGCCAATAACGTTCCCACAAGGGCCCAGGAGGAAGTGCAGGGCAACGTCTCAGATGGTTAGTGTCCATTTCTTCTTGCAGGTTGCATAATGGACAAAAGGGGCTTGAAAAGATTTTGATTCTATACAGGTGTTTTGATAAACAGTCATGGCCAGTGGCTAGGCGAAAAAGGGCCACAGATTTTTCTCTTAGCCATGACGGAATATCTTTAATTCCTTCCAACCAGTCCTTATTTTTATTTGCTTTTTGGAGTTTTGCCTCAAATATTGTTCGAAGAGAGATTTTTATTAGCCTTTTTGTGATATGGAAAGGAACTGGCTTAAGAGATATTTGCAGAATCTTGGCGGCTTATTTGGCCAAGAAATCTGCAGTTTCATTACCTTGAAGTCCACAGTGCGCTGGTACTCATTGCATGGCGACATTTTTGTTGTGTTGGTCAAGCCTGCCAAGGGCTTGACGACAATGTAGAATGTCGGCAAATGCGGGGGCTTTGGAGGAAGCAATAGCTTGGAGTGCGGCTTTGGAGTCAGAGAGGATGACTACGTTATTAAATTTCTCAAGGTGATTCTGTAGTTGTGACAGAGCTACGCTTATTGCCGATACTTCTGCATCGAAGGCTGTTCTANTGTAATAATGCATCTCGCCCGCCAATATCGTTCCCACAAGGGCCCAGGAGGAAGTGCAGGGCAATGTCTTAGATGGTTAGCGTCCATTTCTTCTTGTTGGTTACATAATGGACAAAGGGGGCTTGAAAAGATTTTAATTTTATACAGGTGTTTTGATAAACAGTCATGGCCAGTGGCGAGGCGAAAAAGGGCCACAGATTTTTCTCTTGGCCATGACGGAATATCTTTAATTCCTTCCAACCAGTCCTTATTTTCATTTGCTTCTTGGAGTTTTGCTTCAAATGTTGTTCGCAGAGAGATTTTTATTAGCCTTTTCGCGGTGTGGAAAGGAACTGGCTTAAGAGATATTTGCAGAATCTTGGCGGCTTATTTGGCCAAGAAATCTGCAGTTTCGTTACCTTGAAGTCCACAGTGCGCTGGTACTCATTGCATGGCAACATTTTTGTTGTGTTAGTCAAGCCTGCGAAGGGCTTGACGACAATGTAGAATGTCGGCAGATGCGGGGGCTTTGGAGGAAGCAATAGCTTGGAGTGCGGCTTTGGAGTCAGAGAGGATGACTACGTTATTAAATTTCTCAAGGTGATTCTGTAGTTGTGACAGAGCAGCGCTTTTTGCCGATACTTCTGCATCGAAGGCTGTTCTAGACGAACCAATCGGGGTGTAAAATGAAAAAAGGTTGCAGGAAACTCCGGCTCCTGCGTTAGTGCCTTCAGCCAATCTTGAACCGTCTGTGAATATATATAGCCATTCGTTCTCTGGGTAAAGTCTCCAGGGCGATAGATTTTAAGACTTGATCATTTGTGTCTCTCTTGGAAACATCTTGACATAGGTTTAAACCCAGTGAGTATCTCTCTTTTTCGATAGGGCACTGTGATCTAATAAGGTCTTCGGTTTTCCAAGTAATATTTAGTTGTTCTTTTATTTCAACGACTCTTTGGAGGAAACCGTTTTGGGTCTTCAAAGTTCGACCAATATTTGCCAGTGGGGTGTTCCATAGGGAGAGGCAGTCTGGTAGTCTTAAAATTTTTTCCCTCAAAATAACTGCCCTCTCTTCTATACTGGCAAAGAAAACTTCTAAACCAGTCGAACATCTTTGAGTGAACACCAATTTTGGCGAGTTTCAGTAGAAGGTTTTCCCTACAAACCAAATCGTAAGCGGATCTTAGGTCCACGAAAACAGCAGTGAGTACATGTCTTTTATCAAGAGCATCCTTTATATATTGGCTAAGGAGGGTGACATGTTGGTTAGGTGATCTGTACTATCTAAATCCTGCCTGTTCTTTGGCTAGGATGTTGTATGTTTCCGTAAACCATATCAGTCTTTTTGCAATTATTTTTTCGATGGTTTTGGCTAGCATACTCGTTAATGAGATTGGCCTGTATCCTTTTAGGTTACCTTTATCTTTGCCCTTTTTGTGTATAGGGATAATGATTGATTTGTGCCATATTGATGGGACGCTACCTATATCTCACACTAAATTAAAAAAATTTGGAATGGTCTGCGTTGCCTGAGTCCCCAAGTTAAGTAGAAATTCGGCAAATATCGCGTCTTCGGCTGGGGATTTTTTGGTCTTTAATCTGCTAATTGCAGTGAGGAGTTCATCGAAAGTAATGCTAGCAGAGAAAATTAGGTGGGGAATAAAGGGCTCTGAATTTAAGTTTGAGTTGTTTAAATCCTTTATACCTTTATTCGTAAGCCTTGTTTGTTTTCTACACAAGCTAGATTTACGCTGTGCAGCAGAGAAATGCTGAACAAATGCATTGGCTATTTTGTTGTAAGTTGTAAAAGTCTCCCTGTTGACTTCGAATGGTTTCTTTGTGGAATCAGGTGTCTCATTCTTGATGCTTGAGAGAAACTTATAGACTCTCTTTCCATCTCTTTGGAAATTCAGCTTGGAAATGAAGTTGTTAAATGACAATCGTTTCTCTTTGAGAATGGCCTTTTTGAAGGATGCTGCTTGTTTTCGTCATGCCTGGACATCTGAAGGGCGTTCAGTAATATCAGCTTTTTCCAAAGTCTGTTTCTCTTGTCCTTCATAGCCTTGATCTCTTCTGACCAGAAACATTTGTAGCCTTTGCATTTACCTCTCGGAATAGATTGTCTAGCACATTGGACAATCTTATCTGTAATGAATTTATTTATGTGGTTGGTTTTTTGTATCCCAAACTACTGCTTTGGGATCAAGTGCTTTATCTGCTAGTTCTTTGAATTTCATCCAATTGGCTTTTCTAAAGTTCCATAATGTTTTTGAAGTAGTTGAACCCTGATTTGGAACCAGGAAAGATACCTTAGCTATGACTTGTAGATGTCCCGAACCAGGGTCCTCAAGCATTTTTCTTTTAGTATTGGAGGATATATCCGCCGAAGCCAGTAGGAGATCTGGATTATATTTTTTTCCATTGTAGTGGAGAAATGTGTAAGGATCTTTGGAGTCAAAGATCAGGTCCAGTGTGGATGAGCACAGAAGATCTTCAATTTCCTTGCCAGAGTCATTTATATCTTGGTAACCCCATTTCGGAGAATGAGCATTGAAGTCGCCGACTAAGATGGTTTTTGTTAAGTCATTAAGGAACATAAAACCTGGTATATAGCAAAAATTTTGAAATGGACATTGTGTTTCCGCACTTCCACAGATACAACCTCACTTTTATCCACATTGTGCGTCATGTCATTTATAATTTTGAATCTTGACAGCAAACTGTCCTTTACCCCAGTTAAAATGCCACTTGCTACCTGTCTAGATTTGGGAAGCAAGTGTAGGGAATACCCTTTAAATGTGAAAAACGGAAGCTTTTCTTGGGTAATGTTTGCTTCCATTATAGTGAAAACATCAATATCTAAATCTTGTAAGCATCGCATTATCTCAGATTGCTTGGCGTAAGAGAATCCGCCTGCATTCCACTGCAGCATGCGCAGAGAGGAATCACGACGAGGGAGACACATTATGCCAAAGTTGTAGATCACTTAGAGTTACCCAGGCTGCACCATGAGGAGGTGGATCTACATTGCAGCCCTTATTATAAACTAAAATATTGTTAAAGATTTTCTAGTGGTTCTTAAAATTCCAATATTTTTTTTTTAGTGATGTTACTACGCTCGCAAAATTTTTAAAATGCTAGAATCACACAATAATTAAATTTTTAACTGAAAATTTCAGAAACTTTTTTGCTGTAGGACCCATATTCAATTCTTTATCGGGTCCTTGATATTCAAGTTGATGGAAGACTTCCTTTTCCACCTCACTTTCCCTATTTAACATTGTTGGAAAAGCAATTTTTTTTTCTCATGTAGATTTTTGAAATTCTTAAATATTTGAATTGTTTTAAACTTACCAACTTCATTTTGTTTGCACTATGTTTAGTTTATTTTTTAATATTTATTTTTTTTTACAATAAAAAGACTTTCTATTAGTAATGCAATTATTTCAGCATGTTTTGTAGTATTAGAGACTCTTAACTTAAGAACTTATCAAGTGTAACTTCAGAATACAAATTTTTTACTGATTGCGCACTCTTCAGATAAATTTAGATCATTAAAAAAGTTTTTGCCACTTGGGGTGTATTATTTTTGTTTCAAAAATAATCAGACCAGGGTAAATAGAATTTCAAAAGGTTTAAATTTTTTTTTTTTGGTAGGATGATTGTTTTTTCTGCTACTGATCTACTCTCAATGTGTACTATGTTTATCCTAGGCCATGATTCGAGCAAATTTTCCTTCAGAACAACAAGATGCCAATTTTTCGCAATAACTGTTTTTTCTGTTTTTCTTAAAAACAATCTAAGTAGCTATTATTAATATTAGAATAGAATTTTTGATGGGACACGACAAGCAGGAATGCTCTAAAAGGTACTTTATTTCACGCAATAACTTGTGTTTAGCAGAATAAAACAACATTGTTCACATATGCTCTTAAATGATTCTTCATTGCTCCCTTGTTTAGAAAATGCATTAAAATTGTCCCCCCTTCCGAAGAAGCACTTTTGGTCAAATTTATGGGTTGTAAGAATCTCTGGCTGTGGCTTGTTTGTGCTAAATCATGTTACCCGATATACTCTGTTGTGTTTGATGTTCATAATACTGTATCGATTAAAATCCACGATAAAACTATTCTTTTCTGACCCTTTAGAGTGTTTATTTTTAAAATAAACTTTCAGATTCTTAAAATGTCTTTATATTTTGGCCACTGAGCTGTAAAACTAATATTTGTTGCTGTCAAAATGTTGATGACGTTGAAGTTACAAATTCTTTTAAAAAGTTCTACTCTTATATATCTTTGAGTATGAAACTTTATTGTCAAAACTGTTCATTTGAATATATAGCTTATGTGTTTTACTTACTTGCTTATAAAAGAAATGTGTGTGCAGGCATGGTGAACTGTCCATTGAGAGGTTTCTGAAAGTGTATGATCTGAGAATGATGAAGAGCTTAAATCCTATTTCTATGATGTTTCCTCCCCTACTTCTTCGTTTTGTGCCTGCCTACTCTTCCCGTCTGTGTGCGGTTTCACAGGTGATTCATTCATACATTTAGTTTATTTTATTTTATAACCAATGTTGAAGAGCCACCCCAATATTGGGTTTACAACACTCAATCAGTAGACGTGTAATTTTGAACCCAATCCAAAAGACAAGAATATTCCTTTATCAAGTATAGGAACAAACTAGCCTTCATGGAGTGATTCGCATTTACGTTATATAGAGAGGAAAACTGGGAAAACTTTCCATCATTAACTGGTTGGCAAAAGGATTCTAACCCACAATCAGTATCAGGGGTGATTGTACTCTGAGTGTACCACAGAATTACGAGTTTTTCATATAAATATTCCTGGTCTAGAATCTAGGAGCAGGGCACGTAATTTTACTGCGTATCTCAAAATCATTGTTTTTGCAGACTTCTGCGAATCAAAACTTATGATTTGGTAAAATCTTCACCAAAATCTAAAATTTAAAGAGTTAAGATTTAAAGTAAGAAGTGAGTTTGTAATCTAAAATTTTTAATTTTGAAACTTTTGCTAAATCGCATTAATGAAACGTTTTCGTACAACTGATTCTTTTCTTCCATCAATTTAATTATTAATTTTTTTTTGTCAGATTTGGCCGTTTTTAATATTTGAAGCAACTTCAGAATCTGCTAATATCAGGATTCATATTCACACGATTTTAATATCAAACATCGATTTCATATTTACCTGATTTCAAAGTTACACAATTTGAATCATATTCCGCCGATCTAAAAAATCAAGCATCGTGATTTGTATTTACAGGGATGAAAGACTTCCGCAAAAAAACGGAAATCCGCTTTTTTCTCCAAATTTTTAAAATTTCCGACCATGTTCCAAAAACTAAAATTTTTAGGGAGTCCAATTAGAGAACCCAAGCCTCCCGAACGATAGTCGGATTACCGAGACTTCCGCTATAGAGTGGAAAGGAGTCTATGCGTTTCGTTTCCGTCCGCCGATATTTGATTTCTTTTGTTTGGCTGATTTTCGGAATTTTAAATATTAGGAACTGCCCCGAAATCTGCTAAAATCGCGATTTCTGATCAAACGATTTTAATATCAATCATCGATTTTCGTATTTAACTGATTTAAAAGTTACGTGTTGCGATTTAAGAGCCGTACTAGCAATTCCTATTCACTCAATTTAAAAATCCAATATCGCGATTTGCATTTAAGCGTTTTTAAAACCCAATATTGCGATTTGTATTCTCGCGAGTTAAAAATCCAACATCGCGATTTGTATTCACGCATTTTTAAATCCGATATTGCGATTCGTTATCACGCAGTTGTAATATCAGATATCGTTTTTCTTATTTGTACGCTATTTAAAAACTACTCATTGCGATTCGTTTTCACGTGATCTAAAAATTATTCATCACGATTCTTAATTACGCGATTTAAAAATTCAACGTTGCAATTTGTATTTTCTTGATTTTAAAATCCAAAATCGCGATTCCTATTCACGCGATTTTAAAATCCAACCGCACGATTCATATTCATGCCATTTTAAAATCCAACCGCACGATTTATATTCACGCGATTTTAAAATCAAAAATCGCAATTCATATTCACGCGATTTTAAAATCCAAAATCGCGATTCATATTCACGCTATTTTAAAATCCAAAATCGCTATTCATATTCATGCGATTTTAAAATCCAAAATCGCGATTCATATTCACGAGATTTTAAAATCCAAAATCACGATTCATATTCACGCGATTTTAAAATCCAATATCGCGATTCATGTTCACGCGATTTTAAAATCCAAAATCGCGATTTATATTCACGCGATTTTAAAATTCAGCCGCACGATTCATATTCATGCGATTTTAAAATTCAACCGCACGATTCATATTCACGCGATTTTAAAATCCAAAATCGCGATTCATATTCACGTGATTTTAAAATCCAAAATCGCGATTCATATTCACGCGATTTTAAAATTCAATATCGCGATTCATATTCACGCAATTTTGAAATCCAAAATCGCGATTCATATTCACTCGATTTTAAAATGCAATATCGTGATTCATATTCACGCGATTTTAAAATCCAATATCTCTATTCTTGAAAGAAGTAGAAGTAAGTTTTCTCTTGAATTAGTTACTGTAAAGATGTGGTATATTTTTCATTAGTAAGTAATTTAATAGTCGTGCCTTCCTATAATTGCTTTATTTTTTTAAATATATTAGTGGTCACAATTTTAAAATTATATTTAAGAAAAATTTAAAGTTAGCTGTCTAAATGCTTCTGCCACTTTAAATATCAAATAAAAATCTCCCAGCATAGTTAAAAGTTGCTTTTATAAATCTCAGTATCATATAGAGCAGTGTTCCCCAACCTTTTTATCACCGCGGACCTGTCAACGTTTGATAATTTTACCGTGGCCCGATTGGGGGGGGGAATTGATTGTTTATATTTTACATTATTTTAATTTATTAATTTTAATTTAATTTTATTTAAACATGCCTTCGAAATAAAATGTAGTTACATCAAAAAATAAATATAAAGTGATTTAACATTTTGACTTACTAGAACGAAAATTCAATGAACACCCTGAGCTTGTTTCTTTGCAATGAGACGGTTCCATCTGGGGGTAATTGTTTTAAATCATTAAAAAATTTATGTCACTACCTTCAGGGGCCCTTTTTTTTAATAAATAAAATTTTAATGGAACACTATTTTCAATTTGGGGTAAGAACCTAGGAATTTAAATTCAGTTTCAATGAAATGGGTGGCCCGGTACCATTTGATCCACAGACCGGTACCGGTCCACGGACCGTGGGTTGGGGAGCACTGATATAGAGCACTACCCCCTCCTCTCCTCCCAGTGGCCTGCATTGTAAAAGTTCAGCTTTTTTTTTATTTTTGTCCACTTTCATGCCTGTATTTACGTGGTTTAAAAATCCAATATCGTGATTTGTATGTTCGCATTCTTAAAATCCAATATTGCTATTCATATTTTTGTCTAAAATTAGTTACTATAAAGATGTGATATTTTTCATTTGTAGGTGATTTTAGTAATAAATCTTAGTTCAAAAAATTTTATTAAACATCTATAGTGTATAAATCAATATCAAGTTTTTGCATATAAAATTTTCAGGGTTTTTCGCTTTGTGTTACAATTACCCTTGTTGTATATCACTGAGAATATTTTATGTTAGCACTGTGGTCAGGGCCGGATTTAAGCTAGGCGGGGCCTTAAGCTACTGGAAATGTTGGGGCCCTTATAAATTCAATTCTATTTCTTCACACCTAAAGTAAACTGTCATTATTTTTTATTGTTGAGTATTAACACTAAATTACTAAAAAAATTTGATATTATTAGTCGATAGTTAAATGTGACTCTGATGAGACTATAATGTAGAACCTTTCTTTTATTGCGCATAATTTTTGAAGGCGGAAAAAAGTTACAACAGAAACACATTTTAATCAAAGAGTAAAACTTTGACATGCTGGAAGAGCCATTTTATATTTAACGGAACTTTTTTGGGAAATTCTGAATACATGTTATTTGTAATTTTAAATTATTTTTCTCGAATTTTTTTTCTTAATTGCTTTTTTGGTTTTTTTTTACGTTACATTTCACTTTGCTGCTCAAAATCTATAAGACTTAGAAACATGAAATTGTAAGGGCGTGCAGAAAATATGCATGGAGTTGGAAATAACACAATAAAATATAATTTAATTATTAGTTTTATTATTTTTATAACCGCCTTTGAATAACCAACTCAATTTTGAGTTTATGACTAACAATGTTTAACTCGGTAGCCTAGTAATTTTTAACTCAATCCAGAAGACAGAGGAACTCCTGGATCAGTACCCAGAGGTATATATTTGCTATAAGGACTTGGAGGACTTTGTATCCAAGACAGATTTAACATGCACCAGTCACCATTTTATACATGGTTATTCTTCTGCCGGATGGTTTCAAACTCCCATTCTCACGAACAAGAGTTCAACGATGTTCAACTCCGTAGCCTTGTAATTTTGAATCCAATCCAGTAGACAAGGGAACTCTAGGATCAAGTATTGGAAGAAAATTTTTGTCTTCGCGGAGGTCGTTCTGATGGATCTAACCCATACTTGAGTTACATGGAGAGGAAAACCTCCCACGGTTAGTCTGGCAGCTAGGGGACTCTAACTCATGATCTGTCTAACACTGAGGATATTTTACATCAGCACTGTGATCGGTGCTAGCCAGTTGTAGAATTCTTATCGACCAGCCATCACTGAGATTCGAATCCGGTTCCATTCGGAGGCGAATGTTTTAACTTTTGAACCCATCTTCACTGAGTAATAATTCTGCAGCAGGTACCAATTTTCCGATTTTATTAATTACTACCAATTTTATTGATTTGCCTAAATTTAGTCATCTTCAAAATGTAAATGGCAATTCAATCGTAATTTTTGTGGGCAAAAAATTGAAATATATAGTTTTTATTCTTAATCTGCAATGATTAATGAGAAGCAACCACGCGTGTTGGTGAGCAAAGTAAACAAGAACGGAGTCTTTTAGTTTTTCTTTTAAATAATTGTTAAATTACTATTTTTTTATCATGCATATTTTTAAAAAAATAAGAAAAGCATTTTTCTGTATTAGGAAATAAAAATTAAAAACTGTCATCAGTTGAAATGGAACCCACGATCTCTCAGTTTTGCGTTCGATTTCATAATCATCGGCCCTAAATAAACACACCTACCTTGCAGGGTATTTTTTATTTTATTTTTTAAAAATTTAATAAACTAAGAATCTTGATTTTGTTGAAAATTTCCAAATATGTTCTTCGTGTAAAACTATCATTTAAGTGTTTTTTCCCCCTTCAATTATGTGACAAAATATTTTCTTAAAAATTTGACATGCCAAAGTAGAAGACCTTCTGAAATTTTGAGAAAAACACGTGTATTTGCATGCGGCAGTACAGTGCATTTTATGAAACCCGAACCATGGTACTGACCGCACTGAGAGAAAAAAAATAATGGTTAAAACTATTAGAACATAGTAACATTTACGGTAGTTATGGAAACACCTTAAAACAGGGTAATTTTTTTTCGTAGCGATTCGGTCATAACTTCTCATGAAATTAACATAATAAAAATATAGTTTTTACCATGCTGTTACATAGGTAGTAAATGTAAGTTTTTATAATTTCATCATAATACCTTAGAAAAGCAGTTCAAACTGTGTTCTATGGTACTTTAGGGTTAAGGGAAGAGTTAAAGTGGTTTCGCAAATTAATACTTCTTATAACCAGGGATAAATACTTTTAAAAACTTCTAGTTAGTACTTTTTATAATCTCTGATTATATTTAGATCCAACCTATAAATTATATCTTATATAATCGTTCGGTTTTCTTTATTAAATTATTTAAAGTAAAATACCAATTAAGTAGAAATGGCATTTTTTAAATGATAATATATTTCTAAAAACAATATGTTGAATGTTGAACAGCCTACCTTTTCCTCAGATGGAAAAGAATAAACATTTATAAAATATTACATTAGCATTTCATACTGCACTTTTCAAATCAAAATAAAATAACTAAATTCTTTTATAAAAGAAAATACCTTCCTAATTATTATTTTTAACTAGTCTCTTCGAGCTCATTTAGAAGTAAACCAATTCGGCTTATTTAATTCATTTACAGCTTATGTATATACACCAGAAATAAATTCAAAACTATACTAGATATAGCACAAGGACTGCAAATTTAACTGTCGGATATAAAACCTTATTAATAATATAATGATTGTTAATGATAAAACGATGGAAAATCTTTATTCCTCTTATGAAATATTTAAAAAAAAGTTTTTTTTCCAGGTTATAACATCAAAATTACTTTAATAAATTTTAATCGTAGTGTCGGGGTTCCATAGAGGGAGACCTAAATAATAATTGAGAGCCGCTGTCTTAGAGCATGGCATAATAACCACGAATTCGTTTAATTTTGATTTTCACTTTTGCCCTAAATACAGCCCTAGAAATTTTTAGTTCCAAGCAATTTATGACCAGTAATCAGAAAAAAGGTGTTTCTGTGGATATCCGATATATCCGAAGTAAGGACAAAAATGCCCAATGCAATTTAAAAAAACTAAAAATATTTCCCCCCCCCCCAGTGTAAAATGAGGCAGCTATTTGATAATGCTGTGGGTGGTAGTTGCGAAAGCGGAATATTTCATCGGCCAAAAGAGCGTTTTATTGCTCTTTTGGTTAGAAAAGTGAAGAGTAACAATTATTTTATATTTGTAAACACTTAGATTAGATTTTGAAAAGAGCCCAACAATGTAAAAAAGAAAAAAAAATGCATTTTGGACTTCAGAGGGCCCCAGCTCCAAATAAAACTTTTTTTTAAAAGAAAAAAAGAAGTGGGATCTGGGGGCCCTTGCCATCTCGGGGCCCCAAGCTACAGCTTATTTAGCTTATACGTAAATCCGGCCCTGACTGTGGTCAGTGAGAGCAGAATTCTTATCGACCCAGACATCACGCCAATTTTGAACCCGGGTCATCTCATTGGGAGATGAGCGCTCTTTTTTACCAGCTACCGCAACTCTTTAGCCAGTTATTGAACTCTTTGCTACAAATTAACTGAGTATCACCTTGTGTGTGATGACTATACAAATCATCAACCATACTAGCATCAAGTTTGATTTAATGTAATTCATTTGGTATTGTATGAAGGGGCGTTTTAAATAGAAAAAAAGATCCTTTTTTGTTTTAGGTAATATATAAATTACATCTTTTTTATTAAACAATGTTTTAAATAAATTTTATGCACTTAATCTGCTTAAATATTTAAAATTAATTTCATTCTGCATCGAAGAAATAAGTGACATGTAATTCATTATTTAGACTGGTCAATTCCAAATGGTGGACACAGAGAACACAGACCAATTTGTATTCTACATTCATCACGTAGAAACAGGCAATGCAGACATTCTCACCTTCGACACCTCCTCCTCCTGCCAGGCTTTTGCATTTGGGGATGCAGCAGGTGATTATATTTTGGACACTTTTCTTAGTCATAGAATACTGTTTTGTTTTTGCTATGGGAACTTAATATTTATGTGGCTATAATTTTGTATCCATAGCATTACAGTTATGTGAAATTTTTGAGATCATTTAACCTATTTCTTATTTCAGATGTGTAAATATTACTGTAGTAGTTTTTGACATTTTAAACAATAAAGAAACTGTAACTAAGATATCATGTATTTCAGTTTTTACGAACTAATCTTAAAATAATATTTATTATTTAGCATAAATATCCACACAATTCATATTCAGAAATTTTAGGTATTATACATCACATCTTATGATTATGAGTCATGCATATTGATTTATGAATATATTTATATTAAAGAAAAAGTTTCAATAAAATCAGGCTGAATATACTGTTTGATAATGCTTGTTAGTAACTCAGGAAAGTGTAAGGTAATCAAGATTTTACTGTATAATGTTAACTTTCAATTTAATTTCAATCAGATATTGTTTATGTACTTTTCAAAGTTTGATGTTATAAAATTATTCTTTTTAATGATTGCTCTTAACACAAAAACCAAAAATTTTTCTAAATTTTTTTATAGATTATATTTTGATTTATGTTTATTTAATATGTTGTTTTTATTAAAGAATTTTTTTACACTGAATAATTATCTTAAGAGACTGTAACTACTCCCATTTAAACATTGTATTATAATCAATCATGGCAAGGATGCCCAGTGTGGACCAAGGCCTTCTGATCCAGGTGTTTTTAACTACTCCTACTGGCAGCAAACACTTCATTTTTTAACCCCGGGGATAAAGAAGTCCATCTAAGTTAGGGTCTTTCTTTTTGTGTGTTAATTGGCTTAACTGAAAAAATTATGAGAGTATTATACTTATTCATACGGATTCCATGTCCAAACAAGTCAAGACGACTTAATTTTATCTAGTGAATCACATCTGGATCTTTGAGTATTTGGTATAATACGGTGTTTCGTCTTTTACACCTGATGCTATTTTCCTCAATTTCGCCGCAGAAGCTTTTCAGGAGCTTGCATTCATAGGTAGCCAAACATTTTTCCTCCTTGAAAGTCATTGTCCAAGTATCTGAAGCATGAGTAAGAACAGAATGTAGTCTTATGCAGCAATAACTTTGTCTTTCTACATTAAAATCGAACACTGTGTAGTTATGTATACTTTGAGGTGTGCAATTAAAATTTAGTTTGTAAAATGAGATGTTCTCTAAAAATTATTATCATTACTAACTCATTTGTTAGTAAAATCAACTCATATATTTTGATGTGCAGACAACTTGTATGTTATTGCATATTTATCTCTTTAAATTTACATAAAATTTTCTAGAACATTCTTGTTTATCCTCTTGTTGTTTCTCAAATTTGTTGAATTGGTTTTGCAATGAAGGGAATGATGTTATTTCCAACGTTTAGGATCATCAAAAGGTTAAATGCAAACTATTTAGAAAACTTAATTTCTCTTGAGTGTCAATAATAATCCATTTCAAAAAACATCCTGAATAAAATATTTCTCTTCCCTTACATTCAAATAATAATGACACACTTTTTTAAAATTTGTTATTGTTTGTTGGTGAAATTTCATGCTGATTTCAACGATAGATGCAAGCAATTTTTCAGTGAATACTTTTAGAATTCATCTTCAAACATTTGCTAGAAAAAATAAGAATAAAAGGATGTTTCACAGCGCTTAATCTGCACAATTATTGAAATTTTACTGCATTTAAGCTTTAACATTTACATTTCTAAAAGATGTATGTCCCATCGATCTGTGAACTCCAAGGTAACGGTCGACTTAATTAAAATTTGGGTTTTAGTTTCTTTTTCAGAGATTTTGTTTGTATCTCTATCAATAGTCGCACAGTGATTCGCGAGGACAGAGGAAACAAGCTGTCGCATTGTAGGCTTATATTTTTTCTCTTTGAATAGCATATATTTTTATTTTTCCATTAGTTCATTTTTAAACATTAGGCATTAATTTTATGTGAATTAGATAGTATAGTCAGTATAGGCTCCGAAATCCGGCACTCACGGGACCGACGAAATTCCTTATTTCGAATCTCGTCCGGAAATTCCAATGTGGCGCCCATATATTCCGATAATTCAATTATGCTGTTAATTTCAAAGGAACCAATAAATTTAGCTAAGTTCCGATTGTAGATTATGATGGGGTGAATTGAAAACTGTCCCATCTTAAGAAATTTCATTAATAAAAATAATAATCTATATAATATAATCAAGTAGAAATAATCCAAAGAAGAAATAATTCAAAGAAGATATAATTCAAAGAAGAAATAATTCAAGATGAAATAATCTGAATCCCCCGAAAAAGAAATAATAATTTTTTCTTCCGTGCGAAATCATTGTTCTCATTTTTTCTTTTTTTCTCAGAAAAGAAAGAAAGTTATCAAGGAACTGCAAAAAAAAAAAAAAAAAAAAGGGAACGATTAATGCTACGAAACTAACAATGATGAACTACAAAAAAGAAGCAAACAACTAAAAAGGATAGAAAAAACAAATTGACAATTAACAAAAAAAAGTAACAGTTAATAACAAGTAAAAAGATAAATTAATCGAAGAAAAAAAAGCAAAAGGGATAGAATTCATTTTGTACACCACATGTTAGTTTCAATGTCAATAGGGTGTAGCCAAGTTATGGTCAACAGGAGAGGGAAATGTGGGGACAAACCAGTAAAGCACTTGCAAAGCTGTCAAGATTGATTGATCAGTTTCTTTCAACTTGCATTTTTTTATTTTGTTCATTGGAAATGCAGTTGTTTTTACTTTTCAGTTTCACCTTATTTTAAGTTGCTTTAGGAACAGTTGCTTTGTTTGACGCAGATTTTTTTTCGTGCTTTTTTTTTCTTTTTAAAAGATAAAATATAGTTACTTATTTCAAGAGAAAAAGTTCCAAATAAAAAGAAATTATGACTGATTTTTATTTTCTCGTAACAATGAAAATTGCTTTAAAAAAGAAAGGAAAAAGGTCGCATTAAGTGCAGAATTAGAGGTCCCATACTGTAGTAGTCTTGTATATATATATATATGTCACAGCGAAAGGCCGAAATCGGTTGTTGTTGACTTTCACCGGTGAATGTCGACAAACACCAAATACGTCGGTGAAAGATCGAATATTTCATTGCATTCTTGTACATTCGGACCCTCACCGGTGTATGTCGACAATCACAGATATGCTTTGGTGAATGTCCGAAATATTTATTACATTCGATTTGATATGAATTTATTTGTGGACATAATTACATTTATTCGATATTTTAACCCTACATTGATGTTTTATTAAGGCTAAGTGCCACTGCCCCGTATACATTTGCCCGGTATACCCTACACTGATGTTTTTTTTAAGGTTAAGTGCCCCTGCCCGGTATACATTTGCCCTGTATACCCTACACTGATGTTTTTTTAAGGTTAAGTCCCACTGCCCGGTATACATTTGCCCGGTATACCTTACACTGATGTTTTTTTTAGGTTAAGTCCCACTGCCCGGTATACCCTACACTGATGTTTTTTTAAGGTCAAGTGCCATTGCCCGGTATATATTTGCCCGATACTCCAAATACTGATGTTTCTTCTAATCTATCGTCAGTATGTATTAAAATGTAGAATAAATATAAATATATCAAATAAATATAATTTATTTGATATGCCCGAAATCCGGCACTCACGGGACCGACGGAATTCCGTATTTTGGAATTTGCCGAATTTCGGATCTCTTCCGGAAATTCCAATATGGCGCCCATATATTACGATAATTCAATTATGCTGTTAATTTCAGAAAAACCCATAAATTTAGCTAAGTTCCAATTGTAGATTATGATGGGGTGAATTTAAAACTGTCCCATCTTAAGAAATTTCATTAATAAAAATAATAATCTATATATTACAATCAAGGGGAAATAACCCAAAGAAATAATTCAAGATGAAATAATCTGAATCCTTCGAAAAAGAAATACCGTAATTTATGGAAGAAACGCCGCAGCATTTACGAGTTTAAAAGTTTTAAAATTTTAATTACGGTGTTTACGATATTTAAAAAATAAATTTTACATTTTTCAAAGAGAAAATCAAATTTTTAATCAAAATAGTTGCGAATTATGGCAAAAGATGACGCTACTATTGCTAACCCACCACCCCTTAAAGAAAGTGTGGTTGATAGCTCTTTCCCATTTTTTCTCACTTTGTTACAACGTGCTTTGCATAATAATGAGAAATTAAATTGCGGAAAGTTTTCTTTTTAGTATTTGCTAACATTTTTTCATTTTACAATATGCCTCCTAAAAGACATATGAGTACAGCTGCTTTCAAACTGCAAGTTATTGAACGAGCGGAAAGTATAGGAAATCGTGCAGCAGCGCGAGAATTTGAAGTAGATGAGAGATGCATTCGCCGATGGCGGTCGGAAAAAGAAAGTCTAGAAAGCATGCCAAAAATGAAAAGGGCAAGAAGAAGTGGAACTGTGCGTTGGCCTGAGCTAGAAGATGTTTTAGAAAAATGGATTTTTGAACAGCGCAAGAAAGGACTCCCTGTATCAACCATTAAAATTCGTCTACAAGCCAAAAAGATATCTGCAAACATGAGAATTTCCAATTTTAACGGCAATCCAAATTGGTGCCATCGGTTCATGACAAGAAAGAAATTATCTATGCGAAGTAAAACAACAATCGGCCAAAGTCTTCCAGATGACTGGAAAGAAAAAAAAGAATCCTTTTTGAATTATATGAAGGATTTAAGAGCTCAGAAAGGAATGAAAGAATGCCAAATCGTCAATATGGACGAAGTTCCGTTGACGTTCGATTGCCCGTCCAACCGAACGGTAAATAAAACCGGTGATAAAACCGTTTCTATTGCTACATCTCGCCACGAAAAAACTTCCTTCACTTGTGTGCTTGCCTGTGCTGCTAATGGAGAAAAATTAAAACTGATGATGATTTTCAAGCGGAAAACGTTGCCTAAGGAAATTTTCCCAAATGATGTCGTCATAAAATGCAACGAGAAGGGCTGGATGTGTGAGAAAATAATGCTTGACTGGATTAATGAAGTCTGGCGTAAACGAAAAGGGTCATTTTTCCAGCCAAGTGGCATTCTTGTGATGGATTCGATGCGGGCACATTTGCTGGACTCGGTGAAAAAGTAAACAAAAAGAGCTTCAGCTTCTTTAGCTGTTATCCCAGGTGAGCTAACAAAAATACTCCTGCTGCTGGATTTAACAGTAAATAGAAGTTTCATAAGCCACATGAGAAAACTTTGTGAGGCATGGATGGCTGGCGAAAATCACTCGTACACTAAAAACGGAAATTTGAAAAGAGCTTCATATGGAGAAGTAGCTCAATGGGTTTCAGAAGCTTGGAAAGCAATTTCTCCGGACACTATAAAGTTAGGTTTTTCGCAGGCGGAAATAATCCCGAGTGTTTCTATCGAATCGCTAAAGATGTGATCCGACAGATGAAAATAATGATGATGCTGAATTGGATGAAGAATTGCTGCAATTGTTTAATTCTGATTCTGAATGCAGCGAATTTGAAGGGTTTGAGTGAACCTAAATTTTAAGTGGATGCGACCCACTTTAAAAAGCGTGCAAAGTGGATGCGACTCACTTAAGTTGTAAAATGCAAATATGTTGCAATGTAAGTCAGTTATATAATTCTTAACCTAGAGATGGCACCACCAACGATTTCCGATTGTAATAATATTATTTTGAGCAGTTTGTTCAAAGTGTTTAATAACAGATTCTTGCTTTTGTTAGACTACACATTTTATACTTTAATTTACATTTTAATTTTAAATTTTTGTAATAATTTATGTAATAAAGCATTCATTTAGTATATTTAATTTTTGCCAATACATCGTTGTTGTGGGTGCGACTTATAAACTGTTATCTTCTTATTTAAATAAAAGAGGTACATTTCCCAAAAATAAATAAAGAAAATAAAGAAAAATAATTATAAAATGTAAATATGTAGTACAGTATGGGACCCGAAATTCGGCACTTAATCTGACAAAAAAAATTTTCTTTTTCTTTTTTTTTTTTAAATAAATTTTTATTAATAAGAGAAAAAAAATCAGTCATGTTTTCTTTTTTTTGGGAATTTTTTTCTCTTGAAGAAGTAACTATATTTTATCTTTTAAAAATAAAAACATGAAGAGAAAAAATAATTTATCTGTGTCAAACAAAACATCTGTTCCTAAAGCAGTTTAAAATAAAGTGAAATTGAACAAAATAAAGAAATGCAAGTTGGGAGAAACTGATGAATCAATCTTGACAGCTGTGTAAGTGCTTTACTGGTTTGTCCCCCCACATTTCCCTCTCCTGTGTGACCATAAATTAGCCACACCCTTTTGACATTGAAACTTCTTTCTCACTTGGTGTACAAAATGAATTCTATCCCTTTTGCTGCTTTTTTTTAAATTCGATTTATTTATCTTTTTATTACTTATTAACGGTTACTTTTTTTTGTTACACTTGTTAACTTGTTCTTTTTTTTTAATCGTTATTAGTTGTTTGCTTCTTTTTTGTAGTTATTCATTGTTAGTTTCTTGGCATTAATTGTTACTTTTTTTGTAGTTCCTTGTTAGCTTTTTTTTTCCGAGGTGAGCACCTTTTGTTAAAACAAAATGTTATGTAAAATAAAAACGAGAACAATGATCTCGCGCTGAAGAAGAAACGATTATTTCTTTTTCAGAGGATTCGGATTATTTCATCTTGAATTATTTATCCTTCGGATTATTTCTTCTTGATTATATCATATAGATTATTATTTTATTTAATGAAACTTATTATTTTAATTAATGAAATTTCTAAAGACGGGACAGTTTTAAATTCACCCCATCATAATCTACAATTGAAACTTAGCTAAATGTATTGGTTTTTCTTAAAAATTAACGGCGTAATTGAATTATCGTAATATACGGGCGCCATATTGGAATTTTCGGAAAATATCCGAAATTCTGCAAGTTCCGAAATACGGAATTTCGTCGGTCCCGTGAGTGCCGAATTTTGGGTCCTACACCATAATGTAAAAATATCATTTATATTAAATTAATGTAAATGTAGTTATTTAAATTTTTTACCTAATGATGGCGCCAACAGCCGATTGTAACATGTTGTTCTGAGCAGTTTGTCCAAAATATACAATAGCAGATTACATTCTTGATTTTATTATAATTATACATTTATAAATTTTAACTTATATTTTAATTTAAAACATTAGTAGTATTTATTAGGAATTAATGTTATATATTCACTTTTGCAGCTAAATCGTTATTATGGGTGCGGCGTTTACCATGATTTTTTTCTTTTCAGTCTCATTATCGCAAGTGCGGCGTTTACGATAGGTGCGGCGTTTCTTCCATAAATTACGGTAATCGTTTTTTCTTCCGCGCGAGATCATTGTTCTCATTTTTTCTTTACATAACATTTTGTTTTAACAAAAGACGCTCACCTTGAAAGAAAAAAAGAAAAAAGGAAAGCTAACAAGGAACTGCAAAAAAGTAACAATTAATGCTAAGAAACTAACAATGAATAACTACAAAAAAGAAGCAAACAACTAAGGATAAAAAATAAAAAAACAAGTTAACAATTAACAAAAAAAGTAACAGTTAATAACAAATAAAAAGATAAATAAATCAAATAAAAAAAAGCAAAAGGGATAGAATTCATTTTGTACACCACTTGGTAGTTTCAATGTCAACAGGGTGTGGCCAATTTATGGTCAAACAGGAGAGGCAAATGTGGGGCAAACCAGTAAAGCACTTGCACCGCTGTCAAGATTGATTGATCAGTTTCTCCCAACTTGCATTTCTTTATTTTGTTCATTGGAAATGCAGATGTTTTTACTTTTCAATTTCACTTTATTTTAAACTGCTTTAGGAACAGATGTTTTGTTTGTGTGACGCTTATCGTCACTTAATTCAGAATCACAATAAAACATTTAAAATAGATTTATCGTAAATTGCAAAATAATTGATTAGATTTAAAATACTGTGGAAACTTCCATTAGTACATAGAACTTAAGCAAATACAAATAAACACTCTTGATTAAAGTTAAGAAATACGTGTCGAAAAGGGTTAATCACAAGTTTATAGTCCAAGTTTGATCTCTTGTGTGACCTTTCCAGAATTTAGCAATAGTTTTATCTAGCAAAAAGTTTAGTATAACAGATCAAAAAAAGACAACAAAAACAGTAGCAGTAGTAGTAGAGAGAGTAGAACCGAGTCATTTTGAGGTTCACCAACTTCCAATATGAACATCAATATGGGTAAGTTCTCTCCATGCCAATTAGTTTATTTGTTACCAATCAAAGCCTTTTAATTAATTTGTTATTTAAATTTTGTNGATGTTAGGAGCTAAGTATTTAAAATAGTATTCAATATATATATGTATATGTATCTGTATGTGTATGCATTTAGATATATATATATGTATATATATATATATATATATAAACTGGGTGTTTAGCTCTCCCTTATCTTCCTCTTGGCTATCTGGTGGCATCGCTTAGTTTTTCCGCCTTAGTCCTGTCTGCTAATGGCTTATTAAAATAGTTTAACAATGTAGATTTTCTGGCCTTTTGATATTCTCCCCTAAATTAGCTGGAGCTGATGGAGTCTGATGTGATCATTAATATCAACCGAATTCTTTTCCTACCGTTTGTCATGCTGACTAGGGCCAATTTGTGTTCCTGTTTCATCGAGGCTGTTACGTGTGACTGCTCAGACGATGTCTGTATTTGTTTATTAGTCATACTTCTTCACGTTGTGTTCATATTGTTATGTTCCAGTCCTTCTTATTTTACTAATACAAAATGGATAGTCAAGCCTGCAATAAACTTTGCAAGTATTTGAATGATATTTGTAAGACTAACTCCTTTAACATTCTATGTGTGCCCACTAAAGTTACGTGTTTGAACACATTCATTGGAACTAATAGACGAGGCCTACTCATATAACAGCAAGCAGCAATAGAATAGAGTCGTCAAGTTTTGCAAATGAAAAAAGAAATCCTTATGTTATTTATAAAAATGACTTTTAAAATGGCTTTCTTTCAAAAGAGTTGTACATATTTTTTCCCTCATGTATATTTAAGAAAAGTGTATGTTGAATTCTCTTTGTTTCTCTTTTTAGGATATTTACATTTATTTGGTGCAAGCAGTGAGGTCCAATTTAATCAATTCAACCGACCTACAGAATTTGCTGATACAGTATGTCCTTTTTATTTTTCAAACAATCTCTCTCTCTCTCTCTCTCTCTCTCTCTCTCTATATATATATATATATATATATATATATAGCAAAATAAATAAATACAAAAAAATAGGAAGAAAATTAGGAAAAACAATAAGTTTCATTTATTGTGCATAAGCTGCAAGTAAATAGAAATCATGAAATAAGTTCAAAATGAAGATAAGTTGTTTCTTATTTTTTTATTATTATTTTTCTTCCCCCCCCCCTTTTTTTTTCATATGTCTGTAATTTTTCTTTGTTTTATCTTCATTTTAAATAAATGAGTAATGTAAACATAAATTTAATAACATTTCAACTAAATTAAAAGCATCCAGGATTATATTCATAGACGTAGAACTTAAGAAAAAAAGTGTAAAGCAAAGTGCAAAACGAAAGAAAGAACAAAATTTTACAACGTTATATTTGAATTTCATCCACTTGAAATTCAGTTCAGTTTGTTATACTTTAGGAAGAAGATTACAGAGAATTCAGAGAAGTTTACAGGATTGCTTGGTCACTAACTTTGGTACTTGAACTTAGTATGTTGATTACACCACTTACATACAGTGATACATTTAAATGACAGAATTTAAATTAAAAAGACAAACAAGAAAACACATGAGAAAATATAACTTTTATGAAATTTTATTGGTCCTGAACTATTCAATCATTCCTGTTTTTAATTTTGTCATTTGAAAATTTGTGTACTTTACAATTCATACAGTTTTGTGTCATTGATATAATCTTGAATAATTATAAAAAATTAGTTTGCGCTTAAGATTATCTTTTGTGTGAGCAACATTTAAAATTATGTGCAAAAAAAAATTGCGTGAATAGTTCAAGAGTAATTAAAAATCCTAAAAAGTTAAATAAACATTATTAGGTTTTAAAATTTCTCATTTTAAAGGTCAAAACTCCTAAGTCTAAGAAAAGCCTAATTTTGTAACTAAAATATCACTTATGAAATTATTAACACAATTTGCTTTTGCCATTAGTTTTTATTAAATTATTTCAGAAATGTTTCTCTTGTTTTTTAAAATTCTTCTTCTCTTGATGATTGATGAGAGATAAAAGATTATTCTTAGAATTGTCTGTCCCATCTCTTAACTGACATTAAAAAATCTATATTTTTCTCTATATCAAAATAAAGATTTTGGGGTATTTAACTTGAATTGAGTCATTTTCAAATCAATTTCTTTTTTTAGAGACAAAAACCATTTTAATTACTGTACTATTGTATTGAATTCGGTATTTAGTTAATAATATTGTGTATCAAACAAGAGCACTCTTCATTAGACAATGCTACATGTTTCTGATTAGGTTGTTTGTAGCCGTGCATGTGTGTTAATTGTTTTTTTTTAATTTAAAAAAAGATGTTGCCAAATTTCATTGTTTTGAAATTAAGACAATGAGAACTAAACTCTTTATTTCTGTACAGGTGGAGCCCTTCCAACCCATCGACATCAATGATGAAGTGACTCCTCTCTCCATTGTACCTCTACCTCATTCTGATGAAAAAATGTTCTCAGATCTCCCTCCAGAGTTCTCCCAAGTAGTCTACAGGTAAAGAACTGCTCTTTTCTTCTATGCTATACTCAACTCATTAAAAAAGTTAATTTTTCTGACTTGAAGATTTTGATTAAAAAAATAGATGTGATTAAAAATTGCAGCAATTTATAGAGAGAGAAAGAGAGGGAGGCAATTACGAATGAAGGGAAAGAGAAATTTATAATTAACTGAACAATAAGTAAATATGTAGATATGTGAAACTGCAAATATGTAGAACCACAAGATAAGATAAAAATGCAAAGAAAGCAAGGAAAAAAATCATTAAACATGTAAAAAATAAAAAAATAAATAAAACAATCAAAATTAGAAAAAATGATAAAGAAAAGATATAATCTTGTCATCAGTTCACATGATTATAATTGCAAAAAAAAAAAAAAAAAATGCTTTCTAATATTGCATTAATATATCCAAAGTAAAATATAACAATAGTGTGAAGAGCTGAAGAAAAAATTAAAAAAAAAAAGTTTTATTGAGTAAAAGTCACAAAAATGTAATGCAAAAAAAAAACACTAATAGGAACATACAAGAATTGAAGAATGGAACCGTTCTGAGTTTTTGTGATTTTATGAAAATTTTTTATTCATGCATCGATTTCTCTCTTTTTTTTTCTTTGGTGCTCTTCACACTATTTTCTATTGATATCTTTCACTTTGGCTATGTTAATACAGTATTCTAAAGCATTATTTTTGAGGATATGGTAGTAGGAAGTGATGGCAAGATTATATGGTTTCATTATTATTTTTTCTTATTTTGATTTTTTTTAAATTTTTATTTTCCCTTTCTCTTAAAAATATTTTTTTCCCCTTTCCTTGTTTTCTTTACATTATTATTTTATCTCACACACACATGCTTATATAAATCTGTGTGTTATAGTGTTATAAATTTTAAAAGTATAATTTTTTATTATTTTAAAAAACTTTCAATACATATTGTATTTTCTTGCTTTCTGAGTAGTGCAATGCATGTGTATTTATAGCATTTTAACTGAGTTACAGCTCTCAAATGGTATCTCACTAATATTTAGTAATGCAGACATCATTGATTTACTTTTACTTAAGGTGTTTTTTACTTAATATCATAACCTGACTTTACATGCTTTTTTCCTCCTTTTCAATTTCAAATTAAACAAATTTTTGTTTTTCAATGACATTTGTTGCTCCTTAATATGAACATAACATAAATAATTATATTTTTAAATCCAGGCCAACACCCCCAGTGGATCCCATGATTTTGAATACTATGAAAATGGTTGGTTCAATTGGTTATGCACCGAATCCAGGAAATCGTCATCGAAATCAAGTTCCTTACCAATTGAACCAAAACAAGCTATCAAATGATTCACCTGCTCACAAAGGTTTCTGCTTTTTGGTTTTCTGTTTACTTATTTGTTTAAAGGATACAACTTTCCTGTTATTCTGTGGTGCTCATCATTTAATTTTTTGTTTGATGTTGGAAAGTCTTCATTACAAATGTTTGTGAGGAGAATTCTGAGGACATCTACATTTGTTTCCTCTCTGAGTTCAGTATCTTTTAATTTTTAATAGTTTTAATCATTGTTCTGAAATATAAAAAGGCACTGCAAAATATTTCCTCTTTTATTTAATTCTCTGAGCATTAGTCCCTTATTTTCTTAACACTTAAAGTTGGCATCTTTCCTGCATTAAAAAAACCAGTTTACCTCATACTATTCAACAGGAAAGTAGTATGCTACAGCAAAATTTCAATGCTGTTTAACCTAGGAGCTCAATGATTAAAAACAATTTTAATATATAATCAAATAGTCTTATAGCCACAAAATGTCAATATAAACTAGTAAAGCTTGGTTCCATTGAACTCAGTTCATTAAAAAAACATATGGACTAGTAAATAGACCTAACATAATCATTACATATTGTGAAGAGCAGCTAAATTGAAAGTCAGCAACAGGAAGAATAATATTTAACAAGCTTCAACTCAGGCTTAAAGCTTCTTACTACAAACAGTTAATAATTTCATGACTTATGTTATTGATTGATCAACCAACAAATGAATAAGATCAGTTGAACACATTTAGCTCATGATATCAACTATGTCAGTCATCATCAACTATGCAAAAAAAAAAAGATTTTTTATTTTTTACACAAAACAAAATAGAAAAGTAATTCATTTTCATTAACAATGAGTTATCCAAGAATAATACCCAAAAAAGTCCTTTTTTGTTTATTTATTTAACATAACCATTAATTTTGAGAAATTGATATTGCAGAATGCAATTATTTTGGAAATTTTGAGCTTTTTCAATTTTATCAATGTAACTTGTATTTACCTTTAAAAAAGTAGCAACTCATAATGTTTTAGATTTTTTGAGTGAGAATTTATGCAATGATATTATGTGAGATATGTATACAAGTATAAATTATTAAAATAAAAAATCTTTTATAGGGCTGTGGTTGGTCTCTAATAATCTTTTTAGCTGATCTTATCATACATTTCACCTATTTTTTTCTACAAAGACAGTTAAATGTTTTAAAATTTTGAAACTGCTTTTTATTTCCACTTTTTACCAATTAATGGAAGTGATATTATTGCTACTAAACTTCTAATTTATTTATTTTTAATGTGAGTAATGTTTTTCCTTTGTTTTCAGATGATGGTCCTGAGCTTGTACCATACAGATATTTGAAACAAGAAATTAAGTACTCTAAGATGGGTCTGGATGAAATTGATTTCAACCGATTTAATCGCACTAGCTTTTGTGGATTGGAAGCTAATCTGCCCAATTCTTACTGCAATAACATGATACAGGTAAATTCATTTTTCACTGAATAATGTATTTCTTGATTATTTGACAGATTAATTGTGATTTGATTTGTGGACAAAATCTTACTTGTGCAATGCACTAAATAAAAAATTTACCCGTTAAAAGTTTTCAATATATTTTTATGTACTAAGATGCAATCTTTATGGTTTGAAGGGTAACCTTAAATATGCCAGTTAATAAGTGTCTAAATTAAAGCAAAAAACAATGTGAATAAGTACAAATGAAAGTAAGGGTAGGACTTTGGGCCGATGCCTGAGAGGTTGTGAGTTCGATACCTGCTGGCCGAAGACTCCCCGTGTAGTAGATGGTGACTGATGCATATTAAATCTGTCAGGTCACAAAGTTTTAAATGTCCCTATAACAAATCATACCTCTAGGGGTACTGAATTGGAGATGGATCATTCTATGGTTCAGGTCACAATTACAATTTGCGAATGAATATGTCTACCCTATAAACGGGCTGTGACGTGTGAGTGGCTAAAATCATATTCTCGTCTATAGATCGCACCATTAAAGTACAAGAAACCTACTCTCTGCCTTAAATTCGATTGGTTTCACCAAGCAGACTTGCTGGTATTGACAAGTGGCATTAGAAACAGCAACAGAACCATTCTTACTGTCTAAACACCAAATAATAATTAGGCAAACACATGCCAAGTAGTTTAATCAATAGTGACAGATTAACAAGCTTGAACAAGAAAATAAAAAGGGAAATAAGCAGGAGATTTGGCAGGAATCCCAGGGTGCAACAGATTAAATTAAAATAGACTTCCAAATATTGCGGAGCCACGGGATACTAGAAAGATCAATAACTAATTTACTAGAATGTTTCAAAATATGGAATGACTCCCAAAAAGTCAAATTCAGAAGATGAAGAGCAGTGGTGAGCAGAAGTGAAACCTATGATTTTGATTCCAACAATAAAGAGCAATAGAATGTTCTGATTTTAGACATATCTTTCTTGTTCTTTAAGTTAAAGTTTAAGGGTATGTTTAAATTGTCCAAATGTAGGCAAAGCCACATTAACATGAAATATTTCATGTAAGCAAACAATTTAACTTGCAAAGGGAAGAAGAAAAAAAAGATTTAAACAATTTGTTGAATAAGTTAAAATTTTAATTTTCTTCCCTAAACCTTCTTAGCTTAAGATTATCCAGTTATATTAAAATAAAAATTTCTTTTCTAAGTGGTATTTAAAAAAAAATGGTTTGAAGTTTGTATGAAAAATATTTTATAACAAAGAGATATTATGATATTGAAGATGATAATGTTTTGCAATATAAAGAAAATTTATCAAGCAATAGTTATTTCTCACATTTTCAGTACTTCTTTATTCGTGCTAGTTACACTGACTACAGTCTTTTGATTTTATAATAGTATTAAAAATGTAATGTTTTGACAAAAGTGTTCTTATATCTAACAGTAACTATAATTATAGTTGCAAGTTTGTCACGGCGGGAATATCCATAGTGTTTTTAGCGAATTATTACTGTTTTTTCCAAAATTCACGCATTTTTCAAAATGCTGCAATTTTTGCAAAAATGATTTTAAATGTGAGATTAATTTTTCTCTTTAATTTTAATATTAATTAGTACTTTTCTGAAACTTCAAATTTGATAAGCTGGTAAAGTACTGAGTAGAATAGATTTGATGGTGACTGAAACCTGTCAAGTAAAATGGTCTTTTGAATGATAAATAATTAAGGATACTATGCCTCCCCAAAATTACAATGAGCTCACTTCCAGAAAAGAAAATTTACTGAAATGAGTAGGTAGCACATGCTCTTGCACTGGGCAATAAAATTGTTTTTTTCTTCATGTTAAAAAGTGCACGACAAGTGAATAGTTCTTGACGGTGAAATAAACATCCTACGAAATTTACAAATAATATCAAGAATCATTTGCTAATTTTGGATTTTTTTCCAAACGACAAACTTGAAACGTTACTGATCATTCAGTGAGCTTATTTGTGTAATAAAGAGTGTTGTCAACAGATGCTGTACTTCATAGAACCTCTGAGGAGTGCACTTCTCAACCATCTTTGTCAGAGGGAGTTCTGCCTCGCCTGTGAACTAGGATTTCTCTTCCACATGCTGGACACTGCACAGGGTCTTCCCTGCCAGGTACATACTCTTACACTCTGATAAACAAACTTAATTTGAATAAGAAACTAAAACATTAGTGCAGCAAATTATATCTACTTTTTTATTTTGTATTGTTTCTTCAAAACAAAAATATTGAATTTCGAGACTAATAAACCATTTAGATGTGACTTTCTTTAGCTTTAGATGATTCTTGTAATTTTTGTCACTGAACTGCAACAAAAACCGTAAAAATTATTTCACAAAAAAATTTACAAACATTAACCCACTAATAGATTATTATTGTTTAAATTTCCCCTAGCAGCAATTTTACCTTGGCTCAATATAGGTCCTATAAGATTATGCACCGATGGTCCTATATTGAGATGTCTAGATTTTTTAGTATTGGTTCTAAAATAGCTTTTAATATTGGGCAATGACAATTCTATATAGAGCCGATATTTGGTTGAAAAGTGTCTGTTGAATATCTGGTAAAAAGGACAATACTAAATAGGGCTGATATGGCTGAATAACAGAATAACTTTCTATATAGAGCTAATATCAAAAAAAAATGTTGTCTTTTTTTTACCCTTATTAAGTCTAGATTAATGAATATTGGTCTAAAGAAGGCTCAAGTTATTTCGCTGCTAGCATCTTTGCAAAATGAACTGTGTCACTTAAGAGGATGCTTTATCGGGGGAGAAACTTTTCACAATAAGTTCTTTTTCTCACCCATTAGTATTACAAAATTTAGAGAAAAGTGAACTTAGGTAAACTTTGAGTAAACCATGGAGATTAAAATGCTGAAAAAAATGTTTTCAAAGTATCAAGGGACAAATAAGTTATAGCAGGATTACTTCACCACTGTAAAATCCTCTCTCTATTTTTTTTCTTTTTTTTTGAATTTTGATGTTTTGAAAACATTTTTTCAGCCTTTGAAACAATTTAGTTTAACAACCATAGGTACTCAGGTTTTGAAAACATTTACCTGAACTCACTTTTCTCTGCACTTAAAATTTTAAATTGCTTATATAAGGGAAAGAGAATTTTACAATAAAGGTTTCTCTCACAGTATAGCATCTTCTTAAATGTTGTAGACAACATTTAAGTAAGATTCCATTCTCAATCATTTCAGGCTGCCAATTTCTTGAGAGCTTTTCGCACTATTCCCGAGGCGTCTGCCCACGGATTGATTGTGAATGATCTCAACGAGAGTAAGAAGAGAGGAAACCTACAGACGCTCGTTCAGAGCTGGACACGCTTCATGTTGCAACAACTTCACACGGTTAATCATAATTTCCTTACTGTAAAATATCGATCTCTATGGAAATCATTATTTTAATGAGCATTGCTCATTTCGTAAATGAACTGAAATATCTGTTATTTTATATCACTGTTAAAATTACAAGAACTGGAAAATCATTTTGATTTTATAAGTCTTCTTATTTTCTCATTCACTCAAATTTTCAGTCCCTTTTTTAAAAAAAATAAATGAACAAGAGATTTTTTTTTCTATGAATACTGATGTCCATAACATTAATATTGGTATGGCATTAATTTTTAAGTTAGAAAAATATTCTTTTAATTTTTAGGAAAAACAGGCAAAGTTTTTGTATCCTGGTGATTTAAATTAAACTATGCTCAATAGCATTCCTAATTTCAAAAATAATTTTCCAGCTGTGTTTTTTTTTTATTTTATGCACTTGCTTGTTAAAACTATTATTTTAGTACTATCAAAATATTCATTCTAACAGTATTTAGTATTATTATACACAGGTAGAACTTTATATAATTTGAAATATTGATACCTCTAGCATTTCCTTTCACCACAAAGTTAACACTTAATAAATTAGTTCAAATTTTACCCCTTGTCTGATAAAGAAAAAAATCTTTATTTTTAAAATAAAAGTTTCTAAATAGTGCACTAAGCAAGGTTTTCAGATAACAAAAGAACAGAAGGAGATAAAAATTTATGAATGACTTTATTTGTTATAGCCTTTCTAATAGTTTGTTTCTTTTCTCCAAATCTATAAGAGCCGCTGTACATAGCAGAGAAAAAAAATTGGCATTAAATTTGTCTTTTAGTAACTTTTTTTTGCCTGATTAAATGTAGTAAATGCTACTAAAAGCATTAAAATACTTGTTTAACATCACTTTTTTGTTTGTTCAACAATACTTTTACTCAATACTTGTTCAACAGTATTTTTTATCATGATTTACTTTGAATATAATACTCCTGATACTACAAACATTAAAATGAAATGATGAATTATGGACATAATCTTAATAAATTTACTCAATTTTCTAAAAATACATTTTTGCATTGACTTCTTTGTTATTTTTTACTATTTCTCTTAACATTTTTTAAAAATCTTTATATTGTGTAAACTCAACTAATTAATTAAGATTGAGATTTTTTTTATCGAAGTATAAATTTAAACCATATTAAAATGCTAAAAACGTACAATATCGAAATGAGCATCCTAAAATATGAAGTGGATTAATTTAGTTTTTTAAATTTTGGGAAACTCTTAAAAATTTCATTCCTTCAGAAATGTTCAAAAGTATTGCATTGGGCTTTTCTTTTTTTTATTCTTCATTTAGTTAAATATATAAGATTAATAATAATGAAATAGTTATTTTTATTTTCAGAATAGCATAAGCTGAGAGGCCTTAAAATCAATTCATGTTTCTTAGTAATTAAATCATTCAAAGAATTTTTTTTTTTAAATTTTAATATTTTATTATTTGTTCTTAACTGAAGAGTCACAATGATTATGTGTTTAATAAGTATACTAAATTAATTTCAATATACTTTTTATGCTCAGATTTGAATGTTAACTTTATTTTGTGCAATGTTCAGTTAAATCTTCTGCAAAAATTCTGTTTATTCCTAGATATCCATGTTTTTTTTTAAAAAAAATTAAACTTGTTAGGTGAAAGGAGAAAACGTTTATGAAATGAGTTTCATATTTTATTAAAAATATTTCATATGATATTAAAATTTCCTTGATAGCTCTTATCAAAAATTTTCATTGAATGATACATACCATTTAAAATTTTATTTCATAGTCCATTTCAAATTTTAGCAAACTCAGACATTTAATTTGTTATTTTATTTAATTGTAAAAAAAATGAGATAGGTTGACAACATACTTTTTTTCTCCCATTGTACATACCAATGAATTAACTACATTTGATATGAATTCGATTTAGCAAACTACATTATTTACGTATTCTTCATTACACTAAGTGTGAAAGAAAAGCAAATACTCCCGCAAATTGCTTCTCAGCCCATCATTTCAATGACAGCTTTATAGACATATCTTCTTTTTTTTAAGTATTTTATGAGGAGTGTGTACTTGCACTCAGTAGATAATCATAAATTTTTTGATCAAAATATATAAACATGTATTAGTACAACATTACAGTGTGAAGTAATGAAGAATTAAAGGTTCTGTGATATCAAGCAATACTTTTTCAATTCGTTTCGAAACAAAGTTATCACGTTTACGTCAATTTAAAAAAATTTGGGGGGGATCCTTGCAAGTTTTAATGAAGGAAAGGTTGATAGTGTGTATGTATTTTTACTAAGTTGTTCTTATTAATAATATTTTTACATTTGAAATTTTAAGGAAACTCTGGAGGTCAATGATCATTTACTAGAAGAAAACAATTCTGAGTAAGTACAATTAATATTTGGTTACAAAAATAGCTGTTCTATATTTTAAATTATAACAGTCTTACCTTTTTTTTACACCATTTATCCAACAAGTATATTAATTTATTTTTCTGTAGTTATTATAATAATTTTAAATTAATTGTTTATTAGTAACTCTTTATGGAATTCAAATTGAGGAATGTTATCCAGTTTTAAGCATCCAATTTTTAAAGGGTACTAAGGTAAAATACACAATTACAATACTTTCCAAAATTTTACTTCTGAAAAAAGATTGATTTCAACATTTTTTCATCTGCTAAATATAAGCGAAAGGATTGATTGATTTTTTAAATATCTAAGCTTGTTTATAAATTAATAATAATTAAATATTTTTTACTTTCCTTTTTTTGGTCTGAAACGGGCCCATGTTGTCCATTAGCCTCTAAAGTTTTAAGCAATTACATTGTTTTATAGTTGTAACAATGAAGAGTGAACAGATAAACTAAATTCTTTCAAAACATTCAGCGACAAACAATACAAATGCAGTGTTTCACTTATATTTAGTTTTTGAAAGTTTCAATAGTCTAAAAATTAGGACAAATAATTGCAAAAAAGATGTTCATATTCATTAAGATTTTTGATATCTTTTAGGCTTAGGGTGTGATTGAAAAAGCTTGATTTAAAAAATTGATAAGTTGAAAGAAATAAAAATATGTTTAAATAATTGTAAAAAAGACAAAAATTAAAATAATTTGTTGTGCTTTCAAATGAAATTTTAAAGACTGGGAAAAAAATATTTTTGACATGTTTTTTCAACACATTTAAAAGTATTCTAACAAATAGAAAGGCCCTAACTTTTCTCTAAGCTATTCAGAGGTAAATGATTAATGATATGAATTGATAAATACTAAGTGATCAAAAATGTCACATTGAAGTTGATCAAAGTGTAAAAAAGATACTAATAATTATGAATTTAGTAATAGCTAATTTTAGTTCTATTTGAATTAAAAATTTTTATTTTCAACACATTCATACTCAAATTAAGAAATATGTTTTATAGAGAATATATGCCTTTTTTTTAATGATATTGTACTTGTGTTACTGTACAGTGTGCAAAAAAAAGGAGCAAACTTCTTTATTACTTTTGATCTGATGATCAGATTTTGCCACTGGTGGACTCAATCTAAATGGTTTGAAGGTCTAACCTTATATATGCTAATTAATTAGTGCTAATGATATTTTTAGTTAGCAAAATCTGACATAAAAACATTATTTCTCCGACTTTCTTTTTAGATAAAATTGAATTCTTAGTTCTCAAAATATGCAATCTGAAAAATAAGGTCCCACTAGTTTATGCAGGAGAGCAGTCTAAAGTTTGGAAAAAAATTAGTGTTTTAATTTTTCTTTTTGCCTAGTTATTGTGAAAAAATTAGAATTTTTAAACTTTTATTTCTTTAAAGTTATTTGACCCATGGATCCCTTACAAATTTTAGGTTTTATCATTTGAAATCACGTAGATGGAGTTGGTATAAAAATTTGTAAAGCTTGCCATTCAAAATTTTTTACCAGTTTTTTAGTTTATTAAAAGTTAATTAAAATATCAAGAATAATAATTTAAATTTTTTTTTTTTACATGGAATTATCTTTGGATAAACAAGTTGTATAATTGTGTACTAGATTTGTTACGTTAATTCCAAAGATGTGGCAAAACATGCAAAATGGGAAAATTGCATTCAATGTTAGGTCCTAGTTCGGGAATATATGATCATTAGATCAAAAGTTCTTAAGATGTTTGATTTTTCATTTTGCTAACTGTATCTACTTGGGTGGGTATTCATTGTTATTGTAAAAATCTAAGTATGATATAATTTTAGTGGAAGCGTCTCCATCATGAGTCAACTATTTGGAGCAAAGCTCTTTAGCTGCAACAGTTGCAGATGTCGCAGTGAAACCTGTCAAGAAACTACTACTCTACTGACACAGCTTCTTTACCCAGACAACCACAACACTACAGGTCAGTAATGCATTTTGTTTTTAACTTATTGAAGTTTTTATACTAGTAATATCTAATATTCTAATGATGTAGAATCAGGGTTAATTCCCCCCCCCCCTGGAATGCTGTGACGTACTTTGAGCAGGAGGGTTACCGGCACATTTACACGAATGTAAAACTGATTTATTTATAAAATATTCAAAGCATTAAACATGAACTTAAACTTTATACAGATCTGTCCAACTATTAAGATTAACAACATGGCACTGAAATAACGGGCATGCATATATGCTTCGAACTAATTCATAAAATTAATATGACTGTGGATGCATGAACAAAGCAGTTCAATGGAAAGAACATAATATCATTCATCAACAAGTAGGAGCAATGTATGAGTGACAAGTGTATTTATACTCTCATATAATTTAAAATGTCTCAACTAATATCGATGCACTTCAATGAAATATGAAGCTGATGACAACAAGGGTGACAATTATTAAACTATATGAAATAAAATTTTAAGAATTACAGAGTGCTCAAACTTTACTCAACAAGTAAGCGTCACTACAGAAAATTTAGGTTATGATGTGTTCGATATGTGATTAGCTATGATGTGGCCAGGATTGACTTTTTGCTGGCAGAAACTGGTTTTTGCCATGCCAGTGGCAGAAACTGGTTATAACTGGTAAAAACTGGCAGAAACTAAAAAAACGTCTATATTAGTTCTAGTAATTGCTTAATGACATTTTGTTTAAGTAAACTGAAAAATGTAACTCTATGTAACTGTAACAAACTTTTTTTAATTCATTGTTTGTAAATTTATATTATTTTATTTATATTAAATATAAAGAGTACAGTATATCAAATTGAGTAAAGAAATTGTTTATGTTTAGTAACTGCATCAAAACTTGTCTTTTGTTATAGATTACTGCAGAGTGCAAACAATATAATTGATTTTGAATGGTGATAATTTTGTAAATAAATTGTACTTTGTTTAACATTTAATTGTTTTTTTTTTCTATGAATTATTCATTGTATGTCAATATCAGTACTTACTTTTATGCATTTTCTGAATTTCTGCCACAAATGTGGCAGAAAAGGGTTTCTGGCATGCCAGTTTTAACCACCTCGGCAGAAACTTGCCAGCCTTGGATGTGGCCTAGACGAATAGCAAGATTCTTCATGATGCTGTCGATGACCTCCTGAATGGCAGATTTTATCTCACCAATAGTTTGGGGGTATACATTGTCTTTAAAATAGTCCCTTAAAAATGAGTCACATGGTTCAGATCTGGATAATATCCCGACCAAGCGAGTCCCTTTCTAGTGGCCTCTGGATACCCCAGAGCCAGAATGCTGTCCCAAAATTGCTTCTCTAGGCCATCAAACACTCTCTTGGTTAAATAAGGTTGAGCTCCATTTTGCATGAATTATATCTTGTTGAAATCAGGGGCACTTTGTAGATGATGGGGATGAATCATTTTCCAAAACCTTTACGTATCATTGATTCTCATCTGTTGTCAGTTCGTCTGATCAATTTCCTTGGACTGGTTTGAAACATAGCTTCTCTATCTTTTCAGGTGTTTTCATACTTGTTTGTCGACTGCCAACACTGTCATCACAAACACTACCAGTTCTCTCAGACTTGTGAATCAAATTGTTGATTGTTAAGCACTCTTGTCTTCAGCTTGTACTGGGTCATAAACCTCCTTTGAGCTGGAATCGAGGTTGTCATGGCTTGCATAGTAGGCCTTTAAAAGCAATATACGCGCAGGCATTATACTTTGTACTGTCACGTTGTCAAACTTAATTACAAAGCAGTAAAATTGGCACATTTGATTGTCTATACATGGAACCTTACAAAACATCCATAGTTTGCTTTGGAAGTAAGAATATGGAAGGGTTGTTTTTTTTTAGATCAGTAATTGCAATCCACAAAGTTGATTGACTTGAAAAATGATTTTTCCTACCGTATGAATATCTAATCAATCAAATATAAAATATGTATTAGAAAAAAGATATTGCTGAAAATTTAGAAATATTAGAAAAAAAATTATTGCTTAAAGTATAGAAAACGGAAAGAAATTGACAGATATGAAAATAATCCGCCATTTTTAACTAGAATGATTCAAGCAAGAAAGGGAAATTCCCGTCATACATTAAGGTGGGTAGGTGGAGGAGAAAAATTCATTTCCTCCTTATTTGTAAAAGAATATAAGTGTAAAGAGTAGATCATTTAAGTTGAGGGCGGGGAAGTGACAAATTATTGTTTTCTCTCCAATCATTGGCTATCAATCAAGCATAAAGGCGGGGTACGCTTATGGGGTTCTCTTTATTTTTTCTTGTATGACTGAAAGAATCTGCTAAAGAAAGAATGTTACCCCCTTTTTTTCCCCTGCCTCCTAAATATTACATGGTCAGGGAAAGAACTAGTTTCTCAAGGACGTGCATCCTTTTACACCTATTCAAATTTTCCATTTTGACTCCCCCTCCATGTTAACGCTTGCCGCGTTTACCCTTTTCTTGGTTCCAGGAAGTGCCTCTTTCACTAGCCAGCTGCATAGGAAAGGAGGAGGGAGGGGATTCTGGTGCGGTCTGTTGAAAACAAATCTCCCTCTTTCCCTGCATTCCAAAGTAGGAGCGTCACTAACGGTCACTTAATGGTCTTGGTAGATCTTCTCTTCCCCTTTGTGATTTATAGGTTCAGTGCATAAATTAGGGGTTCAGTGCAAGCTAGAAGAGAAAACGTGTCAAAAGACTTTTTTTTTTTCTTTCTTTCTTTCTTTTAAGAAAGGGGAAGATGAAGAGATGTTTGTTTATTTTGATTGTTAAAAAATGTGTCCGGGAAATCGATCCTTCCGGATATGGGACGTTGCACTGTATTTCACAATAAAACACTTTAAAAAACTGAACATTTTTATTGTGAAAAAGTTATATACTCTTATGAAATTATGACTAATTCTTATGAAGACATGGCATCTACTGATTGGCTAAGATCTTATTTAAAAATACTCCAGCTACAACTTTCGAATGACAATATAGTGCTTCAGGATAGAGAATTAAAGAAAAAAAAATGCTGTTAGTTTTTTTTTAATGTAATAAAGACAAATCAATTGATAGAGATGGATACGCTTTTAGTAAAAGTGAGAATGATAAATAATATGATAGTAATAGTTTCAATATTGTATATCAAAAGTTACTTTTTTGTCCATTTACTAAGGAGTAAGTTTTTTTAAATATTTTTAACCCATAACCAATGAACCTATGTTTTTCATGTCCCAAACATCTATTTTGCAATGGTATTGTTTACTAAACATTAATTTACATTTCTATCCAAGAACTTATCTAATCTAAGCATCAGACTATCAAATGACTGTTCTTATTAGGCAATAACGTATGACATGATTCTCAACAAGTAAGGAAGTTCCAGATATCTTCAACTGTTACGTAAAATTAATATAAGATTTTTCTTTTGACTTTGATAATGTAAACAATTTTATTATACAGTTTTTAAAATACCTTTATATTTTGTATTCAATTTTTATATTCCTGCTTTCTCTTCAAACGTCTGGTTGTGTGTAATCAGTGTATTGTTTTTTGCAGATAAACCACCAGTGCAGTATTCCTTTGTAGATATTGTACAGAGGAGTTTGTCTGCAAAACATCACATAACTGCCTGGTGTGACAATTGCAGTCGTTTCACTAGCATGGTACTCCCATATATTTATATCTTCTACTAACAATGATTGGATTAGAATTTAGGTACTTTATTGGTGTGTTCACAGTTCTTTGTGTGTGTGTATATATATACATATACAGTCGAAAGTCGCGTATCCGGAATTGGTGGGACTTCAGGAAAATAGATTTTTCCGTATAATAGACCCCCAAGGTAAACAAAGCTTAAAACGATCTGAATCTAAGAAGCAAAAAATAAATCAAAATTATTTTTCGGGCAATAATGTTTTAGTATTAGAATGATATCTAATCAATCAAAAACAAAATATTAGAAAAAATAATTATTTGCTTAAAATATAAACTCAAACTCAGCGGCGCGACAGCCCATGAGGGCCAAGGCCTACTGTGCCCATCTCAGTTTTCTTGACCTTGGGCTCTGGTGTGCAGATGTTCCGGTCAGGTGGTCAGCCGAACGCGGAACTCCCAGTGTTTAGTTCCCNTGCTTGGTACTCATTTGTCTACCCACTTAAGGGATGAAAGGCTGAGTCAACCTTGCCCGGCCTGAGGATCAAACCAGGGACCTGTGCCACGACAGCGCAAAGCGCTACCGCTCAGCCACTGGGCTTCTAAAATATAGAAAACAAAAAAGAAAATTGACAGTTATTAAAATATTAATTGCTCTCTCCGCCATTTTGAACTAGAATGATTCAAGCAAGAAGCGAACTCCCGTCATTCTTTATGGTGGGTAGGTGGAAGAGAAAAATTCCTTTCCTCCTTATTTGTGTAGAGAAAATATGCGTAAAGAGGAGATTGTTCAAGTTGAGGGCGGGGGAGTGACAGATTCTTATTTTCTCTCCGATCATTGACTATCAATCAAGCGAAAAGGTACGGCATGCTGATCGGGTTCTCTTTATTTTTTCTTGTGTGAATGAAAGAATCTGGTTAGTGCTTGTTAAAACAATGTTAAGGAGGGGCATATTAATTTAGCCTGGTTTACGAGGGGGAGGATTGTTATCGCTTGCATGTCTAGAAACAAGTTGAAAGGAAATTTTTGAAAAAATACACAGCTATACTTTACGAAATGAAGTGAATAAAATAATTGCATTGGAATTCTAAAACAGCTGAAATATGTCTGTATTTTATTAATTAATAATGTAGAAATATTGCTATGCTTAATTAATGGTTTAAAAAATAATATGGCAATATTGCACCTTGAGACATAATTGACCACACTAACTTGAAAAAAAAAATTAAAAAAACCATGGTACTTGTTGACTTCCACGGCGACCGTGACGAAAACGACGAACGACGCCAAGATTATTGCCACGCTAAACTGCTTGCTTAATTCAGTGGTTAATCGCTCAGTTAAAGGTGTTTTTTTAAATTATTTTTTTAAACATAATTTGGCAATTTTCGTGGTTCGCAATGAAAATCAACAAGCCATTAGCATTACAAAAAATTTATTATTTACCAAAATTACACCAAATACGCAGTGATAAAATGCATTATGGAAGAAAGAATTGCTGACTCAACCATCTAAAGAAAAAAACTTCTAATTTTTAAAATAAGCATAGTATAAGTCCATAACACATCAAGCAAATAAATCGCAACTAATCATTTAAAAAGCATTGAAATGACAAAAAAAACTTGAAAATTAATGTAACAATAATCCATATAAACCAGAAAAAAACTTGCTTTTTTTCAACGATCTAAATTGAACAAAATTTTAAAAAATAATACATAAAATAAAGATCAATTATTTACTGTACATAGATATCAAAAACTCCTAATAAAAAATGCATAGGCAGAATAAACATTTAATTTTTTAAACATATCTTTTAAAGGAAGCTGTTTCATTATTGGCTTCTTATTTCACAACTTTTCTTTAATCCTATAAAGAGACATGATTTCTTGATCGGTAATAAAGTCTCTTTGTTCTAGTCCTTGAATGGCATTTTAACTAGATTGTCAGTAGAAATCCGTTTTGTTGGTTCTTACTCGCTGTCTACGCTCTCTGTATTACTGCCCTGTTTGTTCAAAGCTATATTTTTGATTTCCTCATCTGTTAATTGCGACACAGTTAGGGCGCATCATCGTCGCAGTTTAATGTTTCTACAACATCATCTTCATCCAATTTTTCACTCTCACAGTGACTTGATGTATTGTAATAATTCTTTCACACTATCTTTCTCTTTGTTTGGACGAAATCCTTCAAAGACGGGCTCATCCTCATCATTACGAAAAAAAATAGTTGATGACCAAATGTTATTCCAAGCATTCTTAAGGGTTTCTTGTCGACTTCTTCCCAAGCTTTTGCATGTTCAGGGATGCTACGCCTGCGTCATTTGCGACAAACTGAGACAAAACGGCATAACTGCGCCATTTTGCGACATTCAGCTCAGTTTTTGCCAAAGCTGCGCCATTCTGAGACAAAACGTCCAAAATTTGACAAACCTGAATTCAGTTTCAAATATTAATCCGCATTGCCGTGAGTCATTGGAGATCATTTTGCCGTTCACGTCTCCAAGGGATGAAAGACTTCCACGAAAAAGCGGAAATCCGCTTTTTTCTCCCAATTTTTAAAATTTTCGACCATGTTCCAAAAACTAAAATTTTTAGGGAGTCCAATTAGAGAAACCCAAGCCGCCGGAACGATAGTCGGATTCCCGCGACTTCCGCTATAGAGTGGAAAGGAGTCTAAGTGTTTCGTTTCGACCACCGATATATGATTTTTTTTTTCGTTTGGCTGATTTTCGGAATTTTAAATATTAGGAACTGCGCTGGAATATGCTAAAATCGCGATTTTTAATCAGACGATTTTAATATCAATCATCGATTTTCGTATTTAACTGATTTAAAACTTATGTGTTGCGATTTTTTTTACGCTGTTTAAAAATCGTACTAGCAATTCCTATTCACTCAATTTAAAAATTCAATATCGCGATCTGTATTCTCGCGAGTTTAAAATCCAACGTCGCGATTCGTATTCACGCATTTTTAAATCCAATATTGCGATTCGTTATCACGCAGTTGTAATATCAGATCTCGTTTTTCGTATTTGTACGCTATTTAAAAATTACTCATTGCGATTCGTATTCACGTGATCTAAAAATTATTCATCGTGATTCTTATTTACGCGATTTAAAAATTCAATATCGCTATTTGTATTTTCGCGTTTTTAAAATCCAACAGCGCTATTCTTATTCACGTGATTTTAAAATTCAAAATCGTGATTCATATTCACGCGATTTTAAAATCCAATATCGTGATTTGTGTTTTTTAAATTCAGCAGCGCGATTCATATTCACGTGATTTTAAAATCCAAAATCGTGATTCATATTCACGCGATTTTAAAATCCAATATCGTGATTTGTATTTTCGTGTTTTTAAAATCCAACAGCGTGATTCATATTCACATGATTTTATAATCCAAAATCGCGATTCATATTCACGCGATTTTAAAATCCAACCGCACGATTCATATTCACGTGATTTTAAAATCCGATATCGTGATTCATATTCACTTGATTTTAAAATCAAAAATCGCGATTCATGTTCACTCGATTTTAAAATCCAATATCGTGATTCATATTCACGCGATTTTGAAATCCAATATCGCGATTCATATTCACGCGATTTTAAAATCCAAAATCGCGATTCATATTCACGCGATTTTAAAATCCAACCGCACGATTCATATTCACGTGATTTTAAAATCCGATATCGTGATTCATATTCACTTGATTTTAAAATCAAAAATCGCGATTCATGTTCACTCGATTTTAAAATCCAATATCGTGATTCATATTCACGCGATTTTGAAATCCAATATCGCGATTCATATTCACGCGATTTTAAAATCCAAAATCGCGATTCATATTCACGCTATTTTAAAATCCAATATCGTGATTCATATTCACACGATTTTGTAATTCAATATCGCGATTCATATTCACGCGATTTTAAAACCCAAAATCGCAATTCATATTCACGCAATTTTAAAATCCAGTTTCACGATTCTAGAAAGAAGTAGAATTAAGTTTTTTCTTGAATTAGTTACTGTAAAGATGTGATATATTTTTCTACAGTTGTTGCATTTAAACAATTACTAAGTGCATTCATAATCACATTTTATGATTGTATATTTAGCTATATAAATTAAAAGAACATAGTCAACTAACTGATCTTGTGAATGCAAGAAAGTACAATCTACTAGTCAATGCCAATTAACTAAAAAGTTTACTTTTATACTTAATAAAGGATGCAAGTCATTTTAGAAAGAAAATTATATTTATATGTGTCTTTTTAAATTGTTTATAATAGTTTTTAAATATTTCTGTTTTGATATAAAAATGTATATATGCTAATTTTTGGCTATTAAGTGCTCCCTAAAATTTTCTTGAAAAATTCCTACCTAAAATATTTCAAAATTTCACTGCACCTCCTGAATTCTATCAAAGAGTTTTTTTTTTGTGTTATTTGCATTTTCTTAAACTCTCATTATTTAATTACTGAATTTCTCTTTTAATTATTGAAATCTGTAGACCTTTCATTGTAACTGAATAGTTATATATTTTGAGATGAAATTTGAGCTCAAAATAAAATGGGTATTTTCCCTTTTGAATTACTGAAACTAAATAGATATTTCTTTTTAGAAAGTTAACACCATTATATTTTAAAAAATAAGAAAGTTAAAATTTACTTTGTAAAATTCTGGAACAGATACTATTCATTGGCATAAATGATAAATGCAATATATATGAAAACAACAGAGTCCATAAAACAATTTTGTGGACTCTTATAATCAATCATATGCAGGTTTTTTAAAATCCTAGCAATAGTGAATGTATGTATAATTGTAGTACTCCTAGTATGCTATTAATGGTTTTATGGATCCTGAAAATTATCTTTATATTGTTATCAAACTGATTAATAATCATTTTAGCTGAGATAAACTGAGTGAAAAAAATAATTTTAGCTGAGACAAACTGAGCCAAAAAGAGATTTTAACTGAGACGAAATGCAATTTCTGGTGAGACAATTTGATATTTTGCGAGTAGCACCCCTGTATGTTCCGTATTGCAGTCTTTATGGAATAAGACTTTAAGGTTTACAATTAAGGTTTTGCCCAGAGCGCCAAAATGTCTAGAGCCGGCCCTGCACTTGAGCCTCAAGATAACATTATCCATAGGCTTCAAAATTGAAGTGTGCTGGCAGAGTTCAGTGCGTTGTGGAAAATGCTTAGCAAGCATAATGAAAAAGTCATCTTTTAACTAATCAGAAATTTTATTAAACAAGAAAAATCATAACTTAACTTAAACATCATAAAAGAGAAACAATCCTCTCCATAACATGAGGTAACGAATTCAATACATACAGTCATGAAAATCAAAAGAAACAAAACTCCAAATCCAATCTTGATTTGTTATATATATACAAAATAACAGTTGCATAATGAGGGTACTTACACACTCAAAATTAATACTATGCAAATTCTGTCTTTAAACTATTTTTAAATGTTCGAACTCCCTCCTTCAGAGGTTTTTTGAACTCGTGATCTCTGACTCTTACTCGAACCTTGTTCATTGAAATTCATAGTCTAACAAAGTGCAGTTAGTCCGTAAAAATGCAACGGAAGCATTTGCCCTTTCCATTAATAATGATATTTTGTGGACAGAGCAATTGTCCAGTATTAGTAGTAGCTTTTTCTCTTCCAAGCCAATCGATAGAAAAAAATTTCTAACTTGCGGCGCAAAATCGTTATCCAGCCATTCTTCTATGAGTTGCTGTGTCGTCCATGCTTTTCGTTTGGACACAGTAGACTTTCCAATTTTATATTCCTTGCACAACTGAGATACTAAAGTGCCTATGTCTAATTTTCTCAGTAATTCCACTTTTTCTTTAATTGATAAAGAAACATTCCTTCTTTTTTTCGATAGACGTGAAGACATCATAAGTAAAATAAAAGGTAATAAGCAAAAATAACACGAGTAACAGTAACTCAATTAAAACTTATTAAAAATTACGTAGTTAAAAACTTGAAAAACAGTAACTTGTCAAAAAACTTAATAAAAATAATTTTAAAAAATCAAGTCTTCGAAACTCACAATTTCTCAACTCGCAAAAGCTAGATCAGTAAAAACGAATAAATGTGATGTTGTTACACATCCCCCTAGAGAAGGAAAGCCTGGACCAGGTCCAGAGGGCCCTGTTGCGTCAGTTCCCCATATATCTGGTGAAAGTCCCGATCAACCAGCAGCTGCTTAAATGAAACGCCAAGGCAAAGAAGAAGGTGATCAGGACTAGCAGGTTGTGAACAGGAACAAGGTTGGAAAGTTTTCTCCCCATTTTGAAATCTTAAACACTTAAGATGGCCACTACGAAGTCTGGCCATGGCCGAGGGCCACAGCATGTTAATGATAGGCCAGGGCGGTTGCCAGCATGCCACTGATGAGATGGAGTACTGCGCCGCACTGGAAGCAAACGATGTTTTCCCAGGGAGTGGATCTCAGTGGGAGTAAGACGGGAAGTAAATGTGATGCTGGATATAAGTGGTATCTCCGTATTTGGCGCGAAGCGCCACAAACTGATTCATCGATTCTGGTGAGTCATATGTACTTGAAAAGAAATAAAATAATCCAATGTGACGCATTGGATTGCTTTAAATACAAGATATTTGGTGAGGGAAATTAGTTTTGGAGTATTTTGCAAGACTTATTTCACCAAGGTATTCGCCTGTTCCTATAATGTATTTGCAGGTGCACTGCATGAAAAAAAGGAATACATTTCAGAGAAATCTAATTTAGTTTTTGGTTTGGACTTTAGTTAGTCAAATTCATATTTCAGTAGAAGGGAGTCTTGGAATATTTTTCATGTCAATGCTAAACAGCGAATTTTACCCCCCCCCTTTTCCCCACCTCCTAAATATTACATGGTCCGGGGAAGAAGGAATGTTTCTCACGAATATGTATCCTTTTAGACACATTCAAATTTTTCATTTTGACTCTCCCTCCATGATAACGTTTGCTGCGTTTATCCTTTTCCACAGTATTTCTTCTTTCCCTAACACTCTAATAAAAAAGTTCCAGGAAATGCCTCTTTTACTAGCCAGCTACATAGGAAAGAAGGTGAGGAGGGGACTCAGTTGCTCTCGTTTGGATTCCGGAGGAGGAGGGTAACTAGCAGTCATTCGACAGTCTTGGTATCTTCTCTTCCCCTTTCTGGTGATTTATGGGTTCAATGCATAAATCACTAGAAGCTAGAAAAGGAGAAAGCATGTCGAAAGACCTCCTTTTTTTTTCTTTAAGAGAGGGAAAGATGATGAGATGTTCGTTTATTTTGATTGTTAAAAAGTGTCCAGGAAATCGACCCTTCCATAAAAGGGACGTCTGGATATGGGACGTTACACCTTATATATATAATATTCTTTGGTTAACCAGAAGAAATTTATTTCACTCCAAATGGAATGCAGGAGGGAGTAAAATGTAATATGAAAGACTGTGCTCTAAGTCCATAGAAAAAAAATTCTCTAAATTCCGTAAATTCATTAAAAAGTAATTTTTTTCTTATTTCGCTGGTATTACCTTTCTCAATTTTGATGACATCATTGCATGTGTGTGGTCATTCAAACTGGCATATTTGATCGCTGCAAGTACTTTAACTTCCTAAGGGAAGGAAGTGTACTTATGCCTTTAAGGAATCTGTAAAAACTTATTAACACAGTAACTGCAGTAGTAAATAAGGTACCTTATAAGTGTATAAATAGTACCATAATTAAATAAGCAATAATGTCATTAATAATAGTTTGATATTTTATGGCCCTATGATATGAATAATTAACAATAACAGCATTGCACGTGTGCACTTCTTTTGTTCTCTCTTTAACATTATTGTAATTGCAATATTGTTGCCAACTTTTTGTAAATGTAGGCATAGATGCTTTGTGTGTATTCATTAATAGTATACTTTTGTATATGAGTGAAAATTTGTGTTCAATTATTTTTTTTTATTCTTATTGGCAATACTGTTCCCATCTAACTTAAAAATATCTTCTTTTATTTAGATACAAACTAAACTTCTGAAGTCATTACCAGATATTCTTGTTTTTAATTGTGGTGAGAATAAGCAAGAAATGGAGTTTTGGAGAACTCAATTGGAAGTAAGATTTGCTATATTTAATTGCTTTTGAATGCTTATGTTCGCTTGTTCGTGACATTCACAATATTTTTTACATTGAATAGATTCAACAATATTATTCAAAGACAGACAGTTCTATGTCTATAATCAATTAAGTTTTTTCTATATATTTTTGTAGGGCAAGCTGAATGGCTTAAATTATTTTTTTTATTTGCTGTTTTTTCTTATTTATTTATTTATTAGAAGCATCTAAATTTCCTTTGTAAAAAAATTTAGTTGCCTACAACTGATTTATTGATAATTCTTTCAAAGCATGTAAAATTGTTGATAAAATTTATGCTTTATGAATACTTTGAGCTTTATTCTTCTAAAAGTTTAATGATAATTTAATAATTGTCCAACTTCAAAAAGTAGCTTAATTATATTATATTTATGCCTAACTTTTAAATGCCAATAACTTAAGTTTGAAATTAGCTATTAAATCCCACATTTTTTTTGAAGCTACTAATCAAAATTCAGCTCATACAGCATTTATGTAGCTCATACAACAGCTCATACACCATGGAAATTGTACTTACTTAAATCATAGCTATCATACTATGATTGTGTACTGATTTAATGATAAGCATTGCATTTATTATTGAAAATATTATTCTTGCTTTTACTTTCAACATTAAATTTGTTTTTATTTTTTCGGTGATGTGCACTGAGGAAGACATACCTGTTCTTACTACGGGGTAAATGTTTAATAAATCTGTCAGAACTTTTAAGAATAAAATCTAGCGAAGCTGACAAGAGCAAGGAAAACAATGAAAATGGAATAGCATGCAAATAAAATAAAAAGCTGTGTGTGAGAATTTTTAATTTTTTTAAAACACAACGATACTGGTGTTTGTTTTGGAAGAGATTAAAAAAATTGTTTTTGGATGTACTCAATTGGGATTTAATAAATGAAAATATTGGAAGAGATTAAAAAAAATGTTTTTGGATGTACTCAATTGGGATTTAATAAACGAAAACATCTCTTTTAATTTTCTCTCTATTTCCGATTGCACCAAATCAAATATTTACTTGAATTAGTGGTGAATCTGCTAGTCTAGACACAGGCTGTGCAGCTTATTCCCCTGACAATATCATTATTTATCAGCTCTGCAAAATCATGTATAAAACTGAAAGACATATGCCCACATGATTACTAAAGCTAAAGTTATTATACTTTTTTAAGTAAATTATTATTTGTTGCCTTTTCCAAACTTGTCACTGACACATTTGAAATTTTGAAGATAGTACTGCTAACTAGTAGATAAATTCTGAGACTGGGGCTGATGTATGAAAAATATAACATGCTATAAGTGCTAAACTTGATTACTCTTTTCAAGAAAGAAAGAGCCCTAACCTTCCTTTCTCCGTTTGTGTCAAACACCAATAAAGCCGTCTGTCATATAAAAAATGGTTTGATAATAATATTCGCAAAAAAGATATTTACTAGATGCTAGAATCATTCAGTAATTTAAAAATTGTACTAGTTGATATTTTAGCCTTTATTGGGATTTAAGGCTTGGGAAATGTGGAGTTTACTAGCTAAGTTAGTTTAAAAGTAGTTTTTAAGAAATTAGATTTAAAAAAATGAACTTTCTGTGTTGTTTATTCAGCTATTGTCTCAGTCGGAGGATGGAGGTCTGATCATGAAATCACTTCCGGATGTTCCTGTCTCTTCGAGAAAGAAGCACTGCCGTTATGGATCTTTGTGCAAGAGATCAGACTGCAGATACTATCACGCAATCAAAAAGTAGGTTCTGTTATTTAAGAATTTTTCACACATTATACCTATTGAATTCAATTAGATAATGCCTACCATTTCTATAATAATGAATATATTGATAATATTTTAATAAATACTCAGTTATTGTGAATCTAATTAAAAATTCAACTGGAAACTACTTATGAAAACATAAAAACTTTTCAGCAAAATTCACTAAAAAGCTTGTGAGAAATTAAAAAAAAATAATAAATAAAAATTCATGGAAAGGACTTCTTAGTATTTTGTATATTAGAAACAAATTTACCAAACTAGCTCAAAGTTTTTATAACTTACACTTTAACAAATTTTAAATGTATAAAATTACCAAATAAAAAATAAAATAGTAATGAATTTTTTTTTTGAATTAAATTATTTTTATGTAAAAGAAAGTTTTTGTAAGATGTTTGCTATTTTTTTTTCCTTTATTCATTCTCTTTCTGCTCTTGTAACTTTCTCCTTATTGTCAAAGTTTAAGTTTCTGAAATAATTTTTTTAAAGTTTTTCTCTTTAATTAGGTACAAAACTTAGTTCAGATGTCTTAGAAATCCTACTAACAAATTTTTGTGCAGTATAAAGAGTAATACATACACATATCTTACAATTATAGGAATAACATATCTTACTGAGAAAATACTTCGCTGTTAAAGGGGTTTGTATAAAGTTTGAAATCAGCCCAAGACAATAAATGTTTTTTTTCCCCCTCCTGCTTCTACCAATTTTGCTATCTTTTGCAGAATTCTCTTAATTTACCAGATTAAATTACACTTATTTTAAAGAAATTATCTTAAATTAAATAAGTCTTAAGATCATGTGAATATCTCTCTTTACACACTTAGATCAAGAAAAAAGAAAATGCAAAGATTTGAAACCAATTTCAATGTAACTGTTCCAGGGGTGTTTGTACCCCGGAATTCTGGGTTTTTTGTATTATCCCTGAAGGTCTAGAAACACAAAGCAGGGCATGTCATTTTTTCGTGGAATTCTGCGTATCTCAAGACCATTCATTCACGAACTACCGTGAATTAAAACTTATAATCTATCGAAAGTTTCAGCATAAACTAAAATTTAAAGGTAGGAATTAAGTTTCGCTATATAAAATTTAAATTACAAAACCTTCGCTAAATCACGTTAACGAGATATTTTCATATGTGTGACTCTTCCACGATTTTGATTTATATATTTTTTTGGTTTGTCGGTTTTTTATTGTTTTAATATTTTTAACTATGCCAGAATGCTCCAATATGGCGATTCACATTCTTTCGATTTTAATATCAAACACTGTGTTTCGTATTTACCTGATTTAAAAATAATTCATTGTGAATCGTATTTACTTGATTTAAAAATCATTCATCGCGATTCATATTCATGTGACTTTAAAATCCAATATCGCGATTCATATTCACGTGACTTTAAAATCCAATATCGCGATTCACAATCTTTCCCCTGCTATTCCTTAAAAGGTATTTACTATCAATCTTAAAAGTATTATCTATCATGCCATAATCTTTTTTCTTCTTCCTTCCAAACGTACCACTTTTCCACAAATTCGTGAAATTCCTCTTCTTTTTTTTTGGTTCAATTTAGCTTGTAAACTGAATTCTAAAACTGCAAAAATTTTATATGTTGAACTGAGAAACCATTCACAATTTGTACAAAAGTGATGAAAGTATCTTATCAATTCTATTTAATATTTTGTTTCTCACTTTTTGACTCTTGAATAATGTTGCATATAAATGAAAAAAATTTAAATTTTCTTATTCTGAATGAATTGGGCGTCATACACCTATTTACTATTTTTAGAAGGTGAAATCAAATCACGTGTGACTAAGATATATTGTTTCAAGAATTTTAATTATTCTCTTTATTTAGCTCATTTATAATGATTTTATTACGATTAACAATTATTTTATTACAATGTGCACAAAAGTTTAAAAAATGGTAAACTAAAGGGCCATTCCTAAATTTATTTTTTATTAAATGCTTAGTTTCATTCAAAGATAGTGAAACATTTTTATTAAAAATATTAAGCAAAATTCCAATTTTACAAACAGTATTAAATCTTTATATTGGCTCTTATAAGGTATTATTCCAATTGAGATTTTAATAAGTACATAATAGCTTTTTGAAATAAGTTACAAAAGAATGTTTTACTCAAAAGTTTACTGGAAAAAAAAAATTTTTTTNATTTAGTTTTAATTTTTTTTTTTTTTTTTTGAAGGAAAAAAAAACTTGTAAAACAATTTTTTTTAAATTGTAATTTTTAGTATAGTTTAATTCTTAATTTTGGAAACCTATTTCTGAAGTTTGTCCTTTATTGTGAAACTGCTGTGGCATGCATTTACATCAAGATAACGCTTGTTTTACTGTTGTATCTAACATAAAATGATGCTCAAAAATTTTCATTCTTAAAGACAGTGCTAAAATAGATAACATATTTCAGCCCTGAAAAGGCCATTGATCCTTCAGAGGCTTCCATGTCTTGGATTCCCCTCTCTATCCAATTGAAGATGAAAGGAGGCGAAATTTCTGTCAGCGAATACAATGAAAAGGTATTATTTTTCCTTTCCTAAGCATTTTGTTTCTATTTTTTTTTTCTGTTTTGAATTGGAGATATTTGCAGCTTAAATAAGTCTATTTGTTTATGTATAAACTGAAAATACACTTTTTCTTGGAAAATTTAAAATCTATATGCACGCTATCTTTGTGGATAACTCTTTTGAACTACTCAGCAATCTTAATTTATTTTTTCAAAAATAAAAAACCTGATTTGAGTCTGATCAATTCTTTCATTCCTACTTTTGTTTCCCCTTCTTTGCAATTCACCTGTTCGAATAGACGTCATCAGCAGTTTGACGTGGTAAAACACTAGAGTAAATCACATATTAACAATAAGAGTTATGTAACTTTTTCTCTTCATTTACTGTTTTATGAGAAAAAATGAGCAATAAAAATTTTTTATTTTAAAGTAAATTATTTTTTTATTCTTATTTTTATGTGCTTTTTCAATTGTCATTTTTAAGGAGTTCTATTTTCTACAGGGTTGGTAAAGAAACCTAAAATATGATTTTTCTTGGTTTAACCCACTGGCGGCTTTGCAAATGGGCAAAATTGGGAGAATGTTTCTCCCATATACATTATTTCCCTATCTAATAACATGGGAAAACCGGTTTCGCTATGCGGAGAAGACTGCAGGTCAAATTACGACTTTTTACGTGCAGAACCGTCAGTGGGTTAAACCAGTTTCTTTTATTTAAACCAGTTTTTTTGGCTTATTTGAGACATAAGGTTAAATAATGTATGGTATAAATAAAAGGTATCTAAGTTATTATAAGGTATAATCATGAAATTTTTTTAACTATTAATTAATGTTATCAATAAACAACTAAAACATATCCATCTTCTTTCTATAAACATTCCATAATAAAAAAGAATAACTGAAGATTTTGAATAATCTTATATATATTGTTGGAAATAGTGTGACCAATCAGTTGGATCTTCCCATTTATAACTCTTTTTCCTCACTCACCATAAAGCAGGCCGCGCAGCACTCCTATATTTCCTATTAATCTGGAAAAATTGCTATAGTTCCTATATTTTCTGTATTTTTTTCCTTAATTTTCCCTTATAATCCTTCCTCAACGTCCGCGCTCCCGATTTGCGCTAGTCTGATGTCAATCATCAAACCACACCTAAAAATTCTTTAACCAATCATCCGTTTGCAATGTCTCAACCCAGCTGCACCATGTACAAGTAAAAGTGAATCGTCAGCAAGTGAAGGAAATATATGTGAGGGTTGTGGAATGAGATATAGAATAGAAAGGGTGTGAAAAGAAGGAACCCAGAACGAAGCAATATATTTTAGTGTTGTCATGCGGATTCAATAAAGTGATTTTCGTTTTCAAAGTAAGTTCTTCTGTTTATATTATTATTCTTTTTTTCCTTTAAAACTTTTTTTTATTATTTTAATGTAATTAAGTGATTTTTTTCTCTTTCTCGAGTTTAATTTCGAAACATATCACGCGACGAACAATCATTACATAAATTACGAATCCGAAATCGTTAGCATTTAAGAGATTTGGTTTTCAAGAACATGAGTTATGAATATCACACTTGGACTACGAATTTGTACTACGAATCGCGATTCCTATGTAGGTAACTTACTTACAAATCATGATTTGCAAAATAATTTGCGAGCTATACTCGTATTATAAATAATTCAGTCTGCATATGGCTATTCATTTTTATGCAATTTAAAAATTCAATTACTTGATTAATATCCAAACAGGTAAAAAAAAAAAATGCAATTCATTTTAAAGCGTTTATGATAGTTATTCTGTAGTCTAATTTTAAAGTCCACACAGGTGCAATAAAATGTTTGGGAGTTAAAATTAAGCAATTTGCAGCCTACGTAGGTGAAGATAAATAAATTTGAAAATTAATATTATTTCATTTTCATAAATCTTTTTTTTTTTTATTTAAAATAAATGTGAAACTGAAGCTTGCTTAAAAATTCTGTTATGAAATGTAGATAATTTTTCTTTTAAAAATATTGTTTAACATAATTTTAAAAAAGTAGGGTATCTGGCTTAAAAATATCTGATATGCTTATACAAGTACAGTACAGAACCACTTATTCAGTATCCTGAACATCGGGATAAATTTTGCTTAATTTTCCCACCGTTTTGAATTATGTCGATGTGCGGAAATTCTGATTTTTGAAGTACAGTGAAAGAAAAACTTGTGTGTGTGTGTGGGGGGGTTTCCTCCTGTTTGTTGAAAGAGAAAACTTCAATATATTTCTTCTGTAATCTTGAAGATCTTCAAGGGTGGAAAGAAACGGCGTTTTTCTGATAAGCTGCCGTCAATCAAACATAAAGGAGCGGCTTTCTGATTTCGTTTTCTCTCTGATTTACGAGGAGGGATATTGCACATGCATATTAGTGAACATAAATTTTTAATTTTTTTTATTCTCTTAATTTGGCAGTTTTACTATCATAATTTATATATTTTCTTTTATTTTTAAAAACGTTTGCAGTTGATTAAATACGATTTAGTTTTTTTTTTCTTATCTTAATTTGTAAATGTTTTTATTAATTTAAATGTTTTCTTCTGATTTTTTTAATTAGAGAGAGATTTCCTTATTTATTTTTCATTGTAATTTGGGTTCGATGAAACATCAATATATAATGCTTTTTAGCAGATTCAGAAAACCAGGAAATTCAACCATCTGGGATAGCAATGGTCCCGAACATACCGGATAATTGCTTCTCTACTGAATTTCATTCTTAATAGTTTTAAGCAATCCTTTATTCTATTCAACGTTTCTGAGTTAATAGAAAAATTTGTAGCTCACTCTTGAAGACATTATTAAACTTAAGAATTAAAATGGGTATAAATAAATTTTCATAAACTTTTTTTCCCCTTATTCCTACTAAATGTTCCAAATCTGTCAAATGCTAAAGTTTATTTTAAAATATTGATTTGAAATGCAAGTAGTTTTATTTCTAAAAAAATATGGTATGTAAGTTTAAAAAACTTGTGCAGATGGCTTTAAAAAATAAATTTCATTATATTTCCTAAGGTTATTATAACTGGTTTATAATAAGTCACCCCTTAAGTTAGTAAAGGACGCCCGGTGGCTGAACGGTAGCGCTTCGCGCTGTCGTGCCACAGGTCCCTGGTTCGATCCTCGGGCTGGGCAAGGTTGACTCAGCCTTTCATCCCTTCAGTGGGTCGATAAATGAGTACCAAGCATGCTTGGGAACTAAACATTGGGGATTCCGCGTTCGGCTGACCACCTAACCGAAACATCTGCTTCTGCACCCCAGAGCCCAAGGTCAAGAAAACTGAGATGGGCACAGTAGGCCTTGGCCCTCTATGGGCTGTCGGGCCACTGAGTTTAGTTTAAGTTAGTAAAGAAATTTCCTTTTTATATAGAAATCAGTTTAAATAGATTTTGCTTTTTAAAACCTTTTGATATGCTTGAATAGGCATTAATTTTCTGTACTTCTCTTTCAGAAAAATGCCTGCTGGAAAAACTAAATTTCAGCTCTCATGACTTGAAGTTCTCAACAAAAATGGGGATTTATTAAGTAATTGGTGTCAAGAAGGTAAAGATGGGGATACTGCATACTGTAGTCTCTGTAACAGTTGTGTTCAATTTTCGAATAGTGGAATTTCCCAACTACTGCAACATTCTAATGAGAAAAAGCATCAGCTGGCCGCCAAAGAAGCAAAAGGGCGGGGGAAGTTGTTTGGAAAAAAAGATAGCTCTAGTACTACAACTGGAACCAATTCAAAAGTTGTGATGATGCAGTTGAGCCAAAACCAAAAAGTTGCAAAGGCTGAAGCTTTGTGGGCAATGAAAGTCGCAGTGTCCAATTATTCATTTGCTTCAAGTCAGGATATTGTGCCGTTATTTCAGGCTATGTTTGAAGGTAACTCTATCATTAATCAAATGCAGTTTAGTGACCGGAAAGTTTCCTACATATTGTCTCATGGCCTTGGGCCATACTTTCAAAATGAAGTAATCATCCAGTTAAAAAAGTCTCCTAGTTTGTTTACTTTGGCTTTCGACGAAACCACAACAAGCCAAATTAAGAAGCAACTGGACATATATATCAGATTTTGGAGCGAAGAGTGTGATCAAGTTGTTAGTTCTTATCTAAATTCAGTCTTTTTGGGGCATGCAGATGCCAATAAAATCTGTTGTAATTTAGTAGAGACTTTAAATAATCATAAATTGCCTCTAAGTACACTTTTAATGCTTAGTATGGATGGACCGAATGTAAATAAATCAGTTGCTAAAAAATTAAAGGAGAGACTGGCCCTGGAAAACTCACCAGAACTTGTCGATTTTGGGACATGTTCCCTTCACAAAGTTCATAACTCATTTTCCAAAGCCGTATCTTCTTTTTCACTTGATTTAGATCAGTTTGCAAATGACCTTTTTGGTTTTTTTAAATTAAGTGCAGCAAGAAGAGAAGATTTGAAAGAACTGCAAAGCCTCCTCAATTTTGAGCAAAAATTTCTTTTGAGACACGTTAATTCTCGATGGCTTACACTTGGTCCTGTACTAAACAGGATTATTTTAGTGTATCCTGCATTGAAGGAGTATTTTATAAATTTTTTGCCAAAGCAAAAAAACTTTTTAACGATTCAAAGTAATTCAAGGTATCTGAGAATTGTTAAGGAGTTAAAAGATCCTGCATCTTTAGCAGTTATTGAATTTGTTTCTGATACCATTCCAATTTTGGATTCATATTTAGCAATTTTTCAAACAGAAGGACCTCTGGTGCATCTTTTGTACAACTAAACCAATGAATTGTTACGAAATATTATGATCAATTTTGTAAAAGAAAGCTTGGTTTCTATGAAATAAGGCGTCCCTTTATACAACATTAACATTGATGACACGGCAAACTTAAAACCAATTCAAGACATTAACATAGGAGTAGCTACCAAAAGGACTGTTTTAAAGCTTAAGGAACCAGACCGTAAACATCTCAGATTTGAATCAAAAAAATTCCTTGTAATGTTGACAATTTCTATACGAGAAAATCTCCCCATTTGTAATAATTTCTTAAAGCATATGAAAGTGTTGTAGTATCATGAGGAATGACTCCTCTGATAATGCTGTAATGAGACTGTGCAAAAAAATGAAACCTCTTCATCTTATAAAGAAGTTGACACAATTGTCAGAAAATGGCAAACATATTGTTTGGATGGTGATAACAACAAACTCTGTGATCAGTTCACTTCTCTCATTCATTCTGAAAATTCTGCTGTTAAGTATGAAAGAGTGGGCAGTTATTGGGCCAAAGTGCTCAAACTAACTGACAAATACACCGGTGTACTAAAGTACAGTAGAGAACCAATTATCCGGGATGCTCGGGACCATCGCTATCCCGGATATCTGAATTTCCCGGTTTTCTGGATCGACCAAAAAGTGTCGTTAATCGATGTTTTATCGAACCNATTATTGGCCTAAGATTAGTTAAAGATGCAGTTCGGAGGCATGATAATAACATTTTAAATATTCCTATAACTTTCTCACATTTGAACTCTGTAACTAAAGCACATTCAGCATATAAAGAAGATAAAGAAAAAGAGGCTTCCCAAGCTAAGATAGACGCAGAAAAACGATCTCTATCAGAATCGGAGCAATTGCGGAAAAAACAAAAGACAGATGCAAAAGAAAAGTTGCGTGATTTAGAAAATCAAATGAAATCCTTAAAAGATGAATTAAGTTTTTCCCAGAATTTACTGCAGGAGAGTAATGCCCACCTACAAAAAGCATTAAAAACTAAAGACTAATGAAATGAGAATTGCTTCTGCAATCATAGAATCCGCAACTAATCAGGTTAAAATATTAACTGAAAAGCTTGCTGAAGCTAATAAAAAATAATAATTCTACGTATATGTATTGATTTTAACTGAGTTGTTCACTCTTAGTATATTCTAGTGTATTATATTCGTATTTGTATACACTTTGCCGTATTTGTATACCAATTAGTGTTACCAACATTATTACTAATAAACTTTTTTTTCTTTACTCTAATGCTGTGTATTAATGAACTTAATTGTTTTTATTCAGATTTTCTATTTGAAACCTTTTTCTGGTCCTCAAAAAACTTTAAAAATATAATTACTTTATTAATTATTCTTTTATAAATGTATAACACTATATTCTGATATAAGTCTACTGTTTACTCAAATACGTTAAGAAATATATTCCAACCTGTCCTGGACAAGAAAGCTAAAATTTGGCTACAATCAGTGTTCTTATTTTCTCCAGTTAGATTATCTAATAAAACATTTAGTTTTAAAGCCAAGATAGGGTTTTGTAGAAATGTTTTTTCATAACATTAGTTTTGAATAACACATAAGTAAAAGTTGTACATGTTCTATGCAAATTTTGAATCTATATTTTTTAAACAAAATATTAGGGATTCTTATATTATTTTCAAAACATTCCTATAATTTCTTAAATGAATTCCTATATTTCCTATTATATTTTTGATCTGAGTCACTTCTAGGCCTGCATAAAGTGAAATTTAGGTTCAAGCTTGTTGCTTTTTCTAGAGGAGTAACATACCTTTTTGTATAACTTTTTAAATATTTTTTTAAGGAGTAGATAGTAGAAAAATTCGATGGAAAATTATCTCTGCAGAAAAAAAAAATATACTTGAAAAAAGATGGTGTGGAATGTTGTGTGAAAAGTGAATTATTGCTAATACAATATAGTTTGATTTATAACAAATATGCTAGTTCTTTCAAAATTTGTGAAAATCAAATAAATTTTATTGTGTTAAATAAAAAATTGTTTTAAAAAAATTTTAATATACAAAATATAATTTCGAAAAATATTTTGAAAGAGTCATTATAACTGAAAGAAAATTGGGGAAATTTCAAATGTAAAAGGCTGTGTTCTTTGGAAATATTAGGCTTTGATAATTTTCTGCATCCCTAAGTTTTCAACTAATAATAATTTAGGATCATTAAAAAATAGAATATGTTTTTGTTATTTTTCTTAACACAATAAAGCTTTAAGCGTGTCAATATGTTTATTATGCAGCATTAAACATATAAATTAATTTTAAATTATGTTCTTTTATATAAGTATTGTATTTTAAAAATATTAGAATCAATGAAAACAAACTGTAAACATACTATGAAAATTTGCTTCTGCAAATAACAGAAGGAAAAAAGTCTAAAAATAAAATTTAGAAAAAAACATCATTCCTAGTTATGCTTTTGATTGTAGCAAGCATTATGTGCAGGGTGGCTTCTATATACTGTAACACTCCGAGAAATAGTAGTTAATTTTAATTATTTGGTTTAAACAAATTATTTATTTTTGTTCCTGTGCAGGGCACTCTCTATACGTGCGGATGATTTTTGTTTGAAGCAAAATATTTAAATATTTAAAGAATGGAATCTAAAAGGTTGATGGTCCGCAGATTTTCTGCAGGTTGCATCTTTAAGCAATTAATATCTCTTCGGTTTAATAAAACATTTTTATATGAAATTATAAATCAATTATTTGATTCTAACATGAGTAATGTTAAACGGAGGTCTGATCGTACATGCTCAGTTTGAACAAGAAGCGCATTAAAATAATTCGTGCAAGAAAAAGAAGAAATCAATAAAGTTCTACTAATAAAATGGTTATAGAAAAGAACGTGAGTCATAAAACTATACAAATTATATTAAATAAAGACCTGAGTTTTGCCCTTATCACAAAAGAAAAATTTTAAGGTTTGACTACTGCACAAAAAATTACAAAGATGTAAGAAGTTGTTGAACCAGCACAGTAGCAAAAGTTTTGATAGAATAATCGTTCCTGATGAGAAAATATTTTGCTGAGAACAAAGTTGAAGCCTAAAATTAATGTTGTATATTCAGCAACCATCGATGATATACTTGATATTATTCAGACAGTACATTGCTTTCAGAAAAAGATTTCTGTAGTGGTTTTTAACTGCACTGTAAAATAATGGAGAATTTTCTCTGAAATTCATGAATAAAGTGTAAAAATCAATGCTGAATATTACAAAAAGGAAGTATTGGCTACACATTTATTGCCAATTGCTGACAGATTAGATATTTCAGCACGAATCTGCACCATTCCATTGCACTGAACCAAAACAACACTGGCTTGGCTTCATGTCGATTGCCGGTAGTTTATCAAGCAATAATATAATCCACCTTCTTCACCGGATTTAAATCCTTTAGACTAATGTTTTGGGGAGATTTTGGAGTCTAAAGTTAAGCACAGGAGTTTGGACTTTCTCAGGGCTTCTTTATTGCTTGAATGGGACAAATTACCTCTTAAAATGCTTCATACTGCCATCAGCGAAAGTCTCAAGCAATCATCTTTAGTGGTCAATAAAGGTAGTAGCTGGTTTGAATAAAAAAATTTCAAGGTAAACGTCCATTAATAGTGTCATCATATTTGTATATTTTGCATTTTCTATTTCATTTATCTGTGCAAAAAATGATTTGTTACAGTGTTTTGTATCCACCTTGTATTTATGATTGCTACAATGAACAAGATTATAAAACGGAGAAACTTTTGATCTTAATTTGCTCTATAATTGCATTTTTTAAATAGTTTTAAAAACTATCTAAACAAAGGATGATGGTCTGTGTTGAAGAATTTTTAGAAACATCATGACTTTAAATTTACTTACATTAATTATTTTATAATTACATTTTAGTACAAGAGCACGTAAACTTTTAAAAATTACATATCACATTCAATTGAAGTAGCAGACTCACATTAGCAATCCAACTCAAGGTTAAAAAGATTTTTATAGAAAAATGTTCTGGTTTTCCTTTGGTTATCTTTAAATTAAAAATATTTTTGCAGTTAATAGAAACAAGAGTTTTTTAAGATTTTATCTCTTAAAGGGAACGAGTTTTTTTTTTTTTTTTTTCTTTTTTTTTTAAGAAAAAAAAACTGTTAGGTTTAAACCAACCAACCCTAATTTTCAACTGTCGTTTTATGCATTAATCTGTTTTATATATACCATTCTGCGGTATTTAGCTATCTTTCTCTAGCCAGGGGTCTGTCCAGACATTTTGTGAAAGGTCCGGCTTTTGTAAAATTGAAAAAAAATTACTCGTAATATGTGAATATAAAATAAACGTTAAGTCACATTTCTTCTACCAGGATCCTGCTTTTATGTATTTGAACAAATAGGGTGCTGTTATTTCAAAAAACTTTTTCAAGAAGTTTTTAAATTGTAAATAGATACAAGATTATTCTCAACACTGTTAAATTATAATAAAAAGAAATTACATTTTCAAAAATAAACAGCAACTGCTGCTTCTAAATTAGAGATGCAACATACAAATATTTGATATTTACTGCTGAACGCAGAATATTCATTTCGGACGAACAATGGAAGAAGCGTCTACCAAATACAAAACTTAATTCATTTACATCCATCTTTCTGTTTTCCTCTCTGGGAGGGTTTATTCGATTTACAAAACAATGAAGATAAAAAAATTTGTGAAGGGTCCAATTAAAAGAAAAATTATTTTGTAAAGGGTCCGTTTTTATAAAAATATATTTTGTGAAAGCTCTGTTAACGGACCCAAATTTCTTCTAAACAGACCCCTGCTAGCGCTTCGCCAATGAAGCTACTTTTGTTTACAATGTTCATGTGAAATTTCACAAAGTTAACAGATCTGATTATAAGTTGACATTCCCCCTACTCTAGCTTTCGAAAATGTTTCAACCTATATTCAAACATTTACTGTTGTTTATCTTCTAATATTTTTTGCACTACACTTAAGTTTTTTAAAGAAAAATCTAAGGTTTCAAGTAATTTATGAAGTTTGATACCTAATCTTCTATGTAAATCAGAAATGTATCTATCATAAATGGGAATTAAAAAAATAAAACATTGAGAATTTATTAGGCATTTTTTAAACTAATCTTGCTTTATTATTTACTTTTTCTTCAATTCTTTAATTTATTGTTTTCTTATCTATCCGAATACAGTTACACTCATAAACAAGGGGAACTGTTTTATAATTAAGAAGCATTTCTCATTAATTAAATGCTTTACCTATTCCCTTGCATTACTTGAATGCATCAGTTTGTCTTACAAGAGAAATAAAATAACATTACTTGATGATACTTTTTATGCAAAATATTATGAAGTTAACTAATGTTTTTTTCCTTAATTCAATTATTTGTGTATAACCTATGGTAGAGAATGTTAACCAGTCAACCTAACTATTGAGTATTACCAAATGATTTGATATTCAACTAAAGGGGTTGAATAGTTGTGCTTCTGTAATGAAGGTTATTTACATTGAAGGAATCTAGTCTATTTATTGGCCATATTTTTACAAAGCAATTTCTTCTTGTCTCTCTGTAGGAAGATTGCATTGATGAGGGAGAGGAGGAGAGTGTGATCTATGAGTTGAGTGGTGTTGTTTCTGTAGTGCTTGATCTTCAAGAGAATGGTCGTGACAACATAGTGACCTGCATCAAAGTGAGTCCACCCGCACATCAGCGGCACAAGGGAAGTCCCTGTTACCAATGGTATCTCTTCAATGATTTTTACATTGTACCTATATCTCCTGTAAGTATTTTATCTATTCTTGAATAAAATATGAGTTTTATTTCAATTCTAAAAAAATTCATCTAACAAAATTATTAAGCATTATTGGGTAATTCTCCCTACAAGCCGCAGTTTACTGAACTGGCACAAAAATCTAATATCATACAATAAATTGATAATTTTTTTTTAAAAAAAAGTTTAATTATTACCATCATTGTTAGCTTTTTAAAGTGATTTTACACTAGTTTTAACAATTGTATATGTTTAAAAATATATGTTGAGTTCCAAACTGTCATTTTCTTGTCATGCAATATTTTCAATAATTACTTGCTTTAAAACTGCACTTTGCAATTTTCTCTATCTAATGTTTCCTTTCTAACTGTTAAGGGCATTTCTGGAGTATTTGCACAAGGAATAATTTCCAAAATACTTTGTCGAAATATGTTTTTCAGACAATCATTTGTGTGCCTCACGAAAATATGTCATTTTCTTGGAAAGTTACTTTCATTTCTCTATAAACTTTATAAATGACGCTAGCGTTAATTATTTCTTTTAAATGTATGATTACTAAGTCATTTCAACAGTTTAAGAAAAAAATCCATTGAAAGAGATTAACGGAGCCTAACGGGACACATACATCCCAAGCAAATTTCAAAAAAATCTTTTGGAACAGAAACACTTCTCTGTCTAATGGAGACTTTCCCACCAGTCCTGCCAATATTTTGGAAGGTATTTTCCTTTACAGAACATAGATGGCACTACCGTACATAATGCTGCCCTACTCATAGTTTATGCTACCAAAATTGTTCTGTTGTAAAGAAAAAAACTCTTCGTGAAAGGGTTAAAAAGCAAGTATGTTATCATCTTCATGCTTTCTCTATATCACACTATTCAGTCTGAGTTCTTTTAGAAAATTTTGTTGTCAATAACATAACTCTCTGGCCTGAAAGTAGAAAAATATGGAAACAATCTAATGTTATCATTATTGTATACCAGGAAATAATTCTCTGCTGTTTATAAGGTATTAATTCTAGTTACATATTTGAATATTTTAAAAAATAAACTATTCTGAAGAATTTTAATTAAAAATTTTTTTGCTTCTTATTTTCTGGGAATTACCCATATGTAAGCTTTAAATAAAAATAAAAAGTATTGTAAAAAAAATAACCCCCATTGTTTTTATTTATTTGTGGCATTGATTTTATGGATTTGTTATTTATGTAATTTAAATTGTACCCAAGTAAATGAGCATCAAAAGTTGAATATTTGGTTTGATGTACCTGATACAAAACCCAATTCTTCAGCACATAAAAAGTTTTTTACGATTTTGTATGCCCATTGATAATATGAGAAAAGTATAACAAATTAAAAAGGAAATAACTTAAGATTTATGGGTGTAAAAAAAGCATTAAAAGCATTCTTTCTAAATATATTTAAATCATTCCAGTTTAATAATTGCTAAAAATTACTCTTAATATATATATATATATATATATATNTTTATATATATATATGCACACACAAATGATAAAGAAGTTAAAAATTAAGCAGCTGAGTTTTCATTATGTTAGTTGTTTATATGAATAACAATATAAATGTATTTAAAAATAATGTAGACAAGTAAGTAAATTATTATGCTCAAAACGAAAATTAGGACTTTATGCTCATTCAAGAAAAGTAGTTAAAAGATGTTTTGCTTCCTTTGCTAAAACTTTTCTCATTAAGCAATTTATCAGCTCTGTCACGAAATTTAAATTAACTGCAGATTGTGATAATTATGCATCCAACTACATTTTTATAAAAATCCAGCACCAAGAAAAAAAACTTGCACTTGATTGTTACAAGTTAACTTACTCTGATTATTCTTAACTGACAGGCAGTTTTGAAGTAAGAACCATGTTTAACTGCACATTTTAATTCTTTAAAAAAATAAAAATGTAGCAACTGGTGTCAGCAGCCAATCTTTGTAAAAATTATTTTCAAAATTTATTTAGATTGTCCAGTTGTAATACATTTACAATTGAATTGAGAAAAACATAACAGAAATATTGTATTAAATCTTATAGTTTTGTATGTATAACTGTATATTATAATAAATATAGCTAAGCTAATTTTTGATATCGCTCCCCCTCGTTGAATTTTTTAAAATATAAATGCATATTTGTATTTTTAAATTTTTTTTTTAATTCTAGCAAGAAGCTGTCTATTTGGATTTTGAATGGAAAATTCCTTGTGTACTATATTTTTCAAGAAAAAATTTAAATAGTCGACATAATTTGCAAGGTAAAAAAATGTTTGAGCTGCTATTTTTAAAAGTGGAAGGATATTTAAGAGTCAAAAATAATTTATTTCTTATTACAATTTTAGGAATCACTATTGTATTTTAAAATTTAATCACATTATAGTTTTAAAAACAAAGACCCAAAATGCTTGACCTTTGCCAGTATTTTTAAATTTATTCTAACTCTTAGTAACCTTAAATCTCTCAATGTATTAAAAATTGGACTTATTCCTCTGTCAAAAATAATCAATTCGAGTTGAAAGATATTGATTTTATATACTAAGGAAAATAAAATATTGTATAGTACAATATTTTTTAAATTTTAGTATATATATATATAAACTAAACTCAGTGGCGTGACAGCCCTTAGAGAGCCAATTCCTACTGTGCCCATATCAGTTTTCTTCTTGACCTTTGGGCTTATATATATATATAAACTTCTGTTAATAAAATCACTCTCTGTCAAAACAGAATCTATCAGAGCATATTAAAATAGTAATTTAAAATATTCATTATTGCCATTTTATAAAAACAAACCTATGGAGAGTATATGTGTTTCAAAAAGGAGCAATAAAAATTATAATTTTCTTGTTAAAATATTTAGAATTTCCTTCCTTTTTAAGTTTTGGTGGACTTGAAACGCATAGATAAATTCCGGTCTATAACGCACAAACGGGGGATTGAAGCTGCAGGTGTTGATTAAATTTTTTGATGAAATTAAAAGGTCTGAGTTAATAAAAAAAAATGAAACAGGGAGTTGGAATGTAAATTGGCTTTATCAGGAAAGTTCTCGAATATGCCCATTATTATCATTCAATGTCAAAGATAATCACTCACAGTTAAGATTTAATGAAGCAGCCACAGTAGAATTAGAAAAATGATCATATGTAAATGAACTAAAGTATAAATTGAATTTTATTAGATATTAATGAGATAAATCATATACATTTGATCAAAATTACATTAGTTTTTTTATCAAAAAGAAAAGAAAACCAGAATATCTATGAAAAATTTCAAATCACTTCATGATTATGTTATATTGTAATTCACCTATAAATAAAATAATTTTAATATACCGATAAATAAATTAATTATAAATAAATGTCTACATTATTACATTCTTTTCAAGTTTAATTTGTTAATTAGCTGCACACCTAAGTGACAGGATTTGAGTATCAATGGAAATTTGCAATGTGTTTAAATTAATCTTTTACACTCAAGGAAATTTACTAAAATTTTTGCAAAACAGTGTCGAATTTTTTATTTAAAATTCTGCTAATCAAGTTACAATAAGTCTGTTTTTTTTTCTTTTAAAAAACTTTTCAATAGATTAAAAATGGAGGCCCATGTTTAATGAAAATATAATGTGTAAAACTGTTGAATTAAATTATGAATGTAGCAATTAATTTAATATTTGTTGTATTAGTAACTTTCCAAAGTGTAGACATACCGGCTTATAAGGTCAGACACTTTATATAACCAAATTATATATACTGAATTAGTCATTAATTAGTGATGTCTTTTTATTTCATTTTTGTCTGAGTAATAGTATTTCACTTAACTGGGAATGCTTATAACGCTATTTTACAATCTGTACAGCAAAAGAAAATGGAGCAAGCTTTTGTGCTGAGTACTAGTTGAAATCTGTCTGGGAAGGTGAGAGATAAGTTCTGTAGCATCGACTGAAATCGAATCAAGGATCTTTTGATCCTTATCTACCATGGAAGAGGTTACACACCTCCGACCAGAGTAAAGAATTCGGCTGCAGACCCAAAGACCATTGCAGGTCTGCAGACCATTTGATTCCAGACATATTTATTTGGAATATGTGTCAATCTTTTAATTTACTCCTTAAATTTTATTTTTATTTATATTAAAATTGGGAAAGTAATAAAAAAAAAACTTTTTTCTATCTTTGCTGCAAGTATTGAAATACTATTTTTATTGGTGTTAGAAATTTAATCTTTTCAATATCAGATAATATTTTATGTGAAAAATTTATGTATTCATCTGAAATAATTTAAAAAAAGCATAACATTACAAAATAATTCTTTTTGTTATAGTTACTAATTACTTTAATTTAAACTGGCATTTATATAAATTATGTTTCTTAAAATAGTCTATTGGGAATTCAAACGATTTAAAATATTCAATGCTTGACCTCAAAAAAAAATTCTAAAAATATGATCTAAATAAATAATTAAAATCTGATTTTAATCAAAAATATTTGAATTTTGTAAGAATAAATCATGATTTTCTGTCTTGCCATGTTATTGCATAATCTAACTTAATACTTCTGTGTGATCTGTAAGAACAAACATACATTTTCTATTATCTTTTAATGTAATGCTGTTTTTCACAGTTTACAATCCTATTGCACAACAAGTGTTTAGGGACGACGTGTCTCTGGCTTCTCAAACAGGTCACATAACGTTCACACCACTCTCAGTTGAGGAAGAGCACCAGCCATCTGGACAACTCATCGCTATGGATGCAGAATTCGTCACTCTCAATCAAGTAATGAAGAATTACTTATTAACAATGTAAAATCCTCGACAGAAAACAGTTAAAAAGTTTTTTAAGTATTTAAAAATGAATTTCCAAAGCAAAATTGTTGATAAAGCATTTTTTATGATTAATTGAAGATGAAGTTAGTGTATATTTTGTTACCTATGAGCTCAAATGTGTTTACCGGTTTTTCTTGGTTTAATTAAAAACTTCCATAGTTTTTTGTGTACTTTGGGAAATTCTTAAAATTTAGAAAAATTGTTCGAAAAGGGATTCTTATCAAATTAAATTTTTTAACTCATATTATTGCTTGTCTGTGTATTCAAATAAGAATTACTGATCAATAATGAAGTAAGTCTTATTTACATTGATTTTAAATCATTTAAAATTCTAAGTTTTTTTACATTCAAATTTCTTCATTTTTAAATTACTTACAAAATATGTTAGTACTTTGTATCTGAAATAAATGGAATATTTGTTGCTATTTTGATGCTCAGGGCTGATTGTGCTCCGGAAAAAATCCGGATTTCCAGATTTTTCGCTAACAGTGATCCGGAAGTTTCCGGAGATCGAAGGTCCAGACGTTTCAAAAAATCATTGATCACAGAAGTTTCCGGAAATCAAATTTTCAAAAGTGGAACTTAAAAACACAATTTATTTTGTTTGTAAGGGAGAGCCAGATACATTTTTTATCAGTAAATAGTTATAATCATAAACTCAAGAAAGTAAGACATATTTGTAAATTTTAATTACTTCTCCTAGAAAAACCTAGTTTAAATTTTTTTCAATTGAAATTTTTTTTTTTTAAACTCGGGAAATTTTCCGGAATTTTAACTTGGGCTCACAATCACCCCTGGATGTTTAAATTATGCATCAAAAGTCAAAATTATAAATTTGAAAATACAATCAACATTAAAAAGTCCATTCAATGTCAATTATAAATAGAAAGTATTGCAAATAATTTTAATGTTAGATTATGAAGTTTGTTTCTTATTGACTTTAAAAATCCTTAAATTCCTTGTGGATAGGTAAACTTTTTTAAGATATTCATAATATTTCTTGAAGTCTAATGTATTTCTTTCTTTCTTCTCATATTTTTAGCTATGTATTTCACTCAAATTATTTTTAAATAAAAGAAAATGCTATTTAATTGCAATATACAAATATTCATGAATTTTCTATAATTCAAAATATTGCTGAAAGTCTTATTTTTGCTTTGAAATCAAATATTATTTCTGTAAGATTTGATGACTGATTTTCAAAATATCTTACCTATTTTGATATGTTTTGCTCGAAATATTTTATTGAAAATGTAAGATTCTAGTGCATTAATTCGTTTAGGAAGAAGCAGAAATACGAAGTGACGGAACAAGATCTACCATAAGACCATCACAGCTCTCAGTTGCAAGAATCTCTTGTGTGAGAGGGTAAAGTTTTCATTTTACGTATTCTTATTATTCTGGTTGCTGTTATCAACTTTTTATGTACATATATGGGCCAGTATTTTTGTCTTAACATTTATTTGGAACCTTGCAGGATGTCCTGTAAATGTTGCAACATTCATAGGACACCCTGCATGTTTGCGACAGAACCTACACTTCTATTTATCTAATTGATTAATTGATTTAATTTATTTTTTCTATTAATTATCGTAAAAAATTGCATTCAAATAGGCTCAGAAGTAGCTGTTTTATCATATTTTTGATGATTTGAATATTTATTATGATTTGGCGAGCGCTTCCAGTTAGTAGCCAAATCATTTAACTACAATAAAACATCTAATGCTAGACCTATTTGAATGCAGTTTTCAATTATAGTTATTAGAAAAAATAAAATTTAGATAAATAAAAGTACTCGTTTAAAGGCACACAATGAACAGGCCTGCGTTTCTGGTGATGGGTTTCTATGTTCCCTTTTTCCCCATTTATGAGCACCTTTTTATTTACTATGATGTGCTTTGATGTTCATAAAGAGTGACCAAGGACTACTAAAATTTTCTGAAATGTTGTTAACATTTGTTCTTTACATTTGCCATTAAGTTTAAAACTTATAACTAGTTATAAATATATTTATAAATAAAAAAAAATGAAAATAAATTGGAATTTCCCTTTTCTTGAATTTACTCCAGGCATTTCAAATTTTTAGTAAAATGAAAAAATACATAGAATATTATGTAATTTTCCAAAACAAAATGTTTTTTCACAAAAAAAATACCGCTAAAGGCTATTAACTGTATCAAATTTGTCTAACTTTGAATTATTGACTGTCTATCTGACTATATAATAAATTCTTTCTTCAAAAAGTATTAAAATTCTCTCTATGAAAATTATATGAAACATTCAGCAAGATAAATTCAAAATAAGTCCTAATGGCAAAAGTGTTTGAGTATTTTGAAAATTTTTGTATCAACGTACTTGTAATACAGAATCAAATATCCAGTAAAGCTATACCAGGCATGGCAAATAACTCTGTTGTTCTAGATTTCAAAAAATGCTAATAAAGTTCTTGAATATAGTCAAAATTACTTGTTTCAACCAAACAATTTCGTTAAAATGGCCTATTTTTGAGGTTGAAAAAGATATGCCTCTTCCAGAAAAAATTTTTTTTTAAAGTATTTCCTTCATAATTCTTGCATTTTATTAGGTTTTTTTTAATCTTATTTAATAGTTAAATCTGCATATTTTGAAATGTTGAAAATAGTTTATGAGTGTTATTTTCTGATTTAGTTTTATTTTTTAATAGTGAAGGTCCACTAGAAGGAGTTCCTTTCATTGACGATTACATATCTACTCAGGAGCAGGTATTGTTATTACTTTTTTTAATCTCACCATAAGCAGTGGTATCCAATTTCTTTGGATACTGAACCCTAAATAATCGACCTTCTTCCGGCGGTACCCCAATTTTATAAACTACGTAAATAAAGACAATTGTGTTCAAATTACTATAAAAAGATTACTTTATTTTGATTTATAGACTTTTTATCTATAATAATAAGATGAAGAGTGTGTGTATCGTTCTTATTACTCCAGAACCATTAGTGTCAGCATCCCAAAATTTAGGCAGTGGACGAAAAGGGCAATTTCAGACCCAATCCTAAAATTGGTTCAAAATTTTTAATTAGATTGTTTGGGAGAGTCATGTAAAAAAGACAATTTTTTCATTGGCTTAGAATTTGCATCATTCAAATAAATTAAAATGCAAACTATTTTCTCTCTTCCAGATATTTTAGCGATAGCATGAGTAATGTATGTGTGCTTATTGCTCTTATTAATACAAAAGAAAGCCTTATTGGAATCATTACATTATTAATAAACCAATGTAAAAATATTAAAGAGTCTACTGAAAGTTCTTTTATATTTTTTCATTGGTTATGGCAGATAAACTCAATGATCATCATAAATATCATAGCATTAGCTTATTAGGTGACCAAATTAGTATTTCTAAGGTTATTTAAACCCACATATTTATTCTGTTTTTATGCTTTTAAAATGTGAATCTATAAAACTAAATAATTTGAAATCAACAGTAATTAAAATAAAAAATTTATGTATTGAAAAGCAAAATTAATGTTAAAAAAGTATGAATTTGTGATAAGTGAAATGTAAAAAATTGCCATACTTTTGTTGACGTTAATGATGCTTGATTAAATTTGTTATTAGGTGATAATTTAATTAGAAACTACATGTTCTAGGAAGCAAAATTATTGAAAAAAAAGTACTTAATCTTTTAGGAGAACCGTGAAAAATCCCTATACTATTATTGATTACAATAAAGTAAGGTTTAATTAATTTTGGTAATATGTGCTGTGTACTATTAAGCTAAATTAATAGAAAAATTGTGCTAATTCGTTTAGGAGAAATGTAAAAATCGTCATATTATTGATGCAAATGATGCATCAGTTAAAGTTCAGTTAATTTTTTTTATTTAAAAAGAGCGGTGTGAAATATTGTTGTAATTTTTTATAAATGCATTTCCTTTTCATTATTGTTTGAAAAATTACATTTTTATAGAAAAGAAATATAATTAATTTTTCTCTATTTGGCATTTTACTTTAAATATTTTTATAAAAGCAGTCAAAATGATGAGTAAATAATTTATTAGTGATATAATTTGCAGATTTCAAAAATGTTTTAAAAAAACTGTTTAAAAAAAAAGTCTTAACTTTTGGATCCCCTTTAACTATTAAATGAAACCCTAGGTTTCTGCAGAACATCATTTGGAAATGGCTGCGTTATAATACTAATGGAAAATGTAAAAATACCACAATAACTACCTTGAAATAGATTCCTTTAAAAACAATTCTATCCATTAAGTTTTGACTAAACTTTAACAATGTCCCATATTTTTTTCTTTTTTTTTATTAAAAATTAATCTTAGTTTTTTTAAATTATGAAATTTCTTTAATTTTGAAGATTTATTACTAAAATATAAACCCTTAAAGATTTTTTTTAATCCTTTATGTATTTTCATTGAAACTTATTTTTATTGTTTTTTTTATTTTTTATTAAGTATGAATTATAGTTTGTATACTTTTTCAAATTGTATTTACTATAGGAACTAAAATGAAAAAAAGAAAATCAGAATTAAAATATGTAAATTTTCAATAAAAATTCAAATGTATGCAATTGAGATTTCAAAAACCTTTATTTTTTTTCTGGTTTATGATAGATTAAAAATTAATTATAAAACTAGCGTGGATACAAATAAAACAAACCTCAGTTGTAGTGGTTAGAGCAGGGGTCGCCAAACTTTTTTGATCATCGACCCCCATATAATTCTTCGAAATCTCCATCGACCCCCGCCAAAGTAATTTTCTGTTAATTAAAATAAAACAATATTAGATACTGTGTTTGTACATTTACTTTATGATTTTAAACATTTATTAAAGTAATCGTACATTGTGTAACAATAGTTTCATGAAAAATATATTAATATTGAAATTTAAATACCTTATTATTAAATAATAAGTAATTATGCATAAGTAGATATAATAAGTAAAGTAACTAAAGATTTACTGCTTCTTGATCAATGAGATGGGTGTGCCTGGTGTTTTTTTGCAAGGTTCGCTATATTGGGTTCAAAATTGGTCAATTTTAATTTTCGTCAAAATTGGTCAATTTTGTAATTTTCGTAAAAAAATACAAAGTGTGCTATAGTTTTGTCGCGGGCTGTACTAATCCATATTATTAATGCTTACCTTCTTTTTTGTGCATTGATAATTAAAATTGATATCTAAACCAAACGAATGGTTTTATCGAAACAATAACTAATTATCCAAAACTATAAAAGTTTTAATAATGACACTGCAAATATTCAACACAGTTTGCAAAGATAGCTGAAACTGCGTATGATATTTGCATTTGTAACGTCAATGCTCGTCACACGTGACATTTGGACAAGCGCACATATGCATATGACTTATAAACTGCGCTGAGTTCGTGCCACTGCGCGGTGGTACGTAAATACTTGTTTCACCCCAATAAATATACGTTTATTAATTTATGTTTTATAAAGAAACTGATATTGAGTCAATTATAAAAAAAAATCACAAATTTCACATACTTAATTAGGTATGTGTGATTTGCGTATTGAGAACTGTTTTTTTTTTTTCGATCCACAATTGACCCTTCCGATTCGGATCGACCCCCATTCGTCCCCCTGTCTCAGATCGACCCCCGCTTTGGTTAAATAGACCCCTGGGGGTCTATATAGACCACTTTGGCGACCTCTGGGTTAGAGAAATGAAGAATGTAAGAAGAAAATACAAAAAAGAAAATTTAAAAAAAGAGTATAGAAATTCCTACATAAACTTTCTTTTCTTTATCCTTTTCTTTTGTGCGATTTTAAAATTAAGCTCAAAATTAATTATAATTATGCATTTTTTAAATATAATTGCTCTTTGTTACATTTCAAAAACAGTATCTTAAGTGATATCTAACAGTTGTCAAGGGTAGTATCTAATATTAGACATCTTGCCTTTAGAAACTAAAAAAAAGGCATAATAAAAACAATTAAAATTTCTTTAGTTAAAATATCAATATATTGATTGCTGCTTCATATTCTTGTGCTATCTTTAGAATAACAATAATAGTTATTCTTTTGGGATGAAAAATGAAGTTCGGAAACAATTTAGATGTTGATGGGGAATTCTTACCTTAAACTGCCAATCTTTATTTTTATTTGGTAAAATAAAAAAAATAAAAAAGTGTCTTGTTTTGGAAATTCTTAGCAATAGAAAATTTGTAAAATGTTTTCTTTGGTTATATAATATGCTATGTAATTGAAAATTTTTTAAAACTATAAAAAAAAACTTTACCTACCTGGAGGAATTAGCATTTTAAGCTACTAAGCTTAAAGCTAAATTGATAAGAAATGTGACTCTTGAAGTAACTTGGTTTCCTTTAGATTTGCTGTAAGGAGTAAAAAATTCCTGACCTTTTTTTAAAAAAAAAAAATTAATTCTATTTTTCATCCAAAATACTAAATGAAAAGAAATATGTATATTTTTATCAATGCTATTGATTAAGCTTAGCTTAGTAATCTTAGCTTAGTGATATTTTTTGAAATTAAAATGTTCCTACAAAGTTAAAGACAAGTATACTCTATTGGTTATTCAAACTTGTGTTAAAGTGTTTTAAAGCTTATTTCTATTCTGATTCTGAAGTAAATTTAAGACCTTAATTGATGAACCATCATTTTTTTAAAATTTAAGTAAAAACTAATTTTTACTTTAAATATGAAATTTTGTTATTTGTATTCAATTTCTTTTTTTTATGAGACTTAAATTTAATAGAATAAAGTTTTTGAGAATTTTAAAATGAAGTAAAAGTATTTCATAGAAATTCAAGTTATTTTACACTTAAATGTACAATTCTTTGTTCAAGGCTAAAAAGATGCAGGTCTACTTGTCTTATAGTGTATTTGCATGTGTGGTGAAGTATACTTGTGTATAATATAATAGCTTGGGTCTTTGGTTTATATGTTTTTCTGTTCCTGTTGAATGCTTCTTTTATTTTTGCTTTATTTCTTAATTTTCTAATGTGTATTGATATTTTTATTTGCTTTTAATATTACTCAATATGTTTTGCCTTTTTTTTTCTTTCTAAAGTTTTCATTTCTTAGTTTCTTTCCCTTTTCCAGCCATTTTATCTACGTGAATAACTATTGATTTAGTTATTGGATGTTGATCTGCTCTATAAAAGTTGATGTTGCTCTCTCTGTGATTGTTTGATATGTTTTATAGTTTCTCTTTTCACTTTTAGTCACTGTTAAGTTTGATTTTGTGTAATGCCTTTGGGTGAATGCAATAAAAATATTAACAACTTCTTGGGCTTGGTTCTTTCTTTTACTGGAGAAAAAACACACAATCTCATTGCCTTCAATTCTTATTAAATAAAGCTTATTTTAATTGTAAAACATAAAAACTAGTAATAAAAATTTTTTTTAAATGGGTATTTAAATTTTAAAAATATGAAAGAAATAATGAGAAAAATATTTTTTCATTTTTTTTAAAAAGGTTTTATAAATAAGTTTTTTTAAAGTTGATCACATTTGTTGAACTTGCTTATATTGTGTGTAAATATATCTTTTGTTCTATAGATCTATAAATTTATATTTTTTATATCAAATTATTTTAAAAAAAGATAAAAAGAACTTCTCACCTCATTTGCTTGCTATCATATCTTATAATGATTATATATGATTTAAAATGTTTATACTATTTTTTTATTAAATGATTTTATAAGCTTTAATATATAATATATTTATTTTCCAATGACTGAAAATTATGCAATATTCTTTTTAAAAAATCTTGTTTGAGAAAGAGATTGAAAAAAATTTAAATAATGTAAAGTCTTATAAAACATACTATGCATTTGTTCTAATAAATAAGAGCGTTATTTGCAATTATACAATTAATCACGGCAAGATATTTGTGTTTGCGATATTTTATGAGGATCACTTTTATTATTTTAATGATAACTTCTAGGATTTTAAGATTTACAAATTTATATAAAATACAAAAAAAAAATTTTTTATCAATGAAAATTTTTAGAAAAGATAGAATGCATTTTAAAATTTACCAATTTAAAAATAAATGTTTGACTAAGTAGTGTTTACTTGTGAACTCCAGTTTTCCAGTACACTGAATGTACATCAAAGAAATTTCCATTCCATAGACTATTTCATCAAAAACTCTATTTCTTTTTCTATTTTTTTAAGATAATTTTATCGATTTTGGAAAATTTTCTTTAAAAATAACTAACTAATTATGTGTGCCTTATGTAAAGTGATAAGTTTGAAACCTTTGCTTTAAATGTCATAAATTTTATTTTTGATTGAGAGTATTTTAAAATCATTTCAAAAATATTTATTTTGTTACAATGCAATTTTTTATTCTGTGTGCTTTTTCAGAGTAAATGACAATTGTTTTACTTCAGTATGATTTGTATTACTATTTAGAATTTAAAAATATAATAAATTACATTCAGTGCATAACAAAGGAAAATAATGCAGACAAATTAAGTTTGATTATTCATACAATGCAGTTTTTTTTTAAAATTTTCCTTTGATCATGAAAATTTCTAAAATCCTCTAAGCACAGAATATTTTATGTTCTGCAAAATAATTAGCTTGCAATGACATTAAAGTGGTTATAAGTGGAATGTTGGTAAATAATTACTTAATACATCAACCTTTTATAATTTAGCATACTATTGAATAGAAATGAATTGATTTTGTGTGCTTTCAGAGTTTTTAGTTACCATTAGAGAATTACATGCAACTTTGAAAATGAAAAAAAAGTACTCAACTGATTACATACATGAAAAAACATGTTTTCATAGAAACAAATATCTTATCTGCAATCATCATAAACTTATATTCTATGATTCTGGTTTTGTCCATCAAAGTTGATACTCCACGATATAATGGCCTATATTTTAGTTCCTCTTTATTTTTCTCATTAAAAAAAGTATATTTAATTTTTAATGCCTATTCCTTTGCCTATTCTTCTTTAAAGATATTAGCCTTTTTTAGTTTAAAAGTTAAATTTACTTTTGTAATACATTTTATTAGAACTATTTTTATTAGAACAAATATGAACTTAGAATTACTTAAAAAGAAATGAATACTATGTAGGATTAATGTTTGAAGTCAATACCAACAGCTGAAGAATCTCCAAGGGCAATTTAACGAAATCAAGATTGCAAACGTTATTATGAACACTCTTCATTTGAACTCTTAAATAGGAATATGATACAACCAGTATATTCCAAGTGCTTGTAATATCAAAAAGTATAAATATCTTTTTCAAGCAATTATTTTATTAGTGTGTTTGCAGTTCAGTTTTATGTATGAGTAGCTTCAATTCTTCAAAATAAGTTTATTTTGGAATGAACAAATTTCAAGAAAACTTTATCTTCAAAAATGCATACAGGTCCCAAAATTTATTGCAAACAATATTGTAAAACAGTATAATAGTGTTCTACCTTTTTGATCAGGTATAAGTGTGTTTCATTCTGTTTTTTTTTATGGGTGCGATGTAACAAGAAACAATTGTAATTTGATTTTAAAATTTTGTTTGTACACAAGTGCCTATTTTAGTTCCTTTGCTATATTGTTCATTTTTTTAAAAAATAATTTCTATATTCAAAAGAAATGGACTTCAAGAAATTATTTAAAATAATTACAAAAAAATTAAATATTATTTAAGCATTTGTTTTCTATTGTTCAGACGTAAATACTTTACTAAAAACTCTGATCTCGAAATCTGTAATCAAAATATTCCTCAATTGATTAAAAATGGAATACAATAGAATAAGTTAACAGAAATATTTTCTTTTGCAGCTGAAAGCAGAAAAATAATGTAACTTTGTAATAATTTAAATTGAAAGAAAATTTAGTAAGTATTTTTTTTTAAACATGTATCTTGCAAAACACTGCATATAACTTATAATATACTTATATCATTAAACAAAAGTTACTGACACCTAATTACATTAATAAACACAGAATTTATTTTTAAAAAATTAAAAATTTTTAATGCAGCATAATAATATTGTCCTCTAATTTTACTTTTTACCCCTTTTTTTAGACCTAAAGACTGCAACATGTATGTGGGATGTGAATTATTAGAGTGGTGTCAATCCTCATTACCTCACATTTAAACTGCAAGCAACCTTCAAGTCTCCCACTTGCGTGATAATTAAAAGTTGCTTTCTTTGCAGATCTTAAAAAAATTTAAAATTGTACAAAAACTAAATTCTGCAAAAATATAAGGAAATATGATATATGCATGCAATAGTAAAGGCTCACAAAAATTCTAAATGAGTAATTTTTTACTTTTTAAATTTTGTTAATAAATCTAAATTTTATGCATTTGATTGGTTTAGAAAAATTATGACATTTTATCAGCTATAGAAATCTTATTAAAAAAAGTAAATTAATAAAATGTTCACAATTTAAAAAATTTCCTCAGATCAAAGTACAAAAACAAGATGAATATCAGCTCACAGAAATAATTTATCGTTTCATAAACTATAGATCTAGTATAAAGATTAGCTTTTTTAAAAATAAAGTTAAAAAATTTCATCTGAATTTGAAAAAAAAGATACCGCATATTCATCCTAAATTTAATTTTTATACAGAAATTACATAAACATGTTTGGTAAATTCTTTCCCTTTTTAAGCATTATTTGCTTTTTGTATTATAGTTTTTGCTTTTAATAAATTCAGAAAATTTGATCTTAGCAACGTATAAGATTTAATGATAGAATTGTTTCTGCCTCTTCACCTTCCTTGGTTTTGTTGTGCTTCTTACTCAGTAGTAAGAGTTAATAAAGTATAATCTGACTGTTCCATCATCATAGTTGGCCAGATAGCCCCAATGCCTTCCTCTGAAGATTTATCCATAACGACTTTCGATATATCTTTGATCTCCAATTCTTTTCATTAATTGCAAGAAAATCAGACTCCTCCCTCCCATATTCCATCATCTCAACTGTGGCCTTACCCGCTTTCTTCTTCCTGTGGGTCTAAAAAAGCAATGCCTTTTTTATTTTATTGTCATCACTCACTTGAATTACGAGGGCTATCCAATTCATTCTATTTATTTTTATGTATTTAATAATATTAGATTGTTTATAAATCTTACACAGTTCAAAATTAAATCTCCTTCTGCAGTTATTGTTTTCATTTACACCACCAAGTATACACAAAATCTTTTCCTCAAATATTGCGACACCATTTCCCTCCAGTTTTATCACTGTCCAAGCTTCAGAAACATATGTCAAGATCGGCCTGACAAGAGTTTTATAAATTAAAAAATTTGTTTTTCTAGAAAGAAACCTAGATTTAATAAATCTTCTGAAACCTTACAAAGCCATATTTGCCAGATAGAGTTGGTTTTCATTTCAGGAGTTGTTCTGTTGGCTGTTCCATTAATATGTAAAAAAAAAATTAATTGCTTTTTTGAAAATCATTTTTAACATTGCTAAATTGTACAAATATTTAGTTCTGTTGTTTCTTCTGTACAATGAAACTTTTGAAACAATTGTCCTTTAATGATAAAAATAATTTTTTGTTTAAGGTTGTTGATTATCTGACTAAATTCTCTGGCATTCAACCTGGGGATTTAGATGCTTCTATATCATCAAAACACTTGACAACTCTGAAAGCAACTTACCAGAAACTACGATTCCTAATTGATTCTGGAGCAATCTTTGTTGGTCATGGCCTTAAAAATGATTTTAGAGTTATTAACCTTGTAGTGAGTTTTTTCATCTATACCATTAAAACCTACAGCCTTAAATGTTTTGTTTTTATAATCTACTCTTAAATTTTGAATATTTATCAACTAAAGAAACTTGAATTTATCCCTATCGTTTAAAGATATTATAAGATTTTGTATAGATATTTGAAAAGAAAGTTTTATTGCTCATTCTGCATTTATAATTAAATGTTTGAATTTAATTCAGGTACCACCAGCGCAGGTGCAGGATACAGTGTACCTTTTCCAACTGCCCAACAAGAGAATGGTGTCACTTAGATTTCTTGCCTGGCACTTTTTAGGTAATTTGTGACAAACCATACTGTTGTTTATATTTTCTTATTCCTCACAAAAACTATTGTTTATCAATTATTAGTTGACTAAGTTATGACACACAATCTATTTGCATTAAAAAGTTAATTTATCATTATTAGAGGCACGGCTTGTCAGCCTATACTGTGATTTCATTTTAGATGCTGCCGTCATAGATTTATTTTAAAATAAATGTTTACAAAAAATATTCTGTAATATCAACCCATTTCAGATTGTTTGCTCATAAAGTGGTAATATATTTTTCTTTACTTTTAATTACTCATTTTTTATTAAAATATGGTGTGATAAGATAAGTTTTTTATTGATGATTTCATCAAAATAGCATCTATGACATTTGCACGATGTCATCTACTAATGTGATACAAGTTACAATTTGTAACTTGAGAAAAATAAATCTGGAGCTGCATATTTTCTTCACTCTCAGCTGAATTTCTTTCTCACTTATTTATCAACACTGATTGCAGTGTCTTCAACTTTCATTATTCTGATAAATATTTACTGTTATTTTATTTATCATCCACTTTGTGAAGACAGAAAAGGCAGAGTTCATTTCAAGTGAACTCTCCTAAGAGAAAAGTCTCTTCAAAATTCTAAAATGCAACATAAATTGCAATAAAAGCATGAATAAAAAGGTTTCTAAAGATTGAATATTAATATTTATAATGGTTTGTATTTACTACATACCTAATAATAATTTATTTTCTTACAAAATCTTCCATAATAGATTTTTGTTCTTGCTGAAGAATTTCTAACCTATATTTTCAAGTTCATACAAATAGGAAATTTAGGTAGCTAAATAAAACTGCAAAAAGTCACGAATACTGTCTAACGCTTTTGTACAATTTGGAGGAATTCTTTCATCATCTATGTCATCATTAGTGATGTCTTAAATGTCTCTTAATTATGCTATCAAACTATCATCAACAAAGTCATTGAAACAAGCAAGTCCATCACTAAGATCAACATCCCAATTTTCTCAAACTTCGTTGATTTGATCACTATATTCATTTTTATCAAAAAATAGAAATCCAACTTTTTTGAAGCAATTCCTTATGTTAGATTTTCTGACATTTCTCCATGCAGTATGTACCATATTCATTACATCAAGAATTGAAATTTTTACATCAGCTAATTTGCCTGTTCCTAGTTCAGCAAGATATCGACGAATCAAAGTTTTTTCGTAGAGCACTTCAAGCAAGGAATTATACCCAAATTTAAAGGCTCATACAATGTGTAGGACAGTTAATCTTTCTTTTCCACTGTGGCAGGGACTTCCCATAAATGCCAATGCTTTTTAAGCACCATCTTGAAAAATAAATCAGTTTCATCACAATTGAAAACGTCCTTTGGTTTGTATCCTTTATTTCCTTTGCTCTACAGTTTTTTCGTCCATACTTGCACTTCCTCCTGATAGGGTATGCGTTTCCAAGCCGTGACAAATTTTCAATCTTACCACTCATCCACGTGATGCAGTCTCTCTGCTAGATGAACAGCTTTTTGTTCGAGTAACTCAACATTAATCGTAATTTTAGAAACTTCTTTAAACCATTGTAACAAAACACTACATAATTCTTTTCAAGATTGAATTTCCCATTTTCGTTGAGTAGCTACAATTGCCACCCTTTTTAAAAAAAATTCATTTTAAAGTTGACTCAAGAATTTTAAAATGATCAGCTAAAGCTTTTTTAGTGGTTTATGAATATTCTTCACTTCAAAAGCTAAGCTGAATTTTGTTCTTTTTGCCATTTCATTGAGAGACAAATCTTTAATGCTGCACTTTATTCTAAGAAAATTTCAGTGCATAATTTATTTTCAGAACGAATGGTAATTATCATTATTTTTCGGTATGACATTTCAAAATCGTTTTATAAATGAAAAAGGCGAATTAAAGAGGCGTTTTGCATATCACTGCTCCTCAGCATAATTTCTTCTTTGTGCTTAAAAGTCTTTATTTTCCCTCAATGGTAGCTAAAAATTATTGTGTCCAAAAATAAAAGTGGCGATTATTATGGTGTGGCCAATGTGATGATAATAAAAAATTTTGCTGATGTTTTTTTGGGGTACGGTGTAGGCTGGTGCAGAGTTTCTAACAGAAATTACTAAATATATTTTATGTAAGACTATACTTTTGTAATATTCTAGATCTGAAAATACAATCTGAGACACATGATTCTATAGAAGATGCAAAAACTGCTCTTCAGTTATACAAAAAGTACCTGGAATTCGAGAGCACAGGCTCTAAGAAGGATGCCCTGCGGGAACTGTACGAAGTGGGACGTCAGTTACAGTGGAAGGTACCCGGCATCGACGACTGAATTCCTTCTGCAGTAATGTTACAAGAAGTGGTGCAAAACTTTTTTTACACCCTAGCAAGATTAAAAAAAAAAACTATTTAATTGTACCACAAAAATAAAATTTACGTCTACAAATAAATCAAAACTCAGCTCTGTAGATAAAAACTCAAATGCATGTCTGTGTTGAGTTCATTTTTGGTGGAGTTCAATTTTAATGTTCTGGTGTTTTTGTCTACATTCCATGAATGCTTAATTTATTCTTTAAACTAAAATATAGTGTTTTGAATTATAATTTATGTTTAGTTGTAAATATTATTCAGAACTGACTTGAATTATAAAAAAACTTTTTTTGCCAGTTATATTTTATAATTTTGAGCATTTTTATGTTTACAGTTATTTACAAACGTATTTGGTATTTATCTTTCATGTAAGTTTACAATGTTAACAATTGTTAATAAATAATCATAAATATTTGTTATGAATTTAATGTTAATGAGGATATTTTTTATATGAGATATTTTTATTAACAATCTTATTTAATAAATTTTTTAGTATATCTAATAAAAAAATTATACTTAATTAATTTAAATCTATGAACTTTAAATTATAAGTTATAATTGCAATTTAAAAGATGTTTTTTTTACTTCACAATTTTAACTGTTGATATTAAATGGTTTTCACTTTTCCACATTTAATCGCAAGCAAAAGAGGACATTTTTTCATATATTTACACATTTTTTATTTACAATCTTATTTACTAGTTTTCTACTTATCTGTAGTGTAAATTTACAAATTATTTAAAATACTTTATAAATGAATGAATTACGAATATTTATTTTTCACATGATTTTAAATTGTATAAAATGTGTTTCAAATGAATGATTTTTAAATATTTATTATAAATGCAATGTAAAATACTACTTTTTTATATTAATATTTATATTTTTTTAATTTTATTCAATGGAAAAAAGCTAGTTTTTTACTTTGTTTAGAATTCTACACTTATATCAAAATTTTCAAGTAAGGATATTCTGTGATTAAAGTTTATCATTATAAAAATTTTATTGTTCTTATAAGATTTGTATTTGCTTTAAAAAATAAATATCACTGATTTTAATTTTGACTTAATCATATTAAATTAATAATTAAACTACATAAAGCTGGTCAATTAAAAAATCACTCGCTACTATTGATGTTTCAAAAAGATTTCCTACTGATTTCATCAATCATCGAAATTCAATCCCAAATTCTTGAATAATTGTTGCTGTTTGGCATGTCTTGAATGTTGTTTTGGAACAAATTCTTAAAACGTTCTTGTTGGATCCCTAACTGATACATCAAATATATTTAAGGCAAATCTAGATTTGTAATCATATATTGTATTTTTAACTTTTGGATTAATTTTTCAAAAATTAAATGGATAATAAAGATAAACGTGTTTAAATTTTTAAACAATTTTGTAACAGAAGTCCTTTGTATGCGTTGTTTTAAGTTTAAGAGAACATTGCTACAAAAAAGGCAAAAATAGTTTTATGCAGAAAAACTACTTAAATGTCAGTGTTTATTTTCATTTAAATACTTACATAAATAAAACATTATTTGAGTTATGTAAGTTGCTTCACATATTTAATCTGAAAATATATTTATTTTTGGTGTATTTATCAAAATTAATAGATTTATTAAGAGTCGCTCTAAATGTTTATTTTATTTGTTGAGGAATATTTAATTTTGAAAGTAAAACTAATTTTTCCAGGAATGTTACAATATAACAAATATAATTATTACTTTTGCCATTTGATATTTTTTTAAGTGTATATATATATATATTTATAAAACTTCTCAAAATTAAACATTTTGTGCTAGGTACTGGTATTTAAAGTCTTTAATAAAACTTAAACTATATGGTTCAATATAGAGCAAAAAAAAAGGTAAATTGCAATAAATGCTTAAAATTTTTTTAAATATATAAAGTGTTGTGATTTTAAAAAATGTTTTTCAATAAATATTTTTTATTTTTATGTTTACTGTGATTCATTTAAAAAAAAAATTATTTGTGTTTTGTGAGGAAAAAAAAACTTGTCAGAATCTATTCATCACTTAAGAACTAACCACTGTACATTAGCTTAGTAATTACTTGAAACCAAAATTAAGTAAGCAATCCGAAGATGAATTATAAAATGTCTAAAAATTAAATAAAATCAGAATTTTAAAAACTATATTTTTCTACAGGAATTCAGTTTTTGTCAGATGATAAACATAGGGTATTTCACTTTTGGACGAGGATTTTCAGTGTTGATTTAAGTTCATTATGAAAGCTAAGTGCCCCCTACATTTATGTATGTTTGGTCTGATTAAAAAAAAATAATTTTTAATTTTTAGCATATAATTTTTTTTTTAAAGTTTTAGTCATTTGTGTGTTTGATTCCAGAAAATTGTCAGAATTTTGATTGGCAATAAAATGTTGAAAAAAGTAATACAAATTTTGTTCGAAGATATATTATAGTTGGCTATCAAATACTATCTGCAGTGGTCAAGAAATCATTGCCACTTATATTGTTATCAAACACAGAATTCCAATTAAAGTTTAATCAAATTTTTATTTAATCTGGTTCAAATTTTTATTTGGCCACTGGACAATAAATTCTATCATTAGCAGTTTAGGGGGGGGGGGGGGTTCTATGTAACACTGTAATATCAATAAGATATACAAAAACATAACTTCTGACTCAGCCGTGATATTTTCATTTTATATTAAAAGTAGCAGATTTAGACAGTGAAATTAAAATTTTTCTTAAATATAATTTTCAACTTCTTTGACCACTACTGTATTAAAGAAAATTGAGCAATATATAAAGCTTAATAATCATAATTTTAAATAAATTGTCAGTCAATTATTTTGAATTAAAACAGTCGCTAATTTTCAATATCTTCTGATAGATTGTTACTAACAGTTTTCGCCACCTATACTGTTTTATTTAACCAATCAAACTTCAATTTATTTTTTTCGGCAGCATCGAAGGTACATACTTTGTATTTGTCTATGAAATTGACTTCCATCATTAAAATACATTAATCTTACTATTCACTATGTGAAAAAGGCACAAGTAACTGAATATGGGCTCGGGCAAATGTAGGAAAGGCCAAAAATAAGAACTAACGGAGTTGAGACAATTATAATGCGTTGCACGCGTGACACCAAGAAAGTACACCCTGGATCAAATATCCATGGCTGAAACGAAGCTGCTTAGAAATCAACAATCTCATCCTACAGCGGAAGTCGCAATTGTCAAGGCAACAGTCCACCTGCCGAACCTTTCTCCTGACTATCATTCTACATGTACTACAGAGTTCATTCCAAGTATGGCTATCAATTGGGCGGCTTGGGTTTACGGCATTTATGGGGGGAGGGGGTCTGTAATAATTGGACCCCTCAAAAATTACGTTTTTGGAGTACATTCTCCCTGATTGTCAAGCACAGGGTACATTTAGAACTATTTGCTATTATTTAGCAAGAAGTACAACTACAGTTTCACTCTTTTAGATGCAGGGGTGAGAGTAGTCCGAAAGCAAAAAAGAGGAAATCGAAGAATGAAGATAGATATATATATACATACACAAAAATGATGCGATTTTTAAACTTGTAAGCCATGTGATTATAAATTTTAAAATTGTATGAATATGAATCACATGCATGATTTTAAACTGAGAGAACATGAATCTCGATATGAGGCTTTTAAATCACGTGAATGTGAAACTCTATATCGAATTTCAAAAAATGCGAAAATACAAATCATGAAACGTAATTTTTAGATCACTTAAATACGAATCACGATGCATAATTTTTAAATCGCGCAAATACAAGTCACAATGTCTAATTTTTAAAGCACGTATAAATACGAAAATCGATGTTTGATATTACGACATTGGATTTTAAGCTCGCGTGAATACGAATCGCTACATAGGGTTTTAAAGGCGCGTAAATAGAAATCGCGATATTGGATTTTTAAATCTCGTAAATAAGAATCGCAATGTACGATTTATAAGTCGCATGAATAAGAATCGCAATGCGCAACTTTTAAATCAGGTAAATACGAAAATCGATGATTGATATTAAAATCGCGTGGATAAGAATCGAGATATTTGCAGAGTCTGGACTTGGGATTTCTAAAAGGCTTGTTTGTATTGTTTTTGTTTAGACACAATAAATAAAAAAATTACAAGATTAATTGAATGAGCAAATAATTTGCTTTCATGCTAGACAACAGGGTTACGACGTCTAAATTGCGAAAATACGAGCTGTCGGCGGACGAATAAAACTACGGAAAATCTTATTTTCTGTGCGTAAAAGCGGATAAAATAGGTATAATAAGTAAAAATACGGAAGCGTTAGCAGCTAGGACGTAGTTTGAATTTTCTGTTTATCTTTGAAAATCGTAAATAAAAATATAATTATTTTATTTCAACGACTGAATTTTCAAAAAAAAAAAGCGGGATATTTATAAAAAAAACGAAACTTTTAGAGAATCGGAGTTTTTGATAANATTAAAAAAAAGGCTGAAATTCGAAAGGCAAAAGCGAAAAAATCTCATCCCTGTATAAAGATCAACCAGTTTTTTCCCAAGGAAATGATTTTTAGAGAAGTTTCAGAGGGAGAAATGAGGATTTCAATACTCCGTGAAAAATTAAATTCCTCATAAAATATTTCAACTTGTTCGAAAAAAAATTTCCGCGGAATAATCACATCCCTGTAGATTGTTGGAATTCTAATTATTGTTGATAAATTCGATTTGGTGAAAATACGATAAATTCTACTTTTAGCAATTAGAAAAAGAACTTATGATGTCATCCAGCACAGGCTTCAGGTAAAACTTCAGTTGACGATAATATCACAATAAATTCTGCTTATATCAATCAGAAAACTAAGGAAACATTTATTGCCATCCAGCACGGATTTGAGTACTCTTAACTGATTGCGAATGTCAGGTCACTTAATAATCTAGTTATGTGTGGTAGTGAGCAAAGGTTCAATTTTTTTTATTTTTAAGAATCAACGGTATAAAGAAGTCAATTGTGAAAGATTATATTAAAATTCAATGCGTCAGAAGATGATTAAAAAGCATATTTCAAACTAAACCAAATATGATAGAATGAGATTTTATTTGAAATGCCATAATTACACAAGAGGTGCCATAAAATGAAACAGCTTAACAGGGTTGTAAATATACAATATTTTGTATCTTATTGTGTGCAAAGGAAAAAATTTCACCAACTAAAATAAATCTATTGAATCATACCAGGTATAAAAAACTTGCTGAATGCTTTTTTCAGCAATTTGTAAACTACTTCAATGTGCAAAAAATGTTGCATTTCAACCTTGCATCTAACTCTCTGATTTTTGACTAATTTAAATTTGAACTGACTGTTTTATTAACTCATCTTAACATTTCAATTTTTAAAAGAAAAAATTTACCATGTCCTTATTACATTTGTAAATTATCTTTTTTTTTTATAAAGCTATTAACAGTATTACAAAAGGACAAATAATTTCATTTTCCAAATTGTTTCATTCATTCATTTAATTATTCAATTTATTTTATTCAAAGCTTAAATTATACTAATTAGCATATGATTTTTTTTCTTGTTGAAAAGATATTTTTCAAATATTAAAAATAACTTATCAAATACTGTAGGAAAATCAAGAATCTTTTTTCCAAAATAATTAAATGAACAGTATTATTTCAATATACCGTAAAAAGATAATAAAAAATTGCAATCAGGTATTTAGCAATTGTAAATTTGCTTTTCAATTGAGAAACAGAGTGCAAAATATTTACAATGTTATTTACATAAATGTACACAATTATATAATACATTCAGATATTACAAGGCCAAAAATATCTAACCATAATATATTTTAATGGGAGAAAAATCCCATACATTTAGAGTTCTAACACTTTTTCGATCTTAGCTGCAGAAAAAAGCTAGTAAAATGATAAATGTTCGAATTTTTTTTTCATAAGCCAGGAAAATAATTACATAGAATGATTAGATTAATATAAATTGAAAAATAAGAACGTTCTCAAATCTCTCATGATCACAATTTTTATTTGATTTTCAAATTTATGGTCTAGTAATATTCTTAGCACTTATGTTTGTTTCTTTAGTTCTTTTTAAATGTCAACAAGAAAGCATACTACTGTTGAATAGCATCTTATTGATAGTTGATACAATTTAAATATTTTTAAAAATATATGGATAATTACTTATAGAAATTAAGCTTTTTCAAAATAATTCTTAGAAAATGCATGATAGGTCCTGCAAAGATTTCAGAGTTTAAAAGGTTTTATTCATCAAGATTTCAGTATACTGAAAAACAAACTGGTGGTAAAACAATTACCATTAAAGTGGCAGTTCTTGAAAATGATTTATGTTGAGTGCTAAAAAGTGAAGTACTTTCAATTCATTTTCTAATAATGAGATTGTTTCAAAATCGAAAATAATTTTAAAATGGTGTTATCATACAATGTATACGAGTATATCACTATTTATACTGAGTATGTACATATGTATGTTATACCATATTGCTTTTTGGTACGTCTCGTAATAATACTGAGTTAGCAATCTTTCTGGAGCTGAGATGGATGTGAGGTTAAAACATACTTGGAGGGATTCTGAACATGAGCATATAGTGACTTAATTATAATTAATATAGATACCAGCTATTTTTGTGTATAGATTTGAAATAATAAAATATGCTCTAAGTATACTTAAAAAATAAAATGAGAGCTTTCACTCAATTGCAAGTAACGGGGGTGATTATGAGCCCAAGTCAAAATTCTGGAAAAATTTTTTAATAAAAAAAAAAAGGTTGAATCGAATAATTAGAAAAAAATTTAAACAAGGTCTTTTCCTTTTCCTCAATATTTCTTAGTTTACTTAAAATATATTTAAAATTTTTTACATATCAATGAAAGACCTGGAGAAGTAATTGAAATTTACAAATACGTCCTTCTTCCTTGAGTTTATGATTATAACTATTAACTGATAAAAAATGAATATTAATTTTGAATAAAAGCTTATAAAGTATCTGCATCTCCCTTAAAAAGAAATAAAATAAACTGTGTTTTTAAGTTCCACTTTGAAAATTTGATTTCCAGAAACTTTTGTGATTAATGACTTTTTCAAACGTCTGAACCTTCGATCTCCGGAAACTTCCGGATCACGGTTAGCGAAAAATCTGTATTTTTTCGGGAGCACAATCAGCGTTGAAGTGATGAAGTCTACTTTAGAATAAATTATCCATTTAGAATAAATTCAGTGTTAGATTTCACTTCCATATAGTCTATATAGAATAAAACAAATTGATTTTCAAAGCATATGATTTGATACAAATAAGCAGCTGAAATGACAGGTTGTATAAATAATTGCATTTAACATTTATAAAAATAAGTTTGTAATAATAATTAAATTTTAGGAAATGCCTATGGACTATGTTGAATTACCTATTAACTAGTTATGTTTAAAACACTACCAATTAGTATTGATATCCAACTCTAAGATTTGTCATCCAATTTTGCATACATAGAGAGTGTGAGATAAAAACAAAGATTTAATTTCTATGACGACACTACTAAATGTAAATTAAGACTATAATATTTATACTAATACATTTCATCTATTATAATGTCTTTAGAAGTGCTATTTAATAAGAAGATAATCACGTAAAAACATCTTTTAATCCCTCAGAGCTCCATTGATTGTCACCATCATTTTTCGTGAACCTGCAACAGCAAAAAGTATTTGTGTATTTATTTAGGCAAATTTTAAATAATAAAAAAACAATATTTAAAAACAGCTTTATGAAAAGATCGTACATTGTACCGATTCTTCAAATTTATTTAAAGAAAACAAAAATTTCATCATTTACTCTTTAACTAATTTAGACAATATCTAAGAATATATCATTATTCTTTCACTTGAGCTCGAAAAATTTCATAATTTTTACATGCTATTCCAGGCATGTCAGTCTATGTATGGAAATAATGCCCAAATGAATCTTTTCCATACCACATCTTTTTCCTAAGCTTACCAATGAAAAAATAGGAATGTACTTAATGAATCGACTTAAATGATGGTAACAATATTATATCAACATGAACATATAAGCAAAGAGGTGTTATATTATTATCAATGAATTATTAAGCATGAATAGGGCTCGAGAAATACAATCACCCAGTCAACATTGGTGTCCAATAAATTTTGAGTAGCGACTATATTTTTAGTTTTTAAATTACACTATGACATTTTTTAAAGTTAAATATTTATCTGAAAAATTATTCTGAGAATTGAACGTGAGCATACATTTTTCTCCTTTTCTGACGCACTTTCAATAATCAGCACAGAAAAATCCTATCTTTGTACTGTCGCACATTTCTCAAATTTCTGATTCTGAGTTTTGTCATATCATTTTTAAAAAAAAATATGAATTTAAAAAGTCATGCTGAAATTCATTAGAATAGCTGACCACTTGGGTTTAGAATGAAATGGATGCAAAATGTTATGAACATTGTCTAACATTGAAAAGTGATTGTTCTTAAGCGGGATTCAAGATTCATATGTCATGATAGCTTCGATTTATAAATATGAGGAATTTTAAAATTATTTAGAAAGCTTTAGGTATAACTGTTGAAAAATTAACAAAAATATGTGAATTCATGACAAAATGTGAGCAAATCAAACGTTTGAGACAAAAAATATACAAATGTGTATAAAAAAATTAAAAAAAACGCACATAGAAATCTTGAACAATAATTGCTAAAAATGTCGGGCTAGATGGGGAGTTATTTAAGCCCAGCGTTTAAGAAGCAATAAAAATCCTTGCTGCAGTTGAACAATAATTTATTTTGAATAAATATGATGATGACTATCTTACAAATGGCTGTGAAGGCAAAGAAATATAGACTTGCTGAAGAAACGTTATAACATCTCAGTAGAAATAAACAAATTAGCATACCGCTGCTGCTTGACAAAAATAAATAATAATATAAGCAACATCCGAAACAGCTATATGTGCAATGACAACACAACATCCAAAGTATTTATACATAATATGGTTGCGTCATGAACGGATTTGTAATATCCCTGGTATTGAGCATAGCATAACAAAGGAACAGTAACAAGTTTAGTAGTACCTAATTTACTTAAATATTTAAAAAGTTATACAAAAAGGTATTTTACTCCACTAGAAAAAGCAACAAACTTGAACTTAAATTTCCTTTTATGGTGAGAGAAGAAAAAGCATAGTAAACAGGAAGATCCGATTGATTGGTTGCACTATTTCCAACAAAAATAAAGTAAATTACAATGAAAACTTGAACAAACGTAGTTAAAAATCAATTGGTGATAGCTGATATGAGCGATTCCATATTAATGAGTTGTAATCATTTCGTATTACAAATATCAGAATTTTAAAAATTATGTAGAAATTTATGGGTATAACTGCTGGGAAAGTTATTCAAATAACAATCCGAATTCATGACGCAAATCAAATGCATTTGTATCAAAAAGTTACTATCCAAAAGCCATTTGTCATAATAATATCCTACTAAAATATCAGGATTTCAAAAAACCATGTATAAATCTGTAATAATAATTGCTGAAAAACTGTGTGAATTTATGACGAAAATGGCACAATATTCAGCCCATCAAACGATGATCACTTGAATACCTGATCACAAAATTCCACTACGCACCAATATCATATATAAAAAAAATTTCAACTCAAATATTATTAGCATAGCGCTGAGCATAAATTACCATTGATAAAGTAAATGCACATGCAAAACACAGTTATTAACAAAGAAATATTATTAACAGAATTATTAAGTAGTAACACATTACTTAACAACGTTGACCCTGAAAGAGTGGCTAACAAACATGCGCTGTAAAATGCCTGAATTGACAAGCCCAGGTGGGCATTGGAGAAAAAAAAACATTACTTAACAATGCTATAAAAACAATTTTGTTCACATGATTTGCTTTCATATAATAAATTCAACTTTTATACCAATTATTTTTTTATGCACAACCAGGGCATGATTTCATTCCATGTAATATTAATAGTGAGTTCTTTTATCAGTATTTTTTAAAGTATTGCAAAAAATTATTACTAAATGGTTAATTTATAATTGTATTAAAGATCAAATAACATTAGATAATACTATTTTCATATTACAAACTATCCATATATGTTTCATTACATCAACATTTTACAAAATACATGATTTATAAATTTTTGTTTTATTATTATTACAGTTTTGGCTAAATTAACTCCCTTATAAGATTAATAAAAGAGCATTAATCTCTTAAGGCACCATTCTGTAAGTTTTGTACCATTCTCAAAATTTGCACGGACTAGTACAATCAAAGGGACTAGTACAAGAGACTTTTGCAAGGACTAGTACAATCAAAGTAAATTTAATTTTTCACCTCATCTAAATTATGTCGATGTGTTTTCATAGTACAAACTTAACATAGCAAATCATGAATTAACATCCATAGTTCATTCTAAAGCTTAAAAAAGGAAAGAAAATAAATAAAACAGCATATTCTCAAAAATTGAAATTGTATTTACATTAAAAGGGTGTAGTTTTTTAGTGTGATGTATGAATTTCTCACATTTTAAAAAAAATTAAGAATTGCAGTAATAAAATCACGCAGAGTTTAAAATTCGCATCAAAAACTTTTGTAAAATGTGCTGAAAAAGAGATCTAAAAAATAAAGTAAATTTATGTGAAATCATTACAAATCGCGTGACTCAAATATTTAAAACTCAAATACAAATTTGCCAGTAGTAATAATAATATTGTAATTAAATATCAAAATTTAAAAAGGGTCGGAAAAAAGACAATTATCAGCATAAACTGCTGAAAAACATTTTGAAAATGACGATTTATGACGGCATAGATTTGAGATCCTCAAAAAATTATAGCTGAAATTTTAAATTTGCATTCTGTAAATAAAATTGCATAAAGAATATCAAACTTTGTAAAAGCATATGAAAAAGGCTGTAATAATGAAAAATAACTGCTAAGAAAACTGAAATTCGTGTGTAGCAATAGCATTGTATCAGTATTTTAAAATATTTCTCATTAAATATTTACAGACCAAGCTTGTAATATGTATCCAATCAGAATTTTCGATGTCAGGTAATATAATTTTCAAGCTGAGCCTTTCTCTATTTTCACAGAAAAAGTAACTCCTTCAATTAAAATTTTCCAGTCTTGTATCTGCCTTTTTTTACAATTGACCTAAACGTTTCAAATAGAAATCATTCGTCATTATCAAAATTCCATGGTTTGGTGCATCTTGAATTTTATCGATTTTTTTATAAAATATATATTTTTTGGACAAAATATTGTAATTGTAAAGAAAAAACAATTGGTAATTTTCCAAAAGCTAGTTTTTGTGATGAATAAATAATTGAACAAACAAGACATCATACTATTTTAATTGTAGGCATACTTTTTTAAAATATATTTATCAGTTTTCGACATGGTTTCACTACTAACTGTTTTGTATCATGCGCTATAGCAATTAGACAAAAATAAATGTATTTATTTCAGATAACATTTTCACAGAAGGTGCAAAATATAATAGAAGAAAGAGAGAGGATATTTTTGTGAATAATTCTCTGTATAATACCTGCTCTGTTTCTGTGCTCACACAGCCACACACCCTGCCAACTGCCCAAATTCAGTTGACCATCAGTGATTGGAATAGTGAGATGAGATCCAAGAAAACAAGACTTGATGTGTGCTGGCTACAAATATCATGTAACAAATCAAAATGTAGCATTTAAAATAAATTAAGTTATTGACAAAAAGAGTTATTGCTGTACATATATTCATTTTTTAATCACAAGGCAAAATGTTTTGGATTAAAATGGAAGGAATTTGAGTACTTACCTTTAAATTGAATAAAATTTGGGTCATTATTTGGCATTAAATATACTTATTATGGCAATTTTTCTTCACTAGCTACTTTGAATCACTTAAATTTTAAAAAATTAGAACAATCGATAAACAACTAATATGCATTCACCAGAATATTGTGCACAACCAAGTAAAGCTGATGCTAAGTTTAATCTTATGAAACAGGCATGCAAAGATATGATTTTAAAATTTGATTTTATACTTTTTTCATTTGGCTTCAAACAAAAGTGTAACGTAATTTAGTTTTTCAAGAAGTTTTTTTTTTTTCAAATATATGCTTAGTATGTTTTCATTTTATTCTTCAATATTTTTATTATGGCTATATTATGATAAGACAAACCTATACCATGTTTTGTAAAATAATTTTTTTTCTCACAGCTGGAGTATTTTTTTAAGTAGAAAAATCAAGAAATAGAAATATTGAGACTTCATTCCAAACATTTAAATATCTAAATAATGTAACTTAAGGTAGCACAAAAGGTTTTCAAGAAACAATCTGAAAGTTTTATACATATTTATTTTAATACGAAAGCTTAAAATATGTATTCGCGTCCTTAGCTATATGTTTTGGCATGCACAATTAGATCACAAATTTGAAATGAAAGGCCTGAAACTTAGTTTTGTTAATTTGAAGGAGCTTAAGATTCACTAAATGCTACTTAATAGACAAAATAGATATAATAATACAATAATAATGAAATTATCCACACTGAATTTCCATTGACAGATTTTTGCCCTTGATATAAAACCTAAGTATCAATTCTCTAAAAAGAATATTGAATGAGTATTAGAAATAAATAAATTAAAAAAAAGCATTTTTTCTGACAATTTAAGACATTCTCTTAACTAAATCTGAGCAATCTTTTCTTTTTTAAAAATGAAAAAATCACACAGTAAATAAAGCCTAGCAAAATACTAAAAACTAAGCACACTAACGAAAAAAATTAAAAGGAGGAATGTTTTTTTAAAAAAAAAAAAACATATCAGATGATAGCTAAGTTCTTCGTTGGTATGCCGGCAAAGCAGTGGTCTGAGATATTGCAACTCAGTGACAGCGTTGGCATAGAAGTATCTCATTTGCTCTTCATAGCTTGTAGTGTCAGGACGATTTGAAACATTGTAGCTTAGTCTAATCCTCATTTTTTTAATTTCTTAGTTGACCCATCATTCCCCTTAGTTCAGTCTTCATCCTCCACAAGATGGCAGATAGAAGACTCAAGGCCGGCCAATCACAGGCTACCCCTGCGAGAAATGTGGTGTGCACTCTGTGGAAACAGTTCACAGAGACAGGAACAGTGGTCCACCCGTAAAAGGGCAACAATGCCAGTTCAAGATTTTCTTACCAAAAGCAATAGGTCAATAATTGTCTTGTAACAGGAATATCACAGATAACAGTTGCCTAGTTAATGTGGATGGCCTATAGTTGACATCTCTTTGACTATGAAACACAAAGAGGACTGTCTAGCACGGTGCCTAGAGGATGTGTGTAGGTTCTCTTCAGTTATGAGTCGCAATTCAGTTTGGACAGTGACTCGAGATGTGTTCTCATCTCGAGAGCACCCGGAAATCAATATCAACCCGGAAATCAATATCAGCCCTCTAACATTGTTGAAAAGGACTATTATGGTCGAGGTGGTCGTATTTTCTGGGCAGGCATACTGGCCTTCATGGATTTGATAGAGGTACTCTGACAAATCAGCGGTACAGGGAAAAGATCCTTATAGCTGTTAGAGGCATTATTATTTCTCTGATGACCCATCTCCTTATTTATGGTACAGAATGGGTGCATTTTTGCTTGCTCATACATTGATCTAATATCAGATGATATTTTTGATCCAAGTTTGGTTTTATTTGCTTTGTTAGCTTTTTTATTGCAAAAAAAAAAAACAATTATTTCCCCTAGTGCAGGGGTGGCGAACCTTTATACACCAACGTGCCATTTTCTCTAAAAAATTGCTTAATGAGGTCATATACGTGCCGTCAAAAAATTTTGACTTTGTGATTATTGAGAAAATAATAATACTAAATACTATCAACTCAAAACTCTTTATTTACATTGAAAAAAAAAAAAACCTTTTGCAATGTCTCAGTTATACACGTAATTCAACTTAAAGTAACATCAGTGTGGCTTCTGTTGTTGCAGTTTAGATGACCAATAACTTATATTAGGTTGTAAGATGCTAGTTTAAGCAGGACTGTTGATTTTTTTTGCTAGTTATTTACTGTTATCTTGTTTTTTATGGTTATTGTTTTTTTATTATTAATTTTTTATTTTTTTATTAATAATTGTTTATTATTTTGTTTGTTCTTTGTGAATTTTAATTTAATTGTTACATATGCTTCATAGAGTAATAACATTTGTGTAATAACAATTCATAGTGTAACAACAATTGTGATTGGTGGAGTGCCCCAAATATTGTGTCGCGTGCCATAAATGGCACACGTGCCATTGGTTCGCCATCCCTGCCCTAGTGTATATTAGATGTAACACTACTGTGTAAATAACTTATAACACACTGTGTCATACCATATCATCTGGTCCTTCACATGAATGTCTAAAAGGAGTGCTCTAAAAAAGAAATCAAGTATCAGATAAATGTTCTATCACACTTTATTTATATGTATAAAAATAATGAACCTACTTCAGGAACAAGCTCGGTCAAAAAGGCTTCCATGTCTTCCCTATAAAAAATATGTTAAAGAGTCATTAAAAAATAATGTTCTTTTCTTTAAAATAAATAGCAAAGTTTGTTACAAGAAGCTTACCGATAAGCAAAAGTATGGTTTATATCTTAGAGAAGTAATTCATGTAGTAATATTTGTTTTTAATAATTATACTATTAAAACAAATTAATATTCATTTTTATTATTATATTATACTTCATTATTTTTAATTATATTTTATTATTTTAATTAAACTTGTTTTAACAATCTAATTTTTAAAAATTAAATCAAATATTTTCATTTCATCAGAAAAATTATAAATTATGCATAATATTAAAACCCCAAAGAAGATGCAACAACAGATGCATTGTGCATTCATATGTAGACTTTTTAAAAGAAAAAGTAAAAAAAAAAAGATCTTTATATTTGCGATTTCAGCATTTAAATTGCTGTAGTTTCAACATCAAATAGCAATACAAGTCTAAATGGATCATCTAAATTTCTCGAACTATGGGAATTCTACTGTTTTATATCAAATAGAGAAAAGAAAGATGGATGCGTTCATAAAATGCTCAATCTGTTTATAAGATAAATTCTTACCTGACATCAGGATCCCAGTTCTGAAAAAAAAAAAAAAANAAAAGTAAATTAAAAAAAAAAAAAAAAAACAGACATAAATATTATTTATGGTTTGGAAAGAAAGAAAAAAGACACAACCATTTTTTAAAAAAAAATTAATTTAAAAATTAAATTACTAAATTTAATAAAATTTGCTAGCCCAAACACATCATGGCTAAATTTACAAATGTGCCGGTAACCAAAATATTTGGCACAATTTAAAATTTTGCATTTTATACACACTGAGCTAATGTTTATATTTGGACAACAATTAGATATATTTTCATACCATGAAAATTACACTAGCCAAGACGCCTGAGGGTTTCTTTACTTGCAAAGAAGAAGTATGCTTAAGGGTGGATAAAGTCATATCCTCCATGCATATCTTTTTCTGCAATAACTGTCAACTAGCATGGAGCGAAAAAAAAGTTTTTGATAACTGAAAAGCACTTCTCCCCAAAAGTTGTAAATGGACTAGTATATCAAGCACGAATGTTTTCAGAATTTTCACATCTTTTCCCCACAAAAGCCTTAAAAATTTTCAAAAAACAATGAATTTTTTAAAATTTTTAAAACTTGTTGGAAAAAAAACAAATTCCTCTCAAAAGTTGGGCATTCAACGAAACTTTGAAAGTGATTTTTTTCATAGTTTTCATTGTTTATTGATACATTTTTCAATATAACAATTTTCAATATATTATTTCGTACTATAGCAATTCGTTACAGATTTACTTTCATACTGTTTTTTCTTCTGGCTAAATTAATTTTCAAAAAAAATCATTTAACCCTCAAATGCTGGCGAAGCACATAGAAAGTCTCGTTATGACCTGCAATCTTACACAAGCTTTTAATTTACTTAATAAATTTGCAGCAAGACAACTTTAAAAAAGGATATTTGTATATCAGGATCTGTTGTGTGAACTATAATCGACAAGAAATAATTATTAGAAATACGAATCGTTTTAAACTTAAAAAAGAAAAACATATACCTAGAGGTTCGCTGCGGGATGGCTACAAGTTACGCCTTTTGAGTTGATTTTAATAATTTTTTTTAGTTTCATGCCAGTCACTACCCAAAAGTAGCAAAAACATGACAATTATTATGCAGCTGATCACGGTCCAGATATCTTCCCCAATAGTCGCATAAGTAGAGGGCTTATTAATATCGCGTAACCAAATGCTTCTTAAGTAATTTTATCTTAATATAGTATGTTTCATTAACTGGTAACATAGATTACAAAAATATTAATACAAAAATGAAAGACTGCACTTCAATTATTTATTTTTCAAACTTAAATGAATCCATGTCTATTTAAACACATTTATCTTTGGGACAGCTTGGTTTTCAGTATGTAACTGTTTTTGAAAATTTTTCTTATCATCATGTTTAGCAGTAAGAGATAATAATCTGGTTTCAATTTGAAAGAAATTGTTCTCAGAATGTAGCAGGTGGTAATTATTGAAGTGGTTGAAGATGTAATCAAAGTTGTGGTGATGTAATCATAAATTTGCTATTACGTAAACGGGAAATAGTTGATTGTTGAAGTAAAGAAAGATAGAGTTTTGGTTGGAAATGTAATATTTTCTGCAAATTTTAAGTTATTAGAATTTTATTTTAAAAATGAATTTTCTGTGGCGTTAATTGTTTCTTTTTGTGTGGGTTGAATACAGTGTTTTCATTACAGAAAAAAAATGAGAGAGAATTTCTCAACCTTTCTCAAAAGCAGGGTGAGATCTCAAAAAGTTAAGGGAGATTTCTAAAAATTAAAAAAACGCGAATAGACTTGGAAAAAATATATTTCTTTAATTGTAATACATTTTTAACATCTTCTAACTTTTAAAGCATTAAATATTTTTGCTGCATCATCATATGGAAAACGTTCTATATCTACTTTTTCATCAGCTTTTCTCATTAGGTTGCTCAAATGTTTATCAGTCATTTGTATACGATATTTTGTCTTAATTCGGTTTTGAGTGCTAAATGACCTTGCAACAGATGATGAACAATTCGGATTTACTTAGTAAATTTGTAGCATTGAAAAAATTTTAAACGTCTTACATGAAGAAATCTTACCTTCCGTGAACACGTGGTTGCAGAAAAATGTGTTCTGAAAGGTATTCCGTCATTCGGGGGTGGGGGGGGGCATTGTGTTCTGCTATTTGCACCGGTTCTGAACAATACTGGTAAATAGGGAAGCTAGATAACAGGTATCCTTGTTGAAAGTAATGAAAGATCAAGGAAGAAAAGTGAAACGGATTTTATTCAAAATGGCAGAAGACGAATTTTTTTTCCAAAATTCGCGAATTTTGAAATTGATTAATAGAGTGTGCGATCTTCTCTCGTTAATAATTTTTTAATGCGAGAAAAGAAAAAAATAAGCCAGATTCTCGCGCTGTAGTAAAAACACTGTTGAATATATAAGTGGGATTTATTACATTTTGTAAATGCATTTGAATTTAAACCAGTTGATGTAAAGATTGTCATTTTTATGTTGATTTGAGAAATTTATGAGTATGGAGACAAAATTTCCAGAGTAGCAAGTTAAATTTTTTAAAGAAAATATAACGGTTTAGGAGTTATTATGATGAAGAGAATTATAGCTGTCAGGTGATTTTTTATGTATTTTAGGATTAGGCATAGGTCTAAGGTTTTTTCCCTTATAAAGTTTTTCGTGTCAACAAAACATATGTAATACTGATGAAATTATAATTTTATAAGGTTGCAATAATTGATTCTGTTATTGTTCGTCATTAAATTGCCGCCAATCGCTAACGTATTGGGTCAAAACTGGTTGGGATGAAAACAAATCGTCAGAAGTAACAAATCAATTCCAATAAATCACATCTCTTAGGATTTCAGATTCTAAAACTAGTAATGTAATAATCAATGAATTCTATTCTTACCTCGTTAAGAGCCAAACTAGCAGAGGTATGCATGACTGAAGAATAATTATAATCAGAAATTTAAACGAAATATAGTGAAAGAGAAATTAAGATATTTAAATCATATAATACATAAGTTATGTTTTTTTAATTATACTTACTTTCAATATGAAGCAACCCGATAGAGAATCTTGCTATTTCCGGTACTTGTTTTAAGATTTCATCTGTAATTAAATGACATCCTCTGAGAACAGGTCGTATGTTTATTTTCTTCTGAAACCAAGCAGAACCGAATTTGAAATTAGAAGAATCGCTTGAGACATTACTTCTGGACATAACTACAAAATTGTTAAGACAGTTATTATTTATAAATCTAGTCAAGAGAATAAGATTACTTGTTTTGGTTTTTTGTTTACATTTTGATGGTCAAAGTTATAAAATAAATTTATAAGTCATTTTTTATAAATATATAAAGATATGGCTAGTGGAAAAATAGCATGACAGATATACTGTAGTGTTTCACAAAGAAAATTTTTATTTCTTTATCACAAATTTATTTCACAAAATTGAAAAAAAATTAGATTTTCATTTCAAGAAGTTTAACAACTCAACTTTTGTCAACGTAATACACCTACTTCGCCTTTTCTTGACCTTCCGCTTCACGACTAGTCTGGTCTTGTTGAACGTAGGCAAAAGTTATCTACCTTATAACTTCTTCTAGTTTTGAAATTCATTTTAATTGAATAAAATTCAAGATGTACGCTTTAACTCCATGCTTCAGAGCCATGATGACCTCTGCTGTTCGATCATCAGTGAGGCCTCTTAGTGCTACTGTGAGCACATTGAGAGTGCCGGAGGAGCGGCCATTTGTCGTGCAGCCATCTAAAGTTTTGCCTAAAATCACATTTTCCTCGTCTCTAATTTCTCAGCTGCCCCGAGCTCTTCATACTAGTGCAGTTCAAAGGGATATTGATTCTGCAGCTAAATTTATCGGAGCTGGAGCTGCTACAGTCGGTGTTGCCGGATCAGGAGCCGGTATTGGATCAGTTTTCGGAAGCCTAATTGTAGGTTACGCCAGAAATCCATCTCTGAAACAACAACTCTTCTCATATGCTATCTTAGGATTTGCCTTATCCGAAGCCATGGGTCTCTTCTGTCTCATGATGGCCTTCTTGCTACTATTCGCATTCTAAACTAACTCTATTAGAATCATTTAATTTCTGAATTAGTTCAGGACTGTCTAATCACAGCTATAGCTCATTATCTGTAATTGGTACAAAATTAAATTTGTTTTATACCTATTTCTAAGTAATCTTTTTTATTATCTCTAAATTGTTTATTTCTTTTTCAAATTTATATATTGTGAAATTTATTATGAATTCATAACTGTATTAAAATTCCTTGTTTTAAAGGTTACCTTGAATTTATAGGGAATGCACTTCTCATTTGTAGATCAATATTTTATAACTAATTTTGTTCGGTCCATTGTTAAATCAAGCCTTTTTGACTGATAGGAAATAATTAAATCTGTTATTAGTTACAAACTTGTGTCTTGGGCTTAATTTTTTACTTTTATTTTGTCTTTACATATGTTGTATATTTATTTAAAGTCAAGAAGGTGTTATCAGGAAGCTATTCACGTGGTGGTCAGATTAAAGTAGTGCAAACTCCCTATTAACTGTGAGTAAACTTTAAAAAAATACCCCTAAATGTTACAAGATGTTTCACCTTTTTTTGCTGAGTTTTCATTATATTCAGAAAGAAACTGTATTTTCTAGTTATTTAATTGAAAGTATAAACTTTTCTTGATAAGCTTAAAAATTGCTAATAATCTTTTCACCTGTATTAAATTCAATGGGGAGTATGATCAACAGCGCCAAATGTGTTTGCCAGAGCAATTAATTTTCCAAAGAAGAAAAACCTAGTTAAGATTTGCTTGGGGGTGGGGTGACTTCATTTGCTGTGGGTCTCTGCCTCGAAGTTGCAAAGACTGTTCCAGTCAGATACTGAAGATAGTACTACTTTTTAAGAATGCTATAACAGTCATCTCAAGGACTTAGAATATTTTATTGTCTTCAAGTTATTGAAATTTATCTTTATGTAAAGCTTATCTTAAGGAAATTATAATTATTTTTTATTTACCTCATATCTGATAAAGGGGATTCTATTTGAATAATAACCTTAGCTATAGTTAAAAATCAAATTTAAAATCTGTGACTTTGTAAAATTGTTTTTAATAAACACACAAATTGACATATTAAATTTATAACAATAAATTATTTGTACTAGCTTAAATTTTTACTGTAAATATTAGCTTTTGTGATAAGAATATTTTCCATTCTATTTTAATTGAAGTCTATTTCTTAATGGTAATTATTACAAAGTTAGATAAAATATTAATTATAGTGAAGCAATATATTACAGTAACTTTCCTATTTAAGCTGTGCTTAAAATTACACCAAATTAAACATTTATTAAAAATTATGGCCTACCTTTTTATTATTTTCTATAAAACTGAGATTTATTCCAAAAAACAAATATTTTTCAATTTAAAGTTCAAAATCACACTCATATTTAGTCATGTAAATGAAATATATAATTTTATGTAAACAGTCAGGGGTCTGTCCAGACATTTTGTGTAAGATCAGTTTTTGTAAAATAGTGAAAAAATTACTCGTATTTTGTGAATATAAAACGTTAAGTCACATTCTTTCAACCAGGGTCCTGCTTTTGTGAATTTGTGCAAATGGGGTCTTATTATTGCAAAAAAACTTTTATTGATTTTTTAAATTGCAGCGATGATTGTGCTCCGGTAAAATTCCGGATTTTTCGCTAACAGTGATCCGGAGATCGAAGGTCCAGACGTTTAAAACAATCATTGATCACAGAAGTTTCCGGAAATCAAATTTTCAAAGGTGGAACCTATTTGTTTGTTAGGAAGAGCCAGAGAGATACTTTATAAGCTTATATTCATGATTATAATATTCATTTTTTATCTGTAAATTGTTATTATAATCATAAACTGAAGAAAGACATATTTGTAAATTTTAATTACTTCTCCAGGTCCTCATAGGTATGTACAATATTATGCTCAACACTGTCTTTTTCCCTCCGTTCCTGGGAATGGTTTATTCGATTAACAAAACAGTGAAGATAAACAAATTAGTGAAGGGTCCGTTAGTATGAAAAGATATTTTGTGAAAGATTAGTTAACTGACCCAAATTTGTTCTAAACAGACCCCTGTTAATGTTCTATGCGCTTAAGTTTTATATATAAAAAAAAATCAATTATCAAAATTCATTTAAAAGCTAATACTTATTTTAATTTTTTTCCTTTTTATCAATAATTGATTTATTAAAATAATAAGGGGGGAGTGAAAATATAAATTCTAACAAAAAAAAAACTAATACTAACATAGTAAAAGTGTAAAAAAAATACACATTAAATTCCCTGTGTCAGAATCGCGGGGACATTGATGCAGAGACTTTGCTTTGAAAAGTGAACAAAAATGTTCTTTTCTACAGAAATTAACGTGTAATATTTTAATTATGCGTTTAGATAATTACTACTTGACATGCTCAATTTATGCCATTGGTATCGTAAATCAATGTAATGTTTCAATTGTATTTTCAGCAGTTATTGATATTAATTTTTGCATGAATTTTGAAAATTCGAATCATGCATTCGATTATTTAATTTTTAAAGTAATCATTCTATTGAATTTTTGGCAGTCATTGCTATTGATTTCTCCTTAGTCTTTAAATCTGAAATTTTTTATTATAACAAACTTAATTTCAAAACGAAGCACTCATTTTAGGAGCGATTCGTGTGATTTCATTATTGATCTTTTTTTTGGTCATTACTATTGATTTTATGATTTTTAATTTTATTGTGATGATTATTTACAAAAAGCGATAATTTGTGAGCTTCCTCCCCTAAACAAAATGAAACTTTTTTTCTTTCTAAAAACATCGCCAAAGTTTAAAATATTGAAATGGTTTAAAATATAAATTACAGTGAGCGGTTTTAAATTCACATTTTCCACCACTTCATTGAATTTTTCAGGTTGCAATAGCATTGTATTATACTTAGAGATTCTAAGTGGGACTTGTGTGATTTAAAATTCGCACGTCGTAATAAAAATCGGAATTTTTAAAACCATATGGAGACGCCACGCTAAAACTGCCAAAAAAAAATTAGATTTTCAATGAAATTAGTGAAAACAAAGCACTTCAAAAAGTAGTTATTTAAATGTGTGATTTTAAACTCTCGCATCGTAGTAAAAATATAGGATTTTCAAAACACATTAAAAAAAGTGTGGCAATAGCTGCCTTTAAAAAAAAAAAAAATTTATCGGGTTGTTCGGAAAGTAATTTAGTTTTTCCGACAGAGGATTTAATTGTATTTTTTAAGGACCCAACTTCACACTTAAGCCGCATTATCATATGTTTTGAGAGTTGATATAGCAAGGCTTGTGTGTGAAAAAGTTCAATTAATTCTATGCAGTTGTTTTTGGTTGGTGCCCTTTTAAATATTGGAGAGCAATAAGCAGCATTTTTGTCATATTTTACCTTCTTATAATGGAAAGGGTAAAAATGCTGTTCATGCCAGAAAGAAATTAACTGATGTGAATGGAGAAGATGTGTTAACATTACGCCAGTGCCAGAATTAGTTTGCAAAATTTCGATCTGGCAATTTTGGTCTTGAAGATGCACCACGTTCCGGAAGGCCAGTTGAAACTGATAAAGGTATTAGTTGATGCAAATCGGCGAATAACAACATGTGAGTTCGGTGAGAGGTTAAATTCATCTAATTCAACTATTTATGATCACTTGAAAGGCCTGTGCTTAACCTCGAAGCTCAATGTATCGGTTCCCCATGTTCTCACAGAGAGAAATTTGTGTCGTTGCATTGGCATCTGTGATTCCCTTCTCAAACGTCACGAAAATGATTTGTTTTTAAAGCGCATCATTACCGGGGACGAAAAATAGGTTGTCTATAACAAAGTCAAATGCAAGAGATCATGGGGCAAAAAAGATGAACTAGCTCAAACCGTTGCGAAAGCCAATTTAAGGCGGGATTTTAAAGGAATAGATTTTTTATGAGATTTTACCGGATAACGCAACAATCGGAAGTCTACTGTTGCCAGATGGACACACTGAATGATGTACTTCAACAGAAAAGGTTTAGTGTTCCACTAAGGTAATGCGAGACCTCGTACAAGTTGGGTCACTCGCCAAAAGTTTTTACAGCTTGAATGGTATACACTGCCACACCCACCATATTCTCCAGATCTAGCACCTTCGGATTATTATTTGTTCCGGTCACTGCAAAATTGTTTGGACTGTAAAACCTTTACTTCAAATGAAGAGGTCAAAAATCACCTGGATCAGTTTTTTGCCAGCAAAGACCTAACATTTTATGAGCGTGGAACCATGCTACTACCAGAAAGATGGCAAAAGGTGTTGGACCAGAATGGCCAATACATAATTTAATAATATATTTATTCATTATACAAAAATTGTCTTTCATTTCCCCCCCAAAAAACGAAATTACTTTCTGAACAACCAACCCAATAGATTTAAGATGAAATCGGCTCAAACAAAGCACGTCAAGAAGAGATAAATTATTTGCGTGATTTATAACTCACGAGTCGTAATACCATAATAAATGTATCAGAATTTTAAAAGTCACATGGTGGAAAATTGGTAATTATAAATGGCAAGAAAAGAAAACAATCGAATTGCTACTAGGATTAGCGCTGAAATCGGCAACAACAAAAAAGTACATTCAAAACTGGAATTAGAAATTTGCACATTATAATGTATTAAAAATATCAGATTTTTTTAAACCATGTGGAATTTCATAGTAATAACAATCTTTCAAAGCTATTATGTGAAATATTTTTTTTGTTTACTGGAACAACTGCTAATTTTGAAAGTTAAACATAATCAGTGTTTATAATTCCACTCAATCTTACTTTATTTCCCCGTAGCTGAGTCTCCATAACATTTATGAATACACTATTTGACTTACAATATTGACAGTATTTTTCCTTAGCAAAAAACTGCTTAACCAACAACCAAATTTCATTTTAATTTTTAAAAAAAATACATGGTCACTGAAACTACTCTTAATTAGCTGTCAGAACATCACATTTCTTTGCATTGTTTGAAGGTTGCTATTCTTTAGAAATCGTGATGCTGTCAATAGTGATGCCATCTACCGAACAGGAGTCTTATTGAGTATGGGGTTATCAAAGTGGTAATTATAACTACAGCTAAATCAAATAAATAAACACACTCAGTTATATGTGTATTTAAATGCAATTTATTGCAAAACAATTTTTTTTACACAAATTCAATCATTCATTAAAAAAAATCAAGCATGCAATTGTACAATATATTATATTTTAATTTTTTCTACATGTATAAGAAAATACAGAATTTTAAGTTAAAAAAAAACTTATGAATTTTAAAATTAAGAACATGAAATAATAATCCCAGCATAGATATAATTACAGCTAAATTTAAATACTGTTGAAAAGTTCTTATGGATTTGTATTTCTGAATGCCCAGCAAGATAAGAGAATTTCAGGTGGGCAAATCTCAAAAACTTAATAAATATATATTGATCAATTACAACACTTAAAAATTGCTTTTAAAATCTGTAAACAAAATAATAAGTCATAAATTTATAAGAAAAAAAATTCTAGGATCTTAAAAATTTTATCTTGACAATTTCCATGAATTAGAAAAAAATTCAAAATAGTGTGTTATATTTTATTTATTTTTTTTTAAAAAAAATGTGGAGTCAATACATATCATAGCTTCATTACTAATGCTAATATATACTTTATTTTAGTGTTAAGTAGTGACAAAAATAAAGCCAGCATTAAAAAATATTGATTTATAAATTACAGTTATATCAATATTCCACTTTTAAAAATAAGTTTATATGATAGACTTGAAATAGATAGCTGCTTTTAAGAACATAATTTTATTTATTCATAATTAAAAATAAAATTTAGGAAGAAATAAGAAAAAAAAGAGAACAGTTTTAGAATTTTTATTATTTGAGCTTACATTTTATAAAAGCTTCTATATAATACTTTCTATATTGTATTAATTATACAGATCAATGAGTCACCACTACATATTGAATTAGTTTACAAAATGACTTTCAACACTACTGTAGGGTGACATTTTGTTTTATACAATTTACACTTTCAAAAGTTAAATTTCAATATACAAATTGTAAATCCTAAATAAAATAAAATTTCAAACAAAATATATTTGTGTGTTTGAATTATAATTGGAACCAAAACTGTGCAAAATACAAACTAAATAAACTCATTAAAATCAGAAATTTCACAAAAACAAAGAGCATAAGTTTATTAAATTATCCATAATTTAAATACTTTTTAATAAGATAACTTAATTGATTGAATTATAACTAAGTAGATTCTACAGTAAAATGCATTCATGCACAAATTTCTTTATATATATATGTATATCAGCACATAAAATTATAATAGTTTATAGCAGAAATCAAAGATATAATAACCAATTATCTAATAAAGCTCATTTGTGCTCACATTTGATGTAAATGGTAGAAAAGAAAAATCTCACTATTGAACTGCAATCAAACTGGGCATCACAGGAAACTTCAATAAAAAGTCAAAAAGAGAAATCTGAAACAAAAAGGGCTCACCATCATTCGAATAAATTAACAACAAAGCAACCAGTTAGTTAAACATAAACCCATTAGCATTTATAAGTATCATTATTTAAGGAAATATACATAGATATATTATTGGGTATTAAAATATAAGACATTGGATATTTTAAAAACGTTATGAATTAACTAACTTTGTGCAAAAAAATGCATGTACAGAAAAGAAAAAAAATTGGGAATGACTGTTTAAATTAATTAAATATTTAGTATACATCACTAAGGATGACAATTTAGTGATGCGCCAATTACTGTAACCATTGAAAAATAAAATAATATTTTTGCATTATCTATTAATTTTTAAAAAAGGAAAAGAATTCAGCAGCATTTCTTTCTGAAACAAAAGTTATTAAGGTTACATATTGACTTATTGTGTCATGTTTAGGGAACAAAATTTACGTTGCATTAGATTAACAAAAAAGTTCCCATATAAAGCTTAATAATTGAACATATAAACGAAATTAATAATTGTACAAATATTAAAAAAAAGCTAATATTCCCAGAACAAATTTTTTAATTATACCTGGAGATTTAAAAAAAATTTTATTTAGATTCCTGATATTTTACTAAAAAACATTTCAGTGAAAAACATCAACAATTTTTACAAAATTATATCAAAAAATAAATTTTTAGTTAACTTTTGAAAAATGATAAATAAATAGACCTTTACAATTTTTTAAAATTCTTTTAAATAATTATATTTAGGTAATAAATAAGTGTATGACATTTAACCCACTAAGTACAAACTCTCCCGTTGAGAGAATCTTTGATTAAGATTGTTTAAAAGTTATCAATTTATTTGTATCTTTTTTACATTGAATATTGAAAACACTAGGCTTCATGGGAATTTTTTCCAATAATTTTATAATGTATTTCCTATTCTACTGAAACATTAAATATGAGTAACAATATTTCTGTTTTAAAATATAAAAAACAGCGGCTAAAAAAAAAAAAAATATTTTAAAGGAATTATGAAGAAATTTTTTTTTAAAGAAAAGCGTCCGACTTGATATACTTTTACACAGCCTCACACGCCTTAAAAAGCATAAATATGCTACCCCTATTTTTTTTGTTGTTTGCTTGGTAAAGGACAAACGCTTTTCTTTAAAAAAAGTGGTTAACAGTTATTGCTAAAAGATACAATAAATTTTGAAGTAACCAAACTCTACTACTATTGACATTATTAAATTTGCATGGAAAATCTAAATTAGCGAATCATCCCCAAGTTCAAAGACTGTTGTAGTGATCTATAAATTTCATTGGTTTTCAAATGATGGGGAGAGAGGTTGACATCCAAAGTTAGCGTGCATCACAATTGAAACACTTATTTAAACTAGTTTTTGAATCATTCAAAAAAGGACCAAAACATTAAATAGATGACCAAACGGGCTTTACTCTAAAAAAAAAATGGACTTAGGAGGGAAAAGAGGACTATTTAGGAGCCCAGCTCTTTTCATTCTGTTCTAAAAAGGGGGTCTTCAATATTTATAGCCTAAGGAACTCCAACAAGTTATAAGGCGAAAACCAAGACAGCAAACTCGTTATTTAAGAGAAACTTATCTCAGCTTTAGCAATTTTTTAAAAAATGCTCAAAGTTGGGACCATATTTTTCAAAGCATTTTAGTTTTCATGCCAGCCACCAGTTAGTTGTTTTGATTTCTTTGGTGGCAAATAAGCTCATCCTACTAATATAGAGCAGGTTAGAAATGCCCACACATTTTTGTTTCCAAGTGAAATACGAAATTACATAATTTAAGTTTATTAGATAAATTTTATATAGATAACTTAATTACAATTTCAAGAGCCCTAATGACTCCGTGATTAAAGGCACTGCAATTATGAAGGAAAGGGGTTCAGTGACAGCTTGAAGCCTACCAAGGTTTAGATTAACGGGTATCAGCTTGTCAGGGAATTAAAGGAAGATGGTGCGCAATATTTATCATAGTTTATGATTAGCAGGAAAGCTTTAAGTATCAAATATCAGTTTCATCAGTTATAGTGTTTCTTCAATTTATTATTTTGAAAGATTAATTCTGAAGAAAATTTTAAAATGCAATGAAAATAAACTGATGTGGGCTCTTCTACAACATTATGCATGAAGTGGATCATCTTTAATGTATGGTTCAAAACAATTTTCTATTTATTTAGGTGATTGATATTTTACTTTTTTAATCATATTAAAATAATTTTAAAATTTTCTAAGAAAGTTGCTACAGATGAACATTTAATTCACAGCAATAAGTCAGAGTTAGCTGTGTTAAGAACACAAGAAGCAGTCTTTCAATTTAAGGTACAGCTTATTTATCAGTATGCACGCATTAATATAAAAAAAAATTCTCGCCAAGTTGGGTGATAGCTAAAGATAATCTAGTTTCAAATTGAAAGTAGGTTGGAGGAGTTGAAAACAGAAAATGCAGTTGAGGATCATCAAAATGGATGCTGGTGTAATCAAAGTTATGGCAACGTAATGACAGTTTTGTTATCGCACAAAGGGAGAGGAGTTGATAGGCAAAGGCAACATTAAGACAAATTCATAGGTATTTCGGTTAGATACGTAATATTTTCTGCAGAATTTAAGTAGTTAGAATTTTGTTCTAAGAGAGCAAATTTTCTGCGACGCTAAATTTTTCTTTTTGTGTGGGCTTAATGTTAAGGTGGGTGTTATTGCATTTTGTAAATGCATTTGAATTTGAACTTGTTGATGAGAACATTGGTATTTTTGTTGTGTTGATTTAAGTTTTATAAGTATGGAGAAGAAATTTCAAGAATCGTAAGTTAAGATTTCTGAAGAGAAAAAAATGGTTTTGGCAGTTATTATGGAAAACTCATCATGTGAACTTAATCTCACATGTCTTAGTAAGTTATTGATGTGTGATGAAAAATTGTGCAAATAATGATCAATTTTGGATTAATTTGTAGTAGAAAGATATGTGATAAATGTTAGTCATTTTAAAATTTATTAATGAAGAAAATACCCCTTGCAGAAAATTGCAACCCCACGACTTATCCTTGATAAATCATTCATTTAACGTGTGAATGCATAGTCAGTGTGAAAAATGGATGAGCGATGGGTTGCATACATACACAAAAAGTGAGAAAATGCACCGAGAGACCTATGAAGAACTTGCCAAATGGGTGTCGAATGCCTGGGAAAAGGTAAAAATAGCCATAACATCCGGATTTATAGATGCGGTACTCAATTATTACAAGGAAGATGTTCCTTGCCCAATATCAGAAGATAAAAATTACATGGTAAATTAACACAATGATGAACAGCAATGTTTGTTTTGTTTCATAAGTGAAGAGTCTGATTTTGATGGTTTTAATTGAATATGAGATCGGAAATATTGAAACTAAATGAAATATAATGATTTATTTTGTGGTAAGTTTATATTTTATTGTGTGCATATTCTCATCTTATGACTGATTGGTTTCATGTTTCTGATGTGAGTAAGTATCAATATCAACTTCATTTTTATAATAAGTGTATTTAAAAAAAAAAAAAATTATCAATAATAACTATTTTCTAAGTATACAGTTTAGAATTTTATTTAATATCAAATTTTAATTGCATATTTAAAAAACAAATCGTAACTGGGTTTATATGTAGTACTTTTTATCAGCACAATTGAGTATATCTAGTGACATTTTATACTTAATTTGTGAGTCATAATCGCAAAAATGGAAGATAAATTCCCAATCCTAGAAAACCCTCTTCTATATTTGGTGAAAGCCTTTTTCTTTGTTCTTTTGTCATGAAGGTGTAGTAATTTTATTCTGTCTTGTGCCATCTACCAATAAACATATTGTTTGAGTGTTCTGGTGATTATTATTATTTTCCCTGCATACTTAGGGCCTCTCATTATTGTTTGGTAGTGTATAAAAAAAAAGGCAGCCTTTACAACGGTGTGCTTATATGATGATAATTGAAATTTTTTGCAGATGTGGCATATCAACTAGAAATAGCTGTATTTATATTTTAGGGGTTTTCTTATTTTGTTCTATAATTTTAAGCTGAGTGGTAAAAGAAATGTTGTTTGGGAAAAATGATGATATATATTTGCCAGATTTTTATTTTTATAATAATTGTAATTTGGTTGGTTAGTGTCGTATCCTCAATGAATCATATTTTATGGTGTGCTTGAATAGTTTTTGTTATTTCTATGGCATTAAAAGAATATAAATCCTCTTCTGTGGGGTAGTTTAAGAGGTGAAGGCCTGCAGCGACTGCAGGGCAGTTAAAAACATGATATGGTGTCAGTTCCACATTAAGACAGTTGCCACAGTTTTGATATTTTCTAGTCCCATCTGTAGAAATTTTCATGTTTTTATGATGTTTTGTTCTTAGTCTGATGAGAGTAGTGGCTGTCTTCCTATCGATGTCAAGATTAGTTATTTGATCGTGGGCTTTGATTTTTAAAGGGGTGAATAGTCTTGACTTTGCAAAAGCATTTGCATCTGCTAACGTGGTTGGGATTGACTTTTGATTGAGATCTCTGGCATTTTTAGCCAAGGAATCAGCTATTTCATTGAACTCTAGGTTCACATGGGCGGAAATCCACTGCAAGAAGCATTTTTTCCGGAGACGCTGAAGTTGTCCAAGTTGTTCTATGATATTCAGAATAAGGCTTGAGGTACCTTTGCTGAGGGCCTGTAAGGCAGATCTGCAGTCGCTGAAGATGATGATACCACTAAGCTGCTCTGAAGGTTCAAGATTGATGTACGTTTCGATTGCCGTAGAAATGGCAATCAATTCTGCCGTAAAATTAGATGCGATTTTTCCAGCACCAGTTGCGATCTCTCGTTTTTGATCATCAGGTAGGAGCAGTACCACTCCCGCACCTCCGTTGGGGAAAGTGGAGTCAGAAGATCCATCAGTAAAAGCCCTGACATGATTGAGGCCAGATAGAGAGTCGATAGTTTTCATCCCAATTTCCTTGAGTTTATTCGCATGATATTTTTTCGAGCAGGGCTCGATGAGTTCTAGACAGATTGTCGTATTCACTGGAACAACTCGAGTAGCGGGAGTTTCGTTTCTGAAAAGAAAGTCCTCGGGTTTAAGGTGAATTTTTTCTCTGATGTCCCTGTCAAACAGAAGGGGAGATGACTTTTTGTGTCTAGATTTTTTATTCCAGTTTATAATAGTACGATGTGAAATGTGCCCCTCGTCAAGACTATGGGCATTATTTGTAAATTTAACAGTTAACATTTGTCTCCTTTCTTCCAGAGGGACCAAACCGCATTCCTCTTGAATTCTTAAGTTGTTTGTTGATGAGACAGCACCAGACATTATTTTTGCAGCTTTTGCTTGTACTTTATCAAGTCTCTCTCTTGAAGTAGAGGAGGAGTGTGACCATACAGGTGTGGCATATTCCATTATCGGTCTTATAAGAGTTGTGTAAGTAGTTTTCAGTGTTTTTGGTGCAGCACCCCATTTTGTGCCACAAAGCCTCCTAAGGATGTTGCGCTTTTTTAGTGCTCTATTAGAACACTCTAGAATGTGGTGGTGAAAACAAAGCTCTTCGTCAAGTATTATACCGAGGTACTTTGGGTTAGAAATCTTTTCTATGGGGGTGTCAAACAATGTGATACTAGGACAAAATGTGTGCCGGTGTTTTCTGTCAGTGCTGAACACAAGTGCAGGAAAAGCAAGGGTCTCAATACCGATCCCTGTGGTACACCAGCCCAGAGTCGTTTCTTTTTGGATAGTACACCGTTAAATTTAACCCTAATTACTCTGCCTCTTAAAAATTCCGCAATCCAAATCAGGGCATTTCCATTTATTCCAATTTTGTGTGCTATTTGAATGAACCTCTGCCTCCAGACACGGTCGAACGCGGAGGTCATGTCTAGAAATATGGCAATTGTTTTTCTTGATGGTTTCTGTTGGAAAGAATCAATTATCGACTGGCAAAGATAAAAGAGCTGGTCTGTGGTTGAGTGTTGCGCTCTATAAGCTGTCTGATAAAAGTTAATTTTTTGGTTGTTGGTGAGCCAGTGTATTAGTCTTGAATGAATCATACGTTCAGTCAGTTTACACAAGATGCTGGTTAGAGAGATAGGACGATAGCTGGAGAGGCTATCAGCGTTTTTATTCGGTTTTAGGATGGGAATGATTATTGTTATTTTCCATTCTTTCGGAATCTTACCTGTACGCCAGGATTTGTTGATGATGGTGAGTAGCTGCTCTTTAGCAGTACTTCCTAAATGCTTTAACATCGATGCAAAAATGAAGTCATTTCCCGCGGCCTTGTTAGATGGCGTTTTGGTCAGTGAAACATTTAGCTCATGTAGCGTGAAGTCTCCAGAAAAGTCCCAGATTGAGTTGTCATTTTTCGCATTTAGAAGAACTCTTTTGCTGCTAGTGAGTATTTTCTTATCTGCTGTTTCATAGTTAAGTCTTGAAACCCTTGAGTAGTGTTCAGCTAGAGCATTAGCTGTATCAAGATTGTTGGTAAGGGGCCTATTGCCATCTGAAATAATATTTGAGTTTGTTTGAAAATTTCCTTTGGTGTTGTCTAAAATTTTGATGATTTTCCAATGTTGACTCTCTTTCCTAGGGTCTAGTTTATAACAGAATTCAGCCCATTTCTCTTGTTTGCATTTATAAATTTCATGCTCCACTTCGTGGCTCAGTCGTGTCAATTCACATCGAAGTTCTTCTGTGTTTCTTGTCTTTAACTCTACATTTACTTTGTCTCTCTTTGCTATCAATAAATCAGTGTTGTGATCTTTCCAGAAAGGCACCCATGAGTCTTTTCTTTTTTCCCTCGGGATTGACAGACTAGCTGCCTTCTTAGACTGGATTCAAAAGTACTCGTCATATTATTTATGTCTCCAGTGAGGGGATTATTAGTACAGGTATCTTCTAGGATTTTCTTGAAACTAACCCAGTCCGCCTTTGTGAAGTTCCATGAGCATTTCCCTTGTTTGATGGATTCAACGTGAAAATCAAGGGATATAATGATGGGCCTATGGTCACTGATTGCAGAGTTGAGAGTTGTCCATTGTGCTTTGGGTGCATTCAGGTAGTCGATTGCAGTTATGTCAATTGCCGATTCAGTACCATAGGTTCTTGAGAGGTACGTATTTTCTCCATTATTTAGGGTTGTTAGTTTCAGATCATCTATCATTTCCTCCACCTGCGATCCCTTCTTATCCAAATATGCAGAGCCCCATGTTGGGCTCTTTGCATTGAAATCGCCTAAGACGATGGTGGA